CGCGGCCACCGCAATTTTGAAGTCACTGTTGGCGTGAGGGACCAAGACTTGGCTGCTCTTACAGCTAGCGAAGAAGCTATTAAGGGATGGTTCGCAACAAACATCGAGCCTTACTTAGCCGACGTCAACATTTCGTTCATTACTATAGGTAATGAAGTCATCCCCGGACCAATCGGTCCTCAAGTGCTTCCGGTCATGCAATCTCTCACCAACCTCGTCAAGTCGAGGAATCTTCCGATCTCGATAAGCACCGTGGTGGCTATGTCGAATCTTGAGAAATCATACCCACCTTCCGCTGGAAAGTTCACGTCCCAAGCGCGAGAACAACTTGTCCCCGTGCTTAAACTATTGTCTCAAACAAATACGCCTATTCTCGTCAATATTTATCCTTGCTTCCCTTACGCGTCTGACCCAACGAACATCCCTCTCGACTATGCTACCTTCAACACTGAGGCCGTCATGGTCCAAGATGGACCATTGGGCTATTCAAACATGTTTGATGCAATCTTTGACGCATTTGTGTGGGCCATGGAGAAGGAAGGTGTGAAAGATTTACCCTTGGTAGTGTCCGAGACGGGATGGCCATCTGCCGGAAATGGGAACTTAACCACACCGGATATCGCGGGTACCTACAACAGAAATTTTGTGAAGCATATAGCAAGCGGGAAAGGAACGCCTAAGCGGCCCAGCAATGGACTGGATGGGTTTCTATTCGCAACGTTCAACGAAAATCAAAAGCCGGCCGGGACTGAACAGAATTTTGGATTGTACAATCCTAGTGATATGAAACCCATCTACAAGCTATTTAAGTGTGAAAGTTGCTTAGACTTTCCCAATTCACTAGTTGTTAGTGAACTAAGTAAGATTAACACATACTATAAGCTATTGGCTTCTGTGAAAGTGATGAAATCTGGTAGGGAACTTGGTTGAGTTTGTAATAAATCTGAATTTGGTAGTTAAAACTACTATCTCCGGTAATTGACATATATTCTTTAGTAACTAAAATTTTCACAAACGAAAATAAAATAATTTGTTTATTTGACTTTTATAAATTACTTTTATTTAACTATTACAATTAAACTTTTCAGATTTAGTCAAAATTTTAGAAAAGATGTGATTTGATATTAATATCGAATTCAAAACATATAATCAAAAATAATTTTTTTCATTTAATCATTTAGTCAAGATTTTTTAAAAATATATATTTACATACACTGTATTTATTTTTAGGTTAACTACGAATATAAAGTATATATTTGAAATTTAATTGTTTAAAAATAAATTCTTAATTTAAATTTTATAAACAACAATAGTTACCTCAATTTTTAAAAAATTAATCAGTAGTTCAAAAAAATCGATAATGTGGTTGTTTGACAAAAAATTCGGAAATGATTAAAACACAATATATGAAATATATGATTTGAGGATCTGGCTTTGACCCATCTTAATCCGTTTTTAGAACGCGGGTGCGTATACAAATATGGTCAATCATTTTATTTTGAGAGAGTTTAGAAAATTTCAGATTTTTTGTTTGATTCAATTGGACCCATGGGGTCTTTGTTCTTTGAGTGTGGATCATCTCTAAACAATATGCAAGTAGTCTTTTCTTTCATTGGTTGAACCATTTATTCGTTTTTTTGGTTTGGTTTGGATATGGCTAGTATGAGTCACTCATTATCCAACCATAAGCAGACTTGAAATCTTCAACTGCATACCAATGACTAAACAAATAAACACTAAACGGAGAATCATGCTTGGTTGTCTAATTTATTGGCATGTCCAAAGATTTGATGATATTGAATCTATATGGAAAATAGCGGGAATGAAGAAACGTATTCACAAAGACATTTTAGCAATCAAACAAATGATTATAAGAATGTTGCATTTTACCAATATCATTAAGTTGATGAGAATGTTTTTTATTGAGGAAACTTGACTGACAAATAATTGATGAAATCATTAAATGCTCGATATTCCATGGTGAAACCTTATCATAAAATAATGAAAGACCTGATAAGGTTTTACCATGGGAAATCGAGCATTTAATCCCTTCGTCAAATATTTCTTAGTCAACTTTACTCAAGAAAAAAAAAAGCTTTCGTCAATTTAATGAAATTGGTAAAATAGAAAATTCGTATCACCATTTGTTTGATAAGTTAAATTGGTAAAGGATTGACAGCCAAAGTTCGTTAAGATCCAAAGATATTGTTCCTCTAAATTTTAAAAGAAATAATCCATCAAAACTTTTAAAAGAAATACATCCCAAATCTAAAAAACTGTAATAATATATTGGTGGTTTGGGAACGAAAAGTTGTAGCAAAATTTTAATTTAAAACGATTTTAGGCACAAAAACTCATTATATAATTAAAGATATATATATATATATATATATATATATATATATATATAATTTGATGGCCAAAATTTTTTCAAATACAAGAAACTAGAAAAGTTGTGAAAACAAATCGGGGTTACTAAAACAATTTTCATCTAGATTCTAAGAAAATGATGCTTCTAAAATTGAATATGATGTAAACACAAAGAATTCAAAATACATAAAAGTAATAAAAAAAAACAATACTGATTATACCGTTTCGAGAAAACTTCAACAAAACAAGGAATAATTGAGTAGACGGTTTCGCGCCAGAATTTGTTAAAAACGAATCTCCAATAGACAGTTTGCCCGCGAAAATCCGTTGGAAAACTTATGAAAACAGTTTCAGGAAAAGGTTTATAGCTAGATCATTAAGGGATTTACCAAGAAATAAACATGCATGATCTCTTCCTTCTGCCCCAAAATATATTATATACTAATAATGGCAATAAATTAAAAAAAATGGTCAAATTAAAATAATGGCAAGTTGCCATTAGATACTTTTATATTAATTCAATAAATTTAAAAAATGGTCAAAATAAAATAAATCTCAATATGGACTATGGACCATTATTTTTCTTAAAATGTGAATGATTTTTTTTTCCTTTTTATTGTTAATATATTTTTCTATCTTATATTGTTATGGAAAACTATTTGTTTGAATGAATAATCATTTAAAGAATGAGTTTACATGTTACATACTTGTTTAAAGATTACTAAAAAGGTTACTCTCATTTGTGTGAAACTATTTAATTTTAATTTTTTATTATTCCAAAAATTCTTAAATATTTTGTACATTTCAATTTTATTAGTCTACACATCTTTAGTAAAAAGAAAAAATAATCCAGAAACTTCAATATTAAAAATTGTTTGTGAAAGTTTAGTCAATTAATATATTTCTATTGCATTTGTAATTATCACAATTCAAACATCGTTTCGCACTGCTTTTTCCACATTATGTGTTTTTCTGTAAAAATTGTAGTTAAACCGCACCGCACCACTGAAACTACTTATTCCCCACCATCTAATCCATTTTCACTATTCAAAGCTTTAGTCTATATTAATTATCTAAAATAATGATCCCTCTGTTTCTAAATAATTGATTTTTCAGAGTTTTCTCACGTATTAAGAAAACATATTAAAAGTTGATAATAAATGTATAAATTTTTGTGATTTACAATTTTCTATAATTTCAAACCAATGATATTCAATTATTTTTCTTGAAGTTTACAATTCATCAATATGAACTAATAAATATTGCATAGAAAATCGAAAAAATATTTTTAAAACAATTGTTTTTCTAGAAATCTATTATTTAGAAACAGAGGGAGTAGCTGACTATCCAAATAAATATTTATTTGAATTTAAGATATTCAATTAATAAAAAGCGAATTGTCGGTCATCAACCTCCTTTTTGAGATAATTATCTTTTATTAATTGGTGGTAGCGTATTCAACACTGAAATATTTGTTCTTGTTTGGAAAAATCTTGAACATGCCTCATAGTGCATTGCTTTACTGGATCCTAGAAACCGTGAATCATGTTATTTCCTCGGAAATTATATGTTTGTCTTTGCTTTTTATAATTTGGTTTACAACTTTCTTACTACTGAGAAAATAAAAGTGTTCAATTTAGAATTACACAAAAGAAAATTTTATTTTATTTTTTTACATAGCACAAAAGTGTAAAATGAATTACACGTTTTATTATCGTCTATAGAACGTTTATTTTTTTAAAAAAAATTATAGGTTTGATTGGTAACATGTCACGAGTTAAGATATGATAACTATTAAGTTGACTTAATGTTTTTATTTTGACTTTTAAAGCTAAGTTTAATGACATAAAGTATTTTTTCCTATGCTAACACTGGATTACCCACATAACCCTATCAATAGTTGCAACTTGCAAGTGGATCTTCGTTGAATGCACAATTAATTGGTTTTTTTGAATGCATAATTTAGGTTTTATGATATCAACCAACAAGATTATTTGTTAGATGAACAAGTTATTCAAAAACTGAACTCGATTTCAGCATTAAAACAAACAAAATCATATTTAAAGAAGATCTAAATCTTATCTATTCAAAATTTCAAATCATGATTTCGTAAGAGTTCATTTTCAAATTTTCTTGGTAATATATGTAGCATGACCACGAGTAGATACTTTGCTTTTTGTTATAGGTCAAAAAAGAAGATTCATTCACCTTATGGTAAATGTATTAATCAGTTTAATGATTAATATACATTGGTAGTCAAATTCATGTATCTTTAAGTTTAGTTTGTTACTTATACAAAAATATTAAAAATACATGGATTTATTAATTACGTATATTCAATTTACTCAAATTCATGTACTTTTGATGCGTTTCTTCGAGACAACATAATTCAATTGGATTGAATTTCAGTTTCTTACGAAATAGTAAGATTCAGTTAAACAAAATTTAAAGAATAGATAAAATATAACTAGTAAAAAAAGAAAACACCAAATTTGTAATTAAATAGATCGACGGCTAAGATTAACATAGAACCAAAATAAAAGAAATTTACTATTATATTGATACAATAAGACTGGAAATAGATCTCAGATATGTAGCTATAAATATGCACACATGTGCAACCTATATTTTGCAACGTAACAAAACAAATAAAGAAACTAAATTTTGTTCCTTCCTCTTCTACAGGCAAGTACGATCTTTTGCTATCTCTACATTTTGCAGACAAAAGTTTTATAATGGTATATTCCTCTAAGAAGCTGTTCTTGTTCTTCCTCTCGTGCATTATGCTGATTTTCAACTACAACACTAGTGGCATCGTAACCACAGCAAATAGCATTGGCTTGAACTATGGCCTCCTTGGAGATAACCTCCCAGCACCGTCCAATGTACTCAACCTTTACAAGTCCATAGGCATTACAAAAATCCGAATCTTCGACCCGAACACAGAGGTTCTTAACGCCTTACGCGGCCACAACAATATTGAAGTCACGGTTGGCGTGAGGGACCAGGACTTGGCTGCTCTTGCAGCTAGCGAAGAAGCTGCTAAGGACTGGGTTGCAACCAACATCGAGCCTTACTTAGCCGACGTCAACATTTCGTTCATTACTGTTGGTAATGAAGTCATCCCCGGACCAATCGGTCCTCAAGTGCTTCCGGTCATGCAGTCTCTCACCAACCTCGTCAAGTCGAGGAATCTTCCGATCGCGGTAAGCACCGTGGTGGCTATGTCAAATCTTAAGCAATCATACCCACCTTCCGCTGGAAAGTTCACGTCCCAAGCGCGAGAACAACTTGTCCCCGTGCTTAAACTATTGTCTCAAACAAGTACGCCTATTCTCGTCAATATTTACCCTTACTTCCCTTACGCGTCTGACCCAACGAACATCCCTCTCGACTATGCTACCTTCAACATTGAGGTCGTCGTGGTCCAAGATGGACCATTGGGCTATTCAAACATGTTTGATGCAATCTTTGACGCATTTGTGTGGGCCATGGAGAAGGAAGGCGTGAAAGATTTACCTTTGGTAGTGTCCGAGACGGGATGGCCATCTGCCGGAAATGGGAACTTAACCACACCGGATATCGCGGGTACCTACAATAGAAATTTTGTGAAGCATGTACTAAGCGGAAAAGGAACGCCTAAGCGACCCAACAATGGAATGGATGGGTTTCTATTCGCAACGTTCAACGAAAATCAAAAGCCGGCAGGGACTGAACAGAATTTTGGGTTGTACAATCCTAGTGATATGAAACCCATCTACAAGCTATTTTAAGTGTGAAAGTTGCTTAGACTTTCCCGATTCACTAGTTGTTAGTGAACTAAGTAAAATTAACACATACTAAGCTATTGGCTTATGTGGAAGTGATGAGATCTGGTAGGGAGCTTGGTTGACTTTGTAATAAATCTGAATTTGGTAGTTTAAACTACTTTCTCTGGTTTAGTAAAGAGAAAAATGTCATTAAATCATCACTTTACTATTTTCGTTAGTTTAAAGCATGAACTCTAGACCTGGTGATTTAAATCCTTAGTTTTCTGTTAATTTTCTTTTTAATCATGAATTCTCGTTGACAAAGCCAATTGAGGTACATTGCTAAATGGCTAAACGGATCAATAAGACGATGTCATCGTATAACTGGCACGTCGAAACCATCGCATAATTTTTCTATTACACCAACTGAGTTTTCATCTTCTTCTTCAAAAACTATGTGATGACATCGTCTGATTACTCCGTTTAGTCAGTTAACGATGTACCTCAATTGGCTAAGTCAATTAGAATTCGTGATTAAAGTGAAAACCAACATAAATTGAGGATTTAAATCATTAGGTCCACATAAAATTGAGGATTTAAATCACCAGGTCTAGAGTTCATGCTTTAAACCAACGAAAATGGTAAACTTATGATTTAAATGACATTTTTCCCGTTTAGTAAATGTATTCCTTCATCTGACACAAAAGTACGCAAGTTGTTTCGCATCCATTTGTGTGTGCATTTGTATAGAATTACATTTCCAATATAAATATATTTTAAATGACATTTATTCTTTAGTAACTAAAAATTTCACAAAACGAAAATAAAATAATTTGTTTATTTGACTTTTACAAATTATAATCAACAATTACAATTAAACTTTTCAGATTTTTATTCAATATTTTAGAAAAGATGTGATTTTATATTTATATCGAATTCAAAATATATAAACAAAAAATAATATGTTTTCATTTTTTCATTTAGTCAAGATTTTTTAAAATATATATATTTACATACACTATATTTATTTTTAAGTTAACTACGAATATAAAGTATATATTTGAAATTTAATTGTTTTAAAATAAATTATTAATTTAAAATTTATAAACAACAATACTTACCTCAATTTTCTAAAAATAAATCAATAGTTCAAAAAAAATCGACAATGTGGTTGTTTGACAATAAATTTGGAAATGATTAAACACAATATATGAAATATATGATTTGAGGATCTGGCTTTGACCCATCTTAATCCGTTTTTCCTATTCTTTCATTCTTTTGAATCAAAATCAATTTTTGAATTCGTCAATCATTCTTCTTCCTCTAATTCCCCAAAAAAATAACCTATTTCCTCTCTCATTTTTCCATGTGAAATCATGTGAGCTTACACCGTCAGAATAACGATATGGTTCGCAACGAGGACATTGTGTTCTGTGAGTGGGAGGTCATTGTAACATTTTGATGGTGCATGCAATTTTATGATAAATGATTTTGGCTACATATGTCACCAAAATGTAGTTGTCTTTTTCGTAAATCATCCTAACAGAACTCTTGAGTTAAGCGTAGTTGAGCTGGAGCGATTGAAAGATGGATGACCTAAGGGAAAGTGATTTTCGAGTATGTGTGAGTGAGAACAAAACATGTGAAAAAATCTAGTGGTGGTTTGTTAGATTGGTAAACAAGTCTTTCGAACCTTACGGAGTAACGCATCGATATTCGGACAAATGTAGGATCATAGACCGAGAAAGAGCGTAGGATCTACAGACGGTGGTGGTCTGGGCGTTACAGTTCAAATTATTGTGAATGCAGATCAACATTGCTTGTTTTGAACCACTAAAGCATTTTAGCAATCCTTAGTACTTTCATGATCTATTTTTGTTTTGGTTTCATGTTTTCGCTGTTAAAATTCAAGGTTACGTTCAAGTTGAGAACTATACATGACTATACTTCCCTACGAAATCAGAACCAAAAGTTTTAATTATCATAGTGTTAGAAAACAACATCAGTTGATCTGTCAGCATCGTTTATAGTTGAGCCCCCGTTTTGTTTTTTGATTTAGCTAAAACATCTTTGGCAAATATTTTCGAAGTTATTCGTCTTTTATAAATCCAAAAATTTCACTTGTAACTTTCAAATGTATGACGACTCACATAAATGTCCCTATTAATCATTATTCCAACATCGAACACCACTACAATAAGGCCAAAATCGTATAATGTCATCTCGTGCTAATGTATTTACACAATGCTCCTTGTCAATCCAATGAATCTTTGTGTTTTTACTCCACATTGACAATCCACAATAGCACTTGTTATACAAAATCTTTTAAAGAGTTTAAAACAAGAAATCACATAGACAACTAGACAATCCAGGGATAGTGTCGATCGACACTTGCACGAATTTTGGTCTCCGGATTGCTCTCGTAGCATAACTTCTCGGTTTTGCTCTAGAATGATCTATAATCTCCAAATTAGTCTCAAACGTGCATAAACTTGAAAAAGACTAGAAAAGACTTTAGAAATAACAAAAAGACACTAAAACTGACACATATATCATGGCTAAAAACGGTAAAATCCATGATATATCAATAAATCCAAAAATTTCACTTCTAACTTTCAAATGTATGACCACTCATAAATGTCCCTATTAATCATTATTCCAACATCGAACACCACTACAATAAGGCCAAAATCGTATAATGTCATCTCGTACTAATGTATTTACACAATGCTCCTTGTCAATCCAATGAATTTGTGTTTTTACTCCACATTGACAATCCACAATAGCACTTGCACTACAAGAAAAATGGCTTTTCGTAGCACCCGAATAACGCTATCTAACTATTCTATAGCGTTTTGACAAGCGCTATATCTGCGCCCGTCATAATAGGTATGCCACTTTCGATAACGTATTTTAGCACTGCTATCGTATCTTAGTCAAATATAACGTTTTCTTTTATGTAATTGTATATTTTACAATAGCAATTATACTTTGTTACGAATTGTTATATTCATAGCATTTTATATATGTAACCATTTTTGTAATTGTTCTCTAGGTTTTCTATTTTGATTTTTTGGATTATTTGACAAATTAAAAAAGAAAAATGTCATATTTTATTACATTTATATGAAAACCATATACAAAAGACCTATATTACAAAGTAAAAGGACAAAATAAAAAATAAATTTCATACAACTCTTGTTTTTAACTTGTGAATTCTTCACACCCTTGGACCTCTTGGACCTCCATCTTTGAAACTTCTTCTCCGTAATCATCAACAATATTAGCTTCCTCCTTTGCCAAGAGCTAAGCAACAAAACAAGACCAATAAAAAAACGTAAAAACTCAAACTTTGTGTGAAAAGAATCTAGGAAGTGGCAATTTCATAGAGAAAACAAAGTCCATATTCAAATCCAAAAACACAAACACAAATTGCTTTAAAATCATAGCTTTGTCGGCATGAGTAGAACGGATCTATTGAGTGAAAAAATCACATCAGCTCAATTCAATAAATCAACATAACTTATAACAAAACTGAAAAAATTAAACCTTGAGGAACTGAGTATGAGGAAGAAACCTAATCAATTCTCTAGTTGAGATGATTCTCCAAAACTGAGACTAACAACCACCGCCATCTCTAGCGCCCAAAATTGAATCTGCATAAACCATATGAGAAGAAGGAGCAACCTTAAGAACTCTCATCTGAACTGTTTCTTCATTAACAACCAGATCTGAGAGTGAGAGGAAGATCGAAAGAAGAGAGGAAAAGAGAGAGACGACGAGAGGGAATGAAAGGAGAAACTTACATCGAAGACTTGAAAGCACTCGTTGGCGCTGCTCCGAAGGGAGATGAAGGTGGATTTGAGGAAGAAGAGGCTCCGAACAGAGATGATGATGTAACAGTCGATTGAAGCGCAGGTTAAGAGGCTGGTGAAGTTGCGGACGATGCAGGATCTGAAATGGTGGATCCTAAATAGGCAAATCTGGAACTAGGGTTTGAGGATTTGGTGAAAGAAAAAGATGGGGAAGTGGTAGATGAACCGGAAGTTTCCCTCGACTGATTAGCTGATTTTTTCAATGGATGGGCAAACGAGAAATTGATTCACTCAATTGATTTTCGCTCAAGTAGAAGATAATCAATTTTTCATACGCTCTCTCAGTTGATTCTCTCTTTTTCACCTAGGTGCTGTTCGTTTCTCCATTCAGATGGATCATCCGAATGGAGATGAGTTATGATGTTCGTTTATAACAATTTTACAGAGCAGTGAGATGAACCAGTTGGATGATTTTTATCAAACTCATCCAAAAAATGATCATTTTCCGACTGAGTCTGATCGGAGCAGTTGACTGGAACTGAGTCAGTCTAAAATACAAAATGACCTAAATACCCCTATCTAATTTGGAAAATTACACCAAAAAACCTAAACCTACTTCTCATCATTCATTCCACGACAGAGACTCAGAGAGCCATCCTTCGACAACGTGAGAAGAGAAACGAGATCCTTCGCACCGAAGCTGGATCTCTTCGCAGCTGGATCTCTCCGCCGGATCTCTCGCCGGAATCCACTCCTCTTTGATCTTCTCACTCCACTCCACTCCTCTTTGATCTCTCCGCCGGCTGTCTTCTTCTCTCTCGTGCGTGGGTTTAGGTGTTACGATTGAATTAGCTGCGACCATTGTTTGAGAGGTAAGACTCATGGGTTTGATTATTGGATTTGATTTCTCCTTTAGTCATTGAAATCTCGAAGTGGGTTTCAGGTGTTACGGATTGAAATCGCTGCAACCACTGTTTGAGAGGTATGATATATCTCTAATTCATGATTTTGTATTGAGTTTATGTGTACCAATGGAGACGAGTGTTGTGGCTTTGTTTGATTTCGTGTTTCTAATGCTTATAGGCTATTATCGTTTTTGATGTTTGATTTTGTATTGAGTTGATCTGTTTCACCATCTAAAGCTGCCATTGTTTGATGTTTGATCTGTTTCACCATTTAAAGCTGCCATTGTGTGTTTAGTTCTGTGGCTTCTTCGTTAGTGTTTAGTCTCTTTAAGTGTGTCAGTGCACCAAACTAGCTTTAGATGAAACTTTCTTTGGTTTACTGATTACTGGGATTTCAAGTAGACATGAATCTTGAGCTCTAAGCGGCTAATGCACCAACTTAACTTTAGATGAAATTGCTTGGATTTTGGCCTAACTCTGTCTCTATTGTGGTACTAAAGATCTCTAGTTAGTGCATGAGCGCAGGCTTCTCTTGATATTTGGATGCGCCTGCAAAAAAAAACATAGTTGTTCACTAGAGATCTCTTAAAATTTTCAAAATCTCTAAGATAATGAGAACTTGATCATCTCCTTAACCACAAGATTTCAAGTGAGGTTTTAACCACAAGATCATCCACTTTGTTCACTAGCTTTTTAAGTGTGTTCTGGAAATCTGAGAGTTCCTTCCTTTAATGAAACCCCTGTTATATGACTTTTTTGAGTTTGATTTGTCTGCAACGAAGCATGTAAATCCAGGAACAGCTTTGCTTCTGTTTGTGAATATCTTTCTCTCTTTTTTGTTCTATAAATTTGAGTCTGTTTTGGCCTCATTTCTTTTACTGAATAATTTGATTGAGTCAGCTAAAATTAGTCTGAATTTCTTACGCAGCTTTGCTTGTAATGTCTGTTCGAGTTTGGTTGACTCCACCATGGTTTATGGTACATTATCATCATGTGCATGTTGCATTATCATTCAAGATAGTGTCTTGTGAACTCTAGTGTCTAGTGTCTTGTGTCTTTCATGTTTCTTGGGAACTCTAGTGTCTAGTTGTAAATTTGACGTTTACACAATTTGATTAAATAATCTCTTCTGGTTCAACTTAGAGAAGACTGATTGTTGATCTTTTTATATATTTACGTTAATAGCTACAAGACTGCATTCTCCATAAATTGTTGTCAAACCATGTCTCAGAATCTCTGTTTGACATTTTTCATTTGCCGACAGAGCTTAATAAGTTGATTAATGAAGAAGTGTTGTTGTTACACGAGTCTTTGTGGCTCAATTTAAAAAAAAAAAAAAAAAAGGGGTTAAAGCTCAATCATGAGCATGCCGTTTATAAAGTGCCATATCAGCAAACCGGTAATATGCATACCGCATAAAATAAAGAAGGTAGAGAATCCAGTTAATATATACAGTCAGGGATGTTAAAACGGGCCTGAAGCCCGCGGGCCTAAACGGGTATTGCATAATATTGTTTAGCCCGAACCCGTTTATTTAATTTATTTTTACACGGGCTTTAAAAGTACAGGCCCGTTTATGTAAGATAAGAAACGGGTTTAAGAAAAATTTAAATGGGTAGCCCGTTTAGTGGAACTAAATGAAGCTACGTCGTTTTAGTTTAGGGTTTCACTAGGTCGTCTCTCTCCAAGATCTCAACGAGAGTATGTTTTTGATAATCTGAAATTGAAAAAGCTCTCATAGCTTCTTCTCAATTTTCTTCAATTGTCGTTACCCTTCTCCCAAATTCACGACTTTTTTCTGGGTTCGTCGGAAAACTTGAGGTTCGTGAGGAAAGTGAGTGAGGTTAGTGGTGAGATTGAACCGGTGAGATTGATGTCTACGAGGACGAGTCGTGTGACTGTTGCTTAGTTACGTTTGGGCATTGCAACTTTCTCTTCTCACTCCTTATATTCAGGTACTTACTACTTCTCTCTTATCACTTGTGGGTTCGGATTCGATTTGGGTTTGTTTATAGTTCATCGTTAGTATAGAAATGAGATTAGTATCATCAACGTTTGTATAGATATGAGATGGATTAGTATTTCAGATCTGAGAGTGAGAGGAAGATCGAAAGAAGAGAGGAAAAGAGAGAGACGACGAGAGGGAATGAAAGGAGAAACTTACATCGAAGACTTGAAAGCACTCGTTGGCGCTGCTCCGAAGGGAGATGAAGGTGGATTTGAGGAAGAAGAGGCTCCGAACATAGATGATGCTGTAACAGTCGATTGAAGCGCAGGTTAAGAGGCTGGTGAAGTTGCGGACGATGCAGGATCTGAAATGGTGGATCCTAAATAGGCAAATCTGGAACTAGGGTTTGAGGATTTGGTGAAAGAAAAAGATGGGGAAGTGGTAGATGAACCGAAAGTTTCCCTCGACTGATTAGCTGATTTTTTCAATGGATGGGCAAACGAGAAATTGATTCACTCAATTGATTTTCGCTCAAGTAGAAGATAATCAATTTTTCATACGCTCTCTCAGTTGATTCTCTCTTTTTCACCTAGTTAAGGAGCAGCCACCGAAAATCTTTTAGTTCACAGATAAAATAAGTCAAAAAGTTTTACAACAAAAAATTGGCGGCCATGAAAAATAGAGGCGGGTACTAAATAATTTTTAGGGTTAACTCTATGATAACGTTTTTAAAATTGTATATGCTATTACAATACAGACGATGTTAAAAACCTAAAGAATTAAAAAAATAAGCGGAAGCACAATATTTTCACAAACCCAATATATTATAGCGTTTGTCTATTTATAAACGCTATAGAAAAATTACGAATAAGTCAACAATAGCAAAACACACATAAACGCTATCTTATAATGCTATTAAAACTCAATATTCTTGTAGTGTTGTTATACAAATCTCTTAAAGAGTTTAAAACAAGACATCACATAATAAGTGACTTTTTTTTTAGCATAATAAGTGACTTTTTTTTTATATACACAAGTACTGTATGTTTTTGTTAGCATAATAAGTGACTTTTTTTTTTCCTTGCAGTAAACAGGAAAATCTTGTAAGGAAATAAATATCGATGATTGGACAAATTTGAGTAAAAAGGGTAAATAGGACCATTTTGTGATTTTTCACCAGCGCGGTCGGAGAACAGCTGAAATCTCTCCGGCCTGAACCATTTTCTCCGGCTAAATCCCTAATTTCGAATTCTGATTCCGTCTGCAGATATCCTGCTAGGCAAATTTCGCCACGAGAGACGAAGATTCAGAACTCGAAGATAGTGAGAAATTATAAGCGAAAGAAGGAGAGCAGATATCGAAAGTGCGGGGTTTTTGAAAAGGCTCGAGGAAATGAGACAAGGACCATGTTCTGAAGAAGGTTGCTTTACCGTGTTGAAGCTGTTCGAGCATGTTCTTGAATCTGACCCTCTTATGTGAGTCTAATGTTCTCAATAATTGGTTTGAGTTTGAATTGAATTTGGTTTCTTCCTGTTCTCTTACCATAGTCCTCACTCCTTAGTTAATGCTTCCTCTTACTTTATTTAGTCTCTCTGAATTCAGTGATGAAGTAGGTTTTATTCACCCCTCACAGTTCAACCTGCTGGATGAAGAAGCAGGTTCCTCCAGTGTCTATCAAAATGAACTCCAGCCTAACAATGGAACCTCAAGAAAATTCTGGAATCAAGATCACAAATTGGGAATATCAACTGATGTACTTGTTCAATTATGTAAAGATGCCAAACATGTGTTTCTGCTTGCGTTTGAGGAGTACAAACGCCATGGAAACGCTTGTAATGAGTCTCAAATTGAGAATTTCTCTTGTTCCCCCGGTACGCCCGAGATTGAAGTTATGAGGCATAGCCAAGCTGTTTTGCTGTTAAGTTCAGACTTTGGAACTGCATGGAATGCTAGGTACTCATATAAGTAATAATTGATTTAATATGTTTCCTAGTGTTTAACCTCGTCTTGTATGTGTGTTCTGGAGATAGGAAGTTGATATTATCAAAAAAGGATCAACTTTCGGCATTCACGGAAGAACTTCGTCTCTCTGGGCTCATTCTTTCAAATTCTCCTAAGAGTGAGTCAACATGGAGCCATAGGTCGGTCTTTATGATTCATTGTATTCATTAGAATCAATGTTTCCGGTCACTGTTATGCTTTAGTAATGCAAACCCATTTTCTGATCTTAAGTGCATTTTTCTGTTAAAGCCTGAATAGTTCCTACTTGTTCTTGTCCATTTACTTTCCTCGTAATATTTGGTTTTTATTTCAACAGAAGGTGGATAATTAAGATGATTTCTCAGAGATTTTCTACACCACAAGTGATTATAACCAAAGAATCTGAGTTAGTGGAATCAATAGGCGAGGTATAGTTCCAGATTTGATGCTTTAATTAATGAAAGTTCATCATATATCTAATGAAATAAATATTGGTTTCTCCTAGTCTTCACAAGTTGGCTATCATGTATATATTGAATGGTCGGTCACTCTTACCATTCCTACTTATATGACACAACCACTTACTTTGTTCCTAAAAGAAACTCTAGCTCCTAATCAAAATACATGCCTTTTGCAGAGATCAAAGATGAACTATCGTGCATGGTATCACCGTTGCTGGTTGGTTTCCTACATGGCAATTGAGCAGCTAAATCATTTTCTACATTTCTTCAGATATCATTCCTGATCTTTTGAACATATGGTCTGAACTTGTAACCTTTTTGTATGGTCAGATATACTTAACTTTGCAACGTTTCTCTGACTTCATTAATTTGGTTCCTTTTGTTAGCTGAACTTGTGAAAGTTTCATATTGTCTAAGATACACCATAAGTTTTCTATTATATGTGATTCCGATTACATAGATATATGTTGTCTATTCTAGGTGATACAAGAGTTGAACAAATCTAAAAGGTGGGCCGGGCTTCATGTAGCCGATAGTTCTTGCTTCCATTATCGTAGAGTAAGAACCGTATATTCAGTTTATATGATTGCTAAAAATCTAGAGTATACATCAATCTAACTTACCCCAAGTTATGTTAGGTCTTGGAAGTAAAAAGTACAACTATCATTCTCCGTTCTGATGAAGTGTTCCATGCAGCTCAACTGTTTTGTTTTCATTAATGTCCAGCGGTTGATGCTCAAGATTTTGGAGTCACTTTATGTGAAAGGAGGCAATGCTTATGATAAATCTGAGGCACGTAAAATCTGGAAGGTACGCTTTGTCTTCCTTGCTAACCCATCCCTGTTATGGTACCTTTATTTTTTCCCAGAGTAATCTTATTTTTACATTTGTGCTGAAAATGAGGATGTCTCCTAAAACTTATCTACGATTATATGACAGGAAGAGCTGGATTGGAACAAAGAATTGGTAGAACGTTACGTGGGACGAGAGGTATGATATCTTTGATTTTCAAAAATTAATTAGTGTAGAGATGGCCAGGGTATGAAGATCTAGCTCCTATCATACATCTGTTATTAAAAAAACAACCAAGTTGGATTTTGTCAACGCATAATTTCTCTAGCGCTAAGCTATCATCGCGACAGTGGTTTGGATGACAAAGATAGTTTTGTAAACAGTTTGTTGTCGTGCTACGATGGAGATGATCGAATTAGGGACTTATTTGAGTTGTTACACTTTCTCTTTCAGGCCCTATGGCTTCACCGGCGGTTCCTCTCTCTTAATTGGATAATATATTTCGCTTGCAATGATTCAGATGTTTCACCTGAACCCGGAGAGAGTATCATTATGAATGAAGAAATTGCCATCTTCATTGATAACGAGATCCATCTTCTAGAATCTTCTATGACCGTTCCGGATACCAAATTTGAAGATTTCCAAGCTCAAGCATTGCATGCTGGTGTCTACATGCTATGGCTGACAAAGGTAACAGTGTTCTCTTCTTGTCAAAATAAAGTCATCAAAAAAATTGCCACTATTGTCAACCACACAAGTGCAGAAAAATAGATTGGGAGTTTTCCGTATAGCAGAATGATGGAAATATGGTGGACTTTGATTTTCTGATATGCATTCGTTTATGAGCAGAAAATGCCAGAATTGTGGAGAATGGTTGAGGAGAAGCTTGGAACAGAGAAAGTGAAGTGTGTACTGAGCACAATTGCTCAAGGAGACCCTCACTTTTGCATCATTTGGTGAATGTCTGAAGATTCTTTTGAGATTTCAAAATGCTATATCTTTTTATATATTTACGTTAATAGCTACAAGACTGCATTCTCCATAAATTGTTGTCAAACCATGTCTCAGAATCTCTGTTTGACATTTTTCATTTGCCGACAGAGCTTAATAAGTTGATTAATGAAGAAGTGTTGTTGTTACACGAGTCTTTGTAGCTCAATTTAAAAAAAAAAAAAAAAAAAAAGGGGTTAAAGCTCAATCATGAGCATGCCGTTTATAAAGTGCCATATCAGCAAACCGGTAATATGCTTCCGCTTATTTTTTTAATTCTTTAGGTTTTTAACATCGTCTGTATTGTAATAGCATATACAATTTTAAAAACGTTATCATAGAGTTAACCCTAAAAATTATTTAGTACCCGCCTCTATTTTTCATGGCCGCCAATTTTTTGTTGTAAAACTTTTTGACTTATTTTATCTGTGAACTAAAAGAATTTCGGTGGCTGCTCCTTAACTAGGTGAAAAAGAGAGAATCAACTGAGAGAGCGTATGAAAAATTGATTATCTTCTACTTGAGCGAAAATCAATTGAGTGAATCAATATCTCGTTTGCCCATCCATTGAAAAAATCAGCTAATCAGTCGAGGGAAACTTCCGGTTCATCTACCACTTCCCCATCTTTTTCTTTCACCAAATCCTCAAACCCTAGTTCCAGATTTGCCTATTTAGGATCCACCATTTCAGATCCTGCATCGTCCGCAACTTCACCAGCCTCTTAACATGCGCTTCAATCGACTGTTACAGCATCATCTATGTTCGGAGCCTCTTCTTCCTCAAATCCACCTTCATCTCCCTTCGGAGCAGCGCCAACGAGTGCTTTCAAGTCTTCGATGTAAGTTTCTCCTTTCATTCCCTCTCGTCGTCTCTCTCTTTTCCTCTCTTCTTTCGATCTTCCTCTCACTCTCAGATCTGAAATACTAATCCATCTCATATCTATACAAACGTTGATGATACTAATCTCATTTCTATACTAACGATGAACTATAAACAAACCCAAATCGAATCCGAACCCACAAGTGATAAGAGAGAAGTAGTAAGTACCTGAATATAAGGAGTGAGAAGAGAAAGTTGCAATGCTATGATAACGTTTTAAAAATTGTATATGCTATTACAATACAGACGATGTTAAAAACCTAAAGAATTAAAAAAATAAGCGGAAGCACAATATTTTCACAAACCCAATATATTATAGCGTTTGTCTATTTATAAACGCTATAGAAAAATTACGAATAAGTCAACAATAGCAAAACACACATAAACGCTATCTTATAATGCTATTAAAACTCAATATTCTTGTAGTGTTGTTATACAAATCTCTTAAAGAGTTTAAAACAAGACATCACATAGACATACATTGCCATTTTGCCATTACTATGGATTTCAACAAGACAATTCCTCCCTTCATTGCAACATGTTTTCACATACCAACCAATTAACTTTGATTCCAAACTACCATGTTTAGCATTGCTTGTTATAAACAATCCTATATTTTCTTGAAACTCCTTCATTTTGAATCCATTGTCTTCTCCATTTTTGCGTTTAGGTTTTTAAAGCTACGCAAAAAACACAACTTTTTCATATTAAAAAGGCCTGTTTTTAAAATTGCCGACACGAAAAAAAAAACAATTATACATTAAGTATTAAAAAAAAAAACTTTATATAAAATAAAAAAAGGAAAGTGATGGTTAGATTGCGATGTGGTAGGGACTCGGTGAGGGTTTTGGAAGCATGACAAAAGATCCATGCCATTGAGATCCCTTTATTTACGACTAAGCCACCTCTTCAATTTCAGACACAACACCAAATACTTCTTCTTCTTCTTCTTCTTCCTCTCGTCTCTAAAAATCCTTCCTTTTTTTCTGGGTTTTCTCCAATCTTCATCTCTCATTCGAACCCACAAGTCCGATCTCATCTCCCGATCCAAAAACCATGGAAGAGGTTGAAGAAGAAGTAAAACGAATCGTCGAACAAGTTAAAGAGCTTCACGACTCTTCCACATCATTCGTTTCTTCTTCTTCTCAAGAAGAGCTCTCTCTCCGTAACAGAGCCTCCGTCGTTGACTCATCAATCCGTCGTCTTCATTCTACTCTTGCCTCCGACAAACATCTCGATCCCAAGCTTTTCGAAAAGGTTAATCTTTTAAACCTATCTCTCTGTCTCTTTCTCGACTTCTCCGATTCTTAAATTTGTTTATTGTTACAGCTTGAAGAGGATCTACAACGAGCTAAATGCATGCTTGCAGATGGTGACACTTCATCGTTTCTTCCCTCTAAACCTCAAGGTTTCAAATCTCAGATTCATTTTCTGATTTGATCCATTGTTAAAGGAATAGACTTTGAGTTTTTTTAAATGAGTTTGTTATGATTGGAAGCAGGACGTTTTGTGAGAATGTTTTTGGGACCTGTGAATGTTCGAGCTTCACGGAAAGATATACAGCTTAAAGTTAAAGAAGAGTACAATAGCTACAGAGTTAGTCTTTGCTTTTTTTTGGTTGGATCTTGGTTCAATGTCGAATGAATCTGTTAAATGACTTGTCTTTTTTCATGGAAACAGGATAGAACAGCTCTTCTTTTTCTTGTTTTCCCTGCAATACTTTTGACACTAAGATCTTATGTGTGGGATGGATGTTTGCCTGCATTCCCTGTTCAGCTCTACCAGGTATATTATAACTAGGGTTGAATTCGTGTTCGATTTGAGTTATGTGTAAAGGTTTTGGATTAATATGTACAACTTCCTTTGATCAGGCTTGGCTTCTGTTCCTTTATGCTGGTTTGGTTATGCGAGAGAACATTTTGAGAGCCAACGGGAGTGATATCCGTTCATGGTACTCTTATCCTATTACCCACTCAGTTGATTTTAGTTGTATTGATCCCTTAAGTTGTGCTTGTGGTTGGCTATTGTTATAAGGTTGATGTAGTTGTTATGCTATTGCTGAAAGTCACATGATATAAAGTTTGGTAAAGTCGATCATTAGGTTGTGTTAGGCTACACTGATTTTAGGTTCTTAATTCATTTGGTTAATCCTTCCTTTGAAAGCATGGATCATTTTCTTTTGGATCATCTCTCTTTCCGTTAGTTAGATCCTGTGTACTGCCGACTCTCCTTCTTTGTCTATTTGCTCTTTTATGACTGCCCATGAAAAATTACTATTTACTTTAGGTTGTTTATTTTTGACTGCAAGAAACTCATCAAATCAGTTGTGGCTGCCTCACTGGTCAATGTTATGCTACCAGTTGTGTTTTGCTCTGTTTTTGGTACCTCTCCAAGACTATACTAATCTCACTACTGAATGAGGGGGGCATTAGAATTGAGTAGATGATAGGAATTTCTATAGGCAATGTAATGCAGAGACAGGCGTTCATCGCTCACTTATTTGGTATCGAATAGAAATATGGGACTGCTATTAGAGAGGTAGCTTATTTTTGTTGTCGATTAGAAATTGGATGAGAAACTTTTTAGCCACCCATAAAGGCCTTAGTGGGTTGATGATTTTGATCTGAAGTGAATCATGTTATTTTAGACTGGTTTTATTGTGTGTGACTCCAGTTATCTTAATATATACCCTCCCATGGTTTGGAGATGACTAAGACCTCTGGATTGATATGCTTTTGTAGGTGGATTTTTCATCATTATTTTGCCATGGCTATGTCCCTTGTCAGTCTCACTTGGGAAATCAAAGGTCAACCAAACTGTGTTCAGAAGCAGGTAGTGGTTATTAACTTTATCTTATATGCCAAGTAAAATCTACCAAACAAATGTTATAGATCATTCTAAATGTTTTGCAGAAAGGAGTGCGTCTTTTCCTCCAATGGGCTATGATGCAAGGTGTTGCAATGCTTCTGCAAAATAGATATCAGCGCCAAAGATTATACACTCGCATTGCACTAGGAAAGGTGCCATACTATTTGCATTTTTCTCTGGTCCAAATCATATCCACCACTATGAAATGACTGTAAAAATGTGCATTGTGGTCATTTTCAGGCTAAAAGGATGGACGTCGTATGGGGAGAAACAGCTGGAGTAGATGGGCAACTATTGCTATTATTTCCTATTTTGTTCACTTTACAGGTAACAATTCTACTTTTGTTGCACAATTAATTTCACAGAAGCATCTTAAAGCCTTATATTTCCTCACCATAAGTAAACATAACTTCATGATGTCCTTTACTAAGTAAACATAACTTCATGATGTCCTCTCAAACTTGTAAGATAGTCGAAACAGTGAAAGATCTTTGCTCGCTCTCACCAGTCTAAAGGAAACTTCAGACTTATACTAAGTTCATAAGCTTGTTTATCATATTGTAGTTAAACATGTTTATATTCTACTTTGGAAACTCAGGGCTTTGAAGCATATGTGGGACTGCAGTTGCTTAGGACTGTGTTGACGGGTGTAGTCGCTGAATGGCAGGTATAAATCTCTCTTCTGGCAGCATTTGTGCATTATGCTCACTGGTTTATTCACGCACCAATCTGACAAAAAAAAAACATAACATATTGACGTTGACAGTAGTTGAATAGATAGAATCGATATTGGAAACTTGTGAATATTGAAAACTCAATCTCTTGTTGGTCTTGTTTCTCATTTCCAAACAAGTAACTTATCTTAAAATACACATTCTACGGTTTGTTTATCAGAATGGTTTTCTTATGATAACGTGAATGCTGCGTGCAGGTATTGGTTTGTGGCATTCTTCTGGTAGTGATGGCCATTGGAAACTTCATAAACACAGTAGAGACATTGATGGTGAAGTCGAGATTCAAGGCGAAGATGAAGAGAAGTAAAAGCAGAGCAGAACTTGATTAAACTTCCTAACTTATATAACTACAGCTTCATAGTTTCAAACTGTGGATCTTTCTCCACATATTATTTGCTTTACTTGATAAATTTTGTTTTCTTGGGGCAAAAGTGACCTAAAATTCTGAAAAAAAAATCAGGGAGTGCCCTTTCTTTGTGTAAATGGAAGTTGGGATTTGATAGTTTGATTGATTAAACTGTGTTTTGTAAACTTTTCAACTAACATTTGTTGGGTTTCCAATGATCGAATTCTCAAAAAATGGTGTTGGAATTATTTTTGTATATTTGTCTAATTGTTTTAGTGCTTGGAAGTTGGAACTTGACATTACTTGTTTTTAAAAGATACCTTCCTCGTCAAGGAACCAAACAACAACCTCAAAGGGATGACAATCCTAAAAGTTTTTAACCAAAAATAAAACAGGCCTATACATTGTTGATATTCGAACCCGTGACAATGAATACAACTTTTTGGATGGTCAACTAGTATACCGGTTAATTAATGGAGATGTAATTTTTAGTCTTATCAAAAGAAAAGAAAAAACACAGAGAAAAGAATTGAGATCATTAAGGTTTTGTAGACAAGAAAAGAGAAGGCAAAGCCTAATCAAAAAGGAAACTACATGTGATCACAGATCTTAATCTTTGAGTTAATGGTGAGATCACATGTTGGCTTTTTTAGGTTACTCTAAATATACGTAATTAAAACAATATATAAAAAGAGAGTAGAAGAAAGTGAAATTAATAAAAGAAAACAAACAAAACAAATGCACATGGGTAGGACAGGCTCATTGTTGTATTTTATACACAAGAAATACATTGTAATATCTCTGTATAATTAGATACATATATAAAAAATGATTGCACGTTGGGGCAGCTGTGTTAAGACACAAAGAGGTGAAAGCAAGTTGGCAATCAAAGTGGTACTTACTCTTTCTTACCTGTACCCATTTCCTCCATTATTACTCTCTCTATCAAAAAAGATACAGAATCTTTTCTTTTTCTTTGTTTTTAATCTTTTTATTTCTTTGGTGTGATCATGTTGTCTCAATCCATGTTTCTATATTCTCTCTATTCAAAAATATTAACCATTAATTTTTTTGTAATTTTATACAAGTAATTTTTTACTTTTGAAGTAAAGAAAAAAGTTAGAAGAAGAACAGAGAGATGAACAATGAGTTAACATGAGAGTGGCACGAGTCTTGTCGTTGTAAGTACAAAAGCCTGCACATGCTTTTGATTGTAAGAGAAAAAAAATAAAAGAAAAGTTGAAACAAAAGAACAAAACTTTGAGCGACCCTGTTTAATTGATTGTGACACCAAAATGAATAATGGCTTATCGGATTGTTTTTGTGGGCGCCGCAAAAAGGATTTAACATAAAAACACAGAGAGAGATTCTCTCTTCTTCTTCTCCTCTCAATACTTATGGCTTTTAGTCTCAGTCAAAAAAGCAAAGTGAATGAATATTAGCTAATCTTTTTTTCATATATCATCATTAATCAGTCATATATGTTTATCTTTGTCTGATAAACTTAAGGATTCTTCTTATCTTAAGGAAGAAAAAAAAAGACTCTTTATTCCCCAATTAACCAATCAACAAATGTTTTTAAGGAAAAAAAAAAACGTGTGAGACTTGCTGATGAATTACAACTCCAAATAATCTAAAAGACCTTTAGCTAGAGTTTTTGTTCATGTGGGTGGTGTTGAAGAAGAAAACAATGAACAAGAAGAAACAAACAAGAGACAGTGAGAAAGAAAAGAACAAAAGGGAAAGAATGTGAAAAAGAATTGTATTCACTGAAAAATCGAAGATCGATGATGAGATCTTCGATTTTTCAGTTTGTGGTGTCAGATGTGTGTGTGTGTGTTTGTGTTTTGTGTTTTTGGGTGTTTGTTTAGAAACTATGCACACATAAGTACATTTTCTTGAATCAATGATTCTGATTTTTACTGAACCATTGTCAAGAAAGGTGGTTCCGTGTGGCCATTGCCTCCTCTGTTTGCAGGGCTTTGAAATGCGATCTCGAAAGCCGCGGATTTCTCATCCTCGTCTAGTTCTTCTTCATCCATCTCCTCTTCCTCTTCCTCCATGTTATTATAATTGTGAGACTCTTCAATCTTTTCATACTCACCTATCATTGATTGATCTTGATGTTGTTGTTGCTGTTGTTGTTGCATCAGCTCTCTCATCACAAGGTCTTCTGGCTTCAATTCCAACAAATCATATTTCAGTTATCAAAGAACATAAACCAATCACATTTTGAGAACGAAAAGCAAAGTTTGTACCTTTTCTGTTCCTTGTGGACTTTCCTCTATAGGTTCTTCTTCCTCACTTGAAGCTGACCCATGAGGTTGTTGAACATTAACAAGTCCTTCTTGTGGCGGTTTCATCGCAGGGACTGGACTCTGCTTTTGGTCTTGAGGTAGACCAGAAGTACTAGAACCGCCACCACTACCGAGTACTTTGTTGCGGTAAAGAAGATCAAGACGGTGAAAGTAAGGACAAGTCTTAGCATCTTGAGGACGTTTCTTGTTGCTTTCTTTAACTTTCTTGTAGTATTTGTTTATATTTTCCCATTTCTCTTTGCATCTCTTTGCGTTTCTGTTGTATCCCATTCTCTTCATTGACGTTGAGATCTCTTCCCATAGAAGTCCTTTAGGGACATTATCTTGGTACCTTGGTTCCATTCCGCTTCTTAGGTTTATAAGCGCTAGAATCTCCGCCTTTGGCCATCTTGATGATGATGGTAATGATGATTGTTCCGAGCTCATGACCATCTCTTGTTGTTGCGGTTGTTGTTGTTGTTGTTTCTGTTCTGGTTGATGAGGAAGATGAGGAGGAGGAGGAGGAGGAAGAATTTGTTGTTGTGGAATCGCCATTATTGGTTGTTGTAATTGAGATTGAGATGTTGACAATGGTGGTTCTGCCACACGTTTAGCAACCGCGGGTGGCGGTTGATACGGTGGAGGAGGCGGTTGAGGCGGTTGTGATGATAAAGAAGGAGGTAACTGAATGGTGTGGCCAGTAATTTTCTGAATCAATGAAATGATTGCGGCGTCACGAGAAGCAGAGGCGGCTCGTTCTTGAGACATGACCTCGTGTTCTCGAGCTAACCGAGCCATTTCTTGACGTTTCCAAGCTTCTTCTCGATCAAGACGTTCTTGCTCTCTCTTCTCAAGAGCTTCCAAGAAACTCCGTTGCATAGCCGCTTGCTTCTGCATTACTTGTCTCACCAAACCTTCAAATAATTCCATCATTTTACCGCCTCCACCGCGGTTTCCACGTTTGCGTTTTCGGCTACTAGAACCCGCAATGTTAGCTTGATCCACGTCCATCTCGTCGTTGTCATCATCAGAACCCATTCCTGAAGCCGTCGACGAGCTATGAGACGAGAAGGTACCACCAGGAAATATTGGAACCATTGAAGGAAGTGGAGGAGGTGGTGGAGTAGGAGTAAAAGAGACATTATGCGTTTGAAGCGGTTGCGGTTGCGTTTGCGGTTGAGAGAAGACGGGAAATGGAGAAGAAGAAGAAGTAGGCATGAGAATGGGATTAGCGACGGAGAGAGGAGTGACGTCGAGGGAAGATGAAGGAGGAGTAGTGTTGAGAGCTTCAAGCTGAGAGAAGAACTTGTAAGCTTTACCATCATGACGACCACCGCGAGTTTCTTTAGTGCGTTTGTAATATTTCTGAACGTTTTCGAATTTCTCTTTGCATTTCTTTGAACTTCGTTTGTAACCTAACTCCAATAGCTTCCTGTTCCAAAACATGAAAAAATTCAGTTCTGTAATAAAAATTTGTATTGTCGTTATTAGCTGGAAAATTTTATGGTTACTGTTCGATCGGATTTTTTTTTTTTAAAGGAGTCTTGGGATTTACAAAATCAAAAACGTCCCAGAAACTCATGAACCAACTCTGTAATAAACAAACAGTTCTTTTAATTTTCTTGGGGATGGTGAAGATGCTTTGATCTCGAATATATTACTATTTATATATACCAAATACACAAAAAAAAAAAAAAACAAAACACATGCAAATGGATCTCTATCAAGAACCACCATTGATGAAGAAGAAATGTAATGGAAGAGAGAAAGAGAGAAAGACCTGGAAACATGTTCCCAAAGAGGAGCTTTGAGAGTAGCATCACGAAAAGTCGAATCCATATCGGATCGGATCCGAAGAAGAGCAAGTGTTTCTTCTCTCGGCCATCGATTTCCCGATGAAGAAGACCCACTTCCTCCTCCTCCTCCTCCACCTCCTCCTCCTCCACCGTCATCCGCGGCGGCTGAGAATCTCATAAGCTCTTCTAAGTTGTTAGCAGGAGGTCTTGAACTAATAGGTGAAGCTTCCTCCACAACTTCATTACCACCACCAACACCTCCTCCTCCTCCTTGCTCCATGATGATTTTTCAATCTTTTCTAGACACACACTCTCTCTTTCTCTATAGCTCAATGTTTTTGATAATCTCATAAAACCATTGATGAGAAATAAGAAAGAGAAGCAGCCTTTTGTTTTGTTAAACTGCAACTAGGGATATGAAGGAGAAAGGAGAGAGATGATGAGGATTACGAGGATGATGATGATAGATAGAGAGAAAGAGAATGAAAGCAAAGAAGAAGTTAATAAAGCTGAAGCCTCTTCTAACTTTGCAGCAAATTATTGTTAAACCCACTTTTCTTCACTCTCTCTTTTTCTTTATTTATTTATATTTTCTTTTATATTATTATTTAAAGAAAAAAGGTCCACATCTATTTAATTAAATCCAATTTTATGTGTATTATTATTGTTATTATAAAGCAAAGAAGAAAGAAGGCTTTAAAAGTTAAATTTGGATCCGCAAACATCTCATTGCTCAGTGATCCGATTAATTTTTTTTTCTTTTTTGGTAAATTTTTTTTTTGGAGAAATATAATAAACACAAAATCATGTGCCTCCCATGTTGTTGTCCTCTCCCACCATCATGTCTAAGGTGTCCACGTGGCGTTGTCTAATTGGTAGGGTATGTGACAATCAGATTTTTGGGAAAAGGGAGGGATAGAATTGGAATTTGTTAATAGTTTTTACCCGATTTGAGCTGGACCAGCCTTGACATCTTTCCCCCACTCTCTTTCCTCTCCAATTCAACAGTTTCTTTCTCTCTTTTTTTTATTTGTTATTGTGTAATATACATTTATAGAAACATATCAAACAATAGTGTTTTAGTGATGTCAAGAAAATAAAAAAATAGTTAATCCAATCAAAGCCAGTGAATTTATTTTATGAATTATACATAGTGCATATATAGCCGTGTAATGTAAAACCCGAACTATCTCGGCAAAAATATTTGATAAAAGCCAATGGTGAAGCCAAACCCACTACCAACACTATCACAGTTTTCGTTTATTATGTCATTTTAAACTAATTATTTTACTGATTTTGCAGCGGATTTATCATACATGAATTGATATGATGGCTTTTGTGTCGATAAGAAAGTTGCGAGACTCATCTGGACGCCACAATTTTACAAGTGATTCTTGGATGTTGGCATATTTTACAAGTGATCATTTCGTGTTTTATCACATAAAACGTTTAGAATTTTTCGACAAAAAGTACAAGATAACAATCTAATAAAGAAACCTTATAACAATTAGGTGAAACAAGTACATTTTGAGATAGTAAAGCTGTGGTGAAGATAGACATAAGTGATCGATCAGAAATTGAATAGCCTCATATCTAAAATTAGTTGCAAACTCAAGACATGGATGCAGACACTCACACTATCACATTATACAACTCTTAAATACCTCTCACCTACACAAATTCACATTTCATTTTCATTACCAAATCACACACTACACAAAAACACACCGCTCATTTCTAGTTATATACAAAAAAAGGAAAACAAACTATTTTCTTATAACAAAATGAATCTAAAAAATTAAAGAAGAAGATGCTAATTAATTATAATGGTTAGAGAAGAAGGTGAAGAAGAAGAAGAAGAAGGTGGGCGGTGGAAGTGGAGAACTTTCTTGAAGGAGAAAGAAAGAGAGAGAGCGGCGGATACACAGCTGTATTCTCTTCTTCTTCCCCCCACTTTCACATGCCTCTCCTTTTTCACTTATTTATTACTTATTACATGTGATATGTTCCTTTTTCAAATTTTATTTTTCTTCATTTTGTATAACACCTAATTATAAAACTTTAATATATAAGTACAATATGATAATCAGACGAGGTGGTAAGAACATGCTCACGGAGTTTCCTTCCTTGATTTCTGAATGAATCTCTCTTTTTACATTAGAGATCTAGATCTTTGATTAAGGGACTCTTTGGTTAAACACAAAAACGTCTCTCTCTAACAATAAATCTATCTCATTAGGACACAAGTTGTAAAACTCATTACTTTCCCAACTTGTGTCATACGAGGACTTACCAAAAGATAACGAGTCAACATCATTTTGACGGGTCATAAAAACAAATTTTAGTTAATGGTCCGGCGATATTTTTGTAATTCCATGAATTTTCACACCCACGAAAATCCATATTCCTCCTCTCACAACATATCTACGATTTTAGTGGCAGCCAAATAAATAAGTACCTCACAAAGTCAAAAGCCAAAGAATTTACTTACACTAACTCACCAAAATCTAACTTTGGGCTATTTTGATCATTGCATTAACTATACGACCCCTTTAAATAGAAGCCATGATGCACGTCATAATGTCAATTTCAGGGTTTACGACAAAACAACTAGCAAAACCTGGGCTCACTTTGCCAGTGTGTCAGAGAGTTCATGACAAGTCAACTTACACCAACACTCTTGATTTAAACCCATAGTTTTAGAACACACACACACATCTTAAAAATCTATCCAACCAAAGACCTTTCCTTAAATCCGCACTAAATCCATAAACCTATGGACCACTTACCTCACCCTTACTAGTGGATATATTCTTCTTTAATAATATTAAACATAGTAAACCCACAAATATTTATGTGGCTCTATCAAGATTGGCAATGTAGTAGATAGGGAAAAAACAAAACAAAACCATTCTTAACACAGAGATGGATATGGTTCAGTGGTAAAGATTTGTTGTTGTACACATTACACTCGTTTCTCAACAGGAAAGGTTGAAGTCTTGAAATCTCAGATGTACAAAAAATGAAAGTGGAAATGGAATAAACAAAAGAGTGTGACAAATTCAATTTTGGGCATATTAGCATTCTAGGTTAGACAACAGTTTAAGGTCATGGATCTTACCTATGTACAAGCACAGGATAGAGCTGAAACAACATGCTTAGAGAGATCCAGTATTCACCATAAGTGTTCATTGAGAACTAATCGTGGAACCCAAAATTATCTTACCACACTGCCCAACTGTTAATCTGAGAGGCTCATTCGTAGTAGTTGGGGTTGCTCTGCAACACAACCGTCTCGGCGCCTATTCGTAAAAAGAGTGGAAGGATCCTCAATCAGCAAATCATAAAGAAAAGAACAGAAACATTAGGTGATAAAAGATAAACAATAAACCTCACCAGGTGCCAATTTTTACTCAGAGGAAACCCTGAGACTTGGATCTTTTCCACCTTGTGCAGAGGAAGAGAACGTGGAAAACATAGAAGCTTCGTCTTCAAATCATCCTTTACTAAGGATCTCGAGTACGTTCCGAGTGTAGCGTTGCCTTCTTGTCCTACCTCTTTCAAGAAGAAGAGGATAGGCTTCTTACAGAGAGATGAAATTGGAAGCTTTATGTCAAGATCAAACTCACCCGGATGACTTATCCCGTTCCAGGCAGAGAAGGAAAGTTCAGCTCGCTCGAGATCCCGTGGTAGGAGGATACTCGGGAAAACTTGTACAACATAACCAAGAGATATAGCAAATGTCAGTCTGTGAGTATGATCGTAGCAGATCGATCGCTGCAAAACACTCCTGGGGTCCAAACTCATAGCTCTTGTCAAGAGTTTCAAACTATCTAATGTCGATAATCCCGGATAGAGAGGATTAACAGCTTCAACATGATGAATTGAGACAAAAGGTGCAATTGGATGAGAGGACAAGAGACCATGAGCATTTCCCTTAATATCCCACTGTCACAAAATCATGACATAACCATTATCAGATTGAAGATCCAAGGTACCATAGACGCAGAGATGATGAGACATACCTGGTGAAAGCCAGGCTCTCTGGATAAAGGAACTCCGAGCTCCGTGATGCAGGCGTGGAGACGATCATCACTACCGTATAGCTTTGGGTATCTATCGAGGCAATCGTCATGAATCCGAGAGAGAGCTTCAGCTAAAGGGTAGCTAATGGCGATGCCACCGCCTCCAAAAGCCATGTTATGACTGAAGTAAGAGTTAGCAGAGTGGCTCTCCGAGGGGTTTCCAACATAAACCATCTCCAAAGGATCGTACTTGCTTAATACGGTAATAAGATTGTGAACATTGAAGATAGTATCATCATCTCCAAGAACAAACCACCGAACATTAGGGAGAGAGAGACGAAAAGACTCCATAGCAATGCGGGAGATTCGAAGTCCAGAAGGATGACCAGTAGGATTAGTGTAACGAAAACGAGAGCTGTCTTCAGAGACAATGATAGGAGGAAGTGAATCATCACCTTCCTCAGGAGAAACTTGCTCTTCAAGCCAAACGTGACCACGCATCTGAGAAGGTTTCCACCATAACCTAACAAGTTCTTTACGACGTTCCCAAAGCTGTGAAGATCCAGCAATACCAAACATCAAGTGATTCAGAGACAACAGATCAAGTCTATCAATCTCCGAGAGACTACGGTTTCTAAATTCATGATCGAATAAAGGAAGAGCTGGAAGAGACGGCGACGACGGTGGCGGAGGAGGAGGAGTTTCAATTGGATGATGGTACCGTTTGTTCCAGAGATGATTGTCTTCCCAATCTTTAAGGAGATGCCAGCAACGAGAAGTGGTTGGTGAGAAGACGAGAGAGAGCCAAGCGACGGAAGCGAGAAGAAGAGCGGAGGTAGCGACTAATGCGGTGGCGAAACGACTGAGACGGCAACGACGGATTCGAGGAGGACGAGAGATTGGGGAAGAGCAAGGACGGTGAGGAGAAGAAGAATAAAGGTAAGGAATGAATGAGAACATTACGGTGAGGATTAAACGCATCGCCCCAAGCGCACATTTCCGCCGCCGGGCGACGCAGAACGGCGGCGAACCAAGTTTCCGTTTAAATTAGGGCACAGGGTTTCGATCGCCACCGTCTCTCGTTTTTTTTTCTCTCTCTCTCTGCTTCCTTCCTTCGTCGTCGCTTTGACTTTTGGGGGTTTGATTTTGATTTTTCAAAAATTAGGGGCGGATTTTGGTAAGAAAAGTTTTATTTTAAAATGGGCTAGAACAAATTTAGGCCTATGGTAAATGGGCCTCATATAGGCCCAATTTGGTACAAAAGATTATTTGTTCGATAACGTCATTGTCTGGTGACCCCATTTTATGTACACACTTCACTTCCCAGGTGGCATTTGGTTTGTACAATCGGAAAGCCCAACAACCATCACTGTCATGTCAGAAATCAGATTCGTTATCCCATCTTCTTCTTTTCATCTTTATTATCCTTTTTGTTTTATGTAATTTTAAAAGATCTACTTTTCTTCCAAGAAACTCTATTTTATTTCTAAATTGTAACATTTTTCATTTGATGAAAACATTATAAAAAACCTAAAATTTCAGGGTATTCGAATGTAACAAATCAGTATAACTATTTGAATTTAGGTTAGCATATAATTTTAAGCGGACACACGAAAAATCGAAAACAAAACGTTTAGAAAGTCATAGGAAATCGAAAACAAGTATACAGAAACAAAATGTTTTTAACTCGCGTTCATGAATATTTTTTTGTGTATTGTAATGCTCATTTGTACACATTGTATTACAAATCAGTCGCCACCATTTAGTGTTTGTTTACCCATCCTCCTCCACATCTATCATGTAACCCCGATATAGAGGTTCGTTTGTGATCTTCAGTGATTGGTTTTTAGCCCAATATAAAATTAGCAAGGTTAGTTGAGCTCTATAAATCGGACTATTCATCAAGTTTATATCACTAGGGGTAGTATATTTATCGAACAACATAATGTAACATGATATACCTATTAACCTATGATATATAAAACCAAAGTCGGTCTAACAATATCGAGGGATCTATTCAGAATTAAAAAAATTGTTATTATTTTTGAACGTTATAAATTTATAAACAAGAAAAACAAGAGAAATTTAATGGTAACGACTAAGAAAAGTATTAATCATCAACTCCAAACAATTAAAGTAAACTTTTACAAATAATCTCATCATTTTTAGTCCAAAAATCAAAAAAAAAATATCAGAACTAAAAACAAAAAAATTTCAAACTTCTAACAGCGTATAAAATTTTGGGTTTTGATCCTTACTTTTATGTTACTTATGTTCTGGGCTGGCTCCGAAAGAAACCCTAGTTACCGATGTTTTTTCAGATAAAAAATAGATTTGTCTACTTCTTGATTTAGAATTCAATGAGTTAATTCCTCACAATAAACAATACATCGGTATTTCCGAGAAAATAACTCTGCTAGCTCACCTACTCGTTGCTGTCTTCTGATTTATTTCTCGCAACTCATAAAAAAGATCGACTAGCACCAATCACGAAGAGAAATGTATGTAAACAATGATAAATGGAAAGTCATAGCACTGAATAGTTAAGATCACATTAAATTAAAAGAAGCATGAAGAATGTGTCGGTGAGTGGTTGGGTCTATTGGGGTCAATTTCAAGAGAAATTTGTGTATGTACACAAATGGACAATACTCAAGGCGTAGAACAAGACCAGCTTACACGTTTTTTTTGTATACTTGTAGAAAAGGAAAGAAAACGACATTACATCTAACATCTTTACTTGACGACATCATTGGATTCAAAATTAATTAAAACTTAGAAAACGTAAGAGTATTTTAATACTTGGGACAATGATTCTCCTACCGTTTTTTGCCGTTGAATTAATGTATATACATCATTTATTATTACACAGTTTGAATTGTTTAAATTTTAGGTTAGAGAGTGAAGAATAAGATACTCGTATGCATGTACTCGTGCAATCTTCTGTCAGTCTGGTTGGTGGTGGTGCCTATTTACATTTTTGGCGAGAGCATGTGTTTTGTTCTCTTTGAAAATCATGACAAAAAGTTGCTTTAGTTATGATTGGATTTAAGTCAAGAGAAATTTACTTCTTTTTGTTAAAAAGAAAAAAGCAAACAATGTTTTTTCGAAAGCAATTAATTAGTAATTACCGACAGATTGAAACACTCTTAATTTGCTGTTAAAATTTATTAGCAAATCTTGGGAAAAATGGATAGAAAAACCCTCACTTTTCTTTAAAACATACTCCCACAAAAATCCCACAAAAAAAAGTTGAGGATTTTTATGGTAGATTATGAATTAAAGTTTTGTTTTTATAATTTGACAGCTAATATATTGATGGTGGAATAAATGTATTTGGAGTAAAAAATTATTTAGTGTGATTGATAACTTTTTATCGATGCGGAAAGAGATATACCGTTTTATTGTGAACAATTGACAAAACGGTAAGATAAAGCGAGACAAAAACATTTATTCTATTTTTATTATAATGCACGACAAATTTTTACAAATTATATATATAAATTTTTTACTATATCTTTTTAAACAATCTATTTTTTAAAACGATGGAGTTCTTTTATTTTTAAAAATATTTGATGTTTTTACTACTCCCTCCGTTTCATAATATAAGTCGTTTTAGCTTTAAGCACGCAGATTAAGAAGATCTACTTTTAAAAAGTTCAGCCAATTATAAAAGAGACTGCATAATATAAATAATTATAAAATATTAAAGTAATATATAAAGTGCATAGAAACTTGAAAACGACTTATATTAGGAAACAAATTTTTTTCTCCAAAACGAATTATATTATGAAACGGAGGGAGTATATCTTTTTAAACAATCTATTTTTTTAAACGATGGAGTTCTTTTATCTTTAAAAATATTTGATGTTTTTACTATATGTTTTTGTTTTGATGGGATAATTCATCATCCCCACTAAATCTATTTTACTAGTTTTCTTTAAACCATGTCGAGTCTCAAAAGAAAGAATCTCTTTTGCTCATGATATGTTAATTGTGATAAATTTTACTGACTAATCAACATGGTTGTGGAAGCCCCCTTTTCCCATTGGTTGACTAAGGGTTGATTAATGCTTCTACACTAAGAGGTCTGGGGTTCGAGTCCCAGATATTGCGATTTATTAACAAATTTACAGATTAATAGAGGCAAGTGTGCAGGAGATCTCCAGCGATGTACAATTATAGCCGTGCGCCAGGATTCTACGCAGAGAAGGAAGTGTCGCCAGGTCGTAGATCATTGAAAGGTATTCATCAAGATCACGAAGTAGGAAGTGTACTCTGTCGTGGATCTACTAAGGATCGACAGAAATTGTCAGTTGTATATGTAACAGTTCTCATAATTGCAAAGACAACAACATTAAAATTGATTTTAGCAAGAAATACTAGATATTTTTTTTTCTTTTTATTTACGGAAGCAAGTATTTTTCTTAATTGATAAATAAAATGCATATTTGTCAAACAAACAAATCGAATAGAGAATTTTCCTAACACGTGAGGGATGATTTACAAAACAATCCAACAATATATTATGGTCCCCAACTTGAAACTTCCCAAAATTAAATTTCGCATTTGACGGTGGCGTGACAACTTCGAAATACTAACCATAAGAAGACCTAGTGCATTCACTAGTCACTACCATATAATAAATCTCACAATTCTCTTCAAAAATTCGAACACTTTCAATCACCTTTCTAGAAAAACAATACAAAACAAAATTAATATACGTAAGCAAATAACACCCATAAATAATGTGTATTATTAATAAATTTGATAATATAAGAAAACAAAACGGCCAAATTTTTTTTTTAAGAGACTGAATCGTAGTGGTTATAACGTCAGTGCAGCTTCTAAGGAAGGTTTCTTCTTCTTCCTCTTCCTCTTAATCACAACTGGTCAAACTCTGCCTCTCTCTTCTCTTAACCCCAAAAAAAAAAAAAAAACATTTCTCTCATCTTCTTCTTCTTCTTTATTCACAAACCCACCAAACACACACATTCCTAAAACCAGATCTTCATTCTCCGATTCTCTTGTTCTTTCTTTGTCTGTTGTTACAAAAACCCTCTTCATTTTCCCAGAAACCCACTTATCTAATCTCCTTCTTAATCACAATCATCCTCACTCAAAATTCTCACACTTTCTCAAAATGTCTTGTTTCTTAAGCTGTGTCCGTTTTGATACCACCGACAACAACAAACCCACGATTACAGAATCTGGTTCTGTCTCCGGTGTTACCTGTTATACCTGGGATGATGTTGAGTCTCTCACTTCCAATTTCTCTAGACTTATTGGTACTGGTGGCTACAGTAGTATCTACTTGGCTCGTTTGTCTGGCTCTATCAACGCTGCTCTTAAGGTTCATGTCAGTAGTCATCGTCTTTATCAAGTGTTTAGGTCTGAGCTTGAGATTTTGCTTCGTCTTCAACATCCTCACATTGTTAAGCTTCTTGGTTACTTTGACGATTCAGGTTCCTTTCTCTCTTTATCCGTTTTAAATTCAACTATGGATTCTTGAAATTCCCCAAGAAATCAAGAACTGGTTCTAGGAATTATTAACATCCATGAAAGTCAAATACTTTAAAGAACAAAGCTAGCTTTATTCTTGTCTTGTACTCATCACAATTTCTTTTTTGTAGATTCGTTTCTTTATCCAATTTAGGGGTTTTCACTTTTACCTTAATTGATTAGCTTTTCATTGTTGCAAATTATGTGTCTTTTAAGTGAATTGTTAGTGTGAATCTAATGTTGTTGTTGTTGTTGTCTATCTTTCAGAGGAAAGTGGTGCACTATTACTAGAATACCTTCCTCAAGGTAATCTCCAAGAGAAGCTTAACCGCAATAGCAAACAAGTGTTACCATGGAGAAACCGCACCGCTATAGCGTTTCAGGTTGCGCAAGCAATTGAACATATTCATGAGAAATGTAGTCCGCAGATTGTTCACGGTGACATCAAATCTTCCAACATACTTCTTGACAAACATTTCAACTCCAAGCTTTGCGATTTCGGATCAGCCAAGGTTGGGTTCTCGTCTATGGTTCAGCCTTCTAAGACAACATCAACGATGTCACCACGATCCAAGCAAGTGATGATGATTGGTTCTCCAGGGTACACTGATCCTCACTACTTGAGAACTGGTATTGCTTCAAGAAAGATGGATATGTATGGGTTTGGAGTGGTGGTTCTTGAGTTGGTTTCGGGTAAAGAAGCGGTTAGCGCTGAGAGAGGCGAGATGCTGGTACATACATCAGCTCCGTTGATTCACGATATTCTTGATTCGAATGGAGATATCACAGAAGAGAAAGCGAGAGAGTTCTTGGATCCAAGGTTGTCCAGGGACAGTAGTCTTGATCTAGAAGAGGTTAAGACAATGCTAAATGTGGCTGCTTTCTGTCTTCGCAGCCCGCCATCGCTGAGACCCTCTGCTTCTCAAGTAGTCCAAACTCTTATCAAGAAGATCCCGTCGCTGTCTTTCCTCGGTTGCGGAAAATAAGAGTGATATATAACAAGCCCGTGTGTTTTAGATGATGAGGTTTAGGTAGTGATTTTGTTGCAGGTCTTAGTCGGTTTATAAGACGCAGAAAGATCTGAAAACGTTTGCTGAGAAGATTGAGTTTTGTTGTATAGGAGAGATTCTGCAAAACCCAAAAGAAAGAAGGAAGATTCAAATTCCTCTTCTGCTTTGTGATGTGTATAGTAAACAAGCAAACAATATTCGTGTGAATTGCATTTTGTAAACATTACTGTGTGGATGTATAATACAAATGATTGGATGAAATTCGGTAACCGGTTTGGTTAGGAACCAACAAACCGAAATTACTAAATTTATCCAAAATAACCAAAATTTTAACCTAAATTTATTTTTAATTTAATGGAAATTTCCAAAATGTACTGAAATAAACCGAAGAGTACAAATTTAAGCAAAGTTATTGAAAAAGTAGAATAAACCAAATTCGGTTTTTGGTTCCAATTCGGCACCATCTTGAATCTAACCGAAATTTGTCCTCTATAAACCAAACCAAATCGATCTAATTCGGTGAAATTGTTCCCAAACCGAAACACCGAAAATTTTAAACCGAATCGGACCGATTAACCAAATTTTGTTTTGTCATATTTGATCCATTCTCTACTCTGACGAGACACACTCGGCGAAGCAATGTCGTCTCTTGCGTTCACGTTAACTCTTCCGTCTCTAGTGTCGGTGAGGAGCACTAAACTCGGACGAAGTGTCAGTAATGGCGGCCGGAATTGGTCGGGACTTACGAACTTGTCGGAGAAATCGAAGACCAAACGAGGAAATGGTCTCAGCTGCAAGGCGGAGCTGTCGGAGCTAGCTCCAGTCGTCTCTGCTACTTATGGTGTTCTTCTTCTAGGAGGCGGTCTCTTCGCTTGTAAGTTACTACTGATCTCATGATTCAAAATTTTTATTTGGGGTTTTGGCTCACTTCACTAAAAATTTGAACTTTGTTTTCTGAAATTGAAGATAGCAAATCTGGAAGCAAAGGTTCTCTCTTTGGGGGTTTGACCGGTTCTGTTCTTATGGCATCTGTAAGATCTTGCTCTCTTTCTTCTCAGTGTTAGTTTCAAGTTAAATCTGAACTTGTTCTTTGAGGAAGGTAGTGAGGAACTTAATGCACACTATTCAGGTCATTGTTTCTGGTTAAGTTGGTTCTCTTCCAAGCTTTGTTTCAATTCCGTGAGAACAATGGTGTTTAGAAACTATCTACAACAGTTGATCTGCTAGAATCTTCTCCTAATGTGGCATACCTTAGTTCCTTCAAATCATACGGTTTGATTTTTAAACGCGGTCGTTTGATTCTCTTCTATGCTTTTGTACTTTGTGAAATGAGATCCACTCTTGGTAAGTATTAGATTTGAAAGTCTGATCAACCCTAATAAGTTTGGAAGCTTATCTAATTTCGCAGCTGCATAAACCCCTGTTTGTTTTCTATGTTAGCCGGTGTATTGTATCATGATCTTGCTTGTGTTCTCTTTGTGCTTTCCATCTCGGTTTTGTGATCGACGACTGCATAACCGAAAGCATCCACATCTTTATGTTCAACTGTTGAAATTGTTAAAAACTCATTTACTGAGCATGCCAATGTTTGGATTCCTATATAGGCCTACTTCCTTACTAAATCACCAGAGACCAGAGTTCTCGGCGATACCATAGGTCTCGGCGCTGCCTTCCTCTTCTCTTCTGTCTTCGGTAAGCTCGTCTTGAGAAGTTGTACTTTGTGTTTGCATATATGTCACATGCCTAATGAATCTCTTCTCATTGCACTGGATTTTCTGTTTTTTTTTCTACAACTTTCTTGCAGGTTTTCGTTTGGCATCTTCCCGGAAACCAGTCCCAGCAGGCCCACTACTACTTCTTTCCATCGGCATGTTGTCCTTCTTTGTCATGGCGTATATGCACGACAGTTTACCTGTTGTATCCATACCCGATCCATTACCTCTACCGTAGCTTAGATGAGAGCATGAGGTTGTAACCAGATAGGAAAGCTCTCCCAAAGTATGAATCAAGAACAGTTTTGCTTTTGCCCACACACCAATAAATTGCAAAGCTTTGTGAGGCTAATGTGGAGAGAATAATGTTTGTTTCAGATAAAACTATAAAGAGTTGTTGCTAAATTAGAGAAGTATGCATCTCCCATTCAAGATTTTGTTAACGGCTCTGTTTGAAATTGAATGATCTATGCTAAATAAGAGAAAAGTTTAAAAAATTTGTGGACAACTCTATTGAGAATGTTTTGGTCCTAATAGCGACGCCTCGAAGCAAATGTTTTTTTGATGAACAAGTATATGAACAACTGAAAGTGATGTACCATTTGCTTTGTTTGATCTAAGAACTACAACTTTCTGTGGCTTTAAAGCCAGCTTCTGGAAAACTATCAGAATCTATAAATTTGACTATATGGTTACTGTAATATAGTATTAAGTTCGTGTGTTCTCAACTAAGTAGCAATCTCTTGAGCGGTAGGAGTATCGTCATAGACCAGTTCCTCAACTGGATTCATATCAGCCCACGTAGCTGCATCTGCGTATCCCAACTCAAACAGCTTTTCCAACACCTCGTCCTCTGCTGGCTCAAGTGCCCAATTCAATAGCTAAAGCAACAGAAAAACCAAGATTAACACACTTACTCTCAAAGGAGAATGATCTCATCAGAAGAAACTGAGCACTTACTTGTCTAGATGTTGCCCTGTTTAAAGGGTTGCAATCTGGGCAGATCTCAATACCCTTTAGTTTGAAGTTACTTGCGGAAAATGCACAAACTCGAACCTGTGAAAGATTTATACAATAAGTTCATTAAGCTCCATGGAACATCTTCAAAAGCCAAGATGGATGAAGATATGAAAGGGCTTGCAAATATGAAATAAAAAGCTGAAGGAACAGACGCATCAGAAGAGAGAATGAGAACAAAACAACACAACAATCGTGACCATACTGTTTTAGCAGCAGCTGTTGGTGGCATAAACAATGTCAAGCCTCCATCAACACAAAGTCGATTACGGAACATCGTTGCAGGTCTTGGTGCAAGATATCTGCATTTGTTTTTAATTCTAGTTGTTAAAGTTTTGTTTTCCAGAAAAAAACTGAAAGTTTCAAAAGCAAGAGAGTGATATTTACCCTGGAATAAAAGAAGATGTGAAAACTGCATCTATCAAGTCGCTCTTGGAGTCGAACTGATCCACTAGTAAACCTCTAGGTCTCCAGAACACCTGGGTGATGGCAACTACAATACGGTTGAATGGTCAACAACGCCAAACCCGAAGACAAGTCAGGCATGAGGAGTAAAAATTGAAGAAAGAAGATGTAGTTACTCACCACGAATTCTCCCATTGGACCTAATGTGAATATCATCTGGTAGTAGCCTCTCCATAGATTCTCTGAGGACAGCCTAAAACCACAGGGACTTGTATGAACATCTTTATAATGTAACCTAAAGCCAATTTCATTCACAGCTACATTGGTGGGTCTTGTGTTTCACTCATAAGAAATTTTTCGAACAAATTAACAATCTAAAGCAAGTAGATGACTTTATTGATATTCAACACCTAGGAACTTATTCAACTCCATGGCTCTAAACATTTGTGAACCACATTGAGAAAGAAGGCTCATTACCCCAAGACGGAAAGCAGTGCCATTGCGTCGACAATCATAAGCAAGTTCCTTAGTAGCTTCAAGGGCTTCTCGCATAGTAGCTCCTGAGGTTATCACAGCACAGACAATAGCACCAGCAGAAGATCCTGCTAAAGGAGTAGTTTCCTAAACCAACACACAACAAAATCATGTTCCATCCTCAAATCATAACTGTTTATAAAACACACAATTTCATGAGAAAATGAAACACCTTTATGTAACCCTTTTCAATAAGCAACTGAGCAACTCCAAGATGATAAGGAAACAAAAGACCAGCAGCAGAGAAACTAAACCCAGGACTTGTAATGACTCTCCTCTCTTTCTCTGCTTCAACATCTTTAATCCTTTGTTCCCATATCATCGCTGGCTCAATCTCATCTTCAATTACACTTGCTATTCTATCTCCATCATCAATCGGCGGCGTCTTTTGATTAGAACTCTTCAAAAGCCTCGACGCAATTCCGATGAAAAGCTCACCGGTAGCAACAGCGAATGATCTTTTGTTCTCGGAATCTGTAGAAAAGTTCTGATTTTGTGAAGACCCACCAGCACAGCATGATAACCTAAGGGCGAGAATTCTCGGAGAAAGGTTGAAACTTTTTCTTGTACGGAGAGAGATGAATGGAGTGGAACGGAGAGACATCGCCATGGATTAATGGGTCGCACTCAGATTATTTGGGAATTTCGAAAAGTTAGGGATTTGAAATCACACCATCATCGCAGCACACAAAACACTCATGAGGATGAGGACTCTGTGGTTTCGTGGCGAAATTTGTTACCTTTATAGTTTTCCCTCCCCAGGAAGCAACGTTTAGTTTGGCCAGAGAGACCTCTGTTGAATCAATCAACGTTTAGTTTGAGAAATTCACCTCTTGTGCCACAAATCGAGAAATGTTAATCGCTTATGCCACGGTTATGTTTTCCATTTTCTTATTCAATTTCTTTTAAGTCCAAATCGTTAGAAATGACCAAAAGCCCTTACAAAAAACAGAAAATTACCACCCAACCTAAAGTATCCGATTACCTGCTCCAACCCGATGATCAGATCCAAATCCACAAATTACTTTAATTCCTAAGTTTAGAAATTCAGTAAAAGAAAAACAGAAAAAAAAATTAAAAAAATAAAAAACAATCGCTCAACATCTTCTTCTTCTTTTTTCTTCTCTGCAAACATCTTCTTCTTCATCATCAAATTTATCATCATAACCAAACTCATCACCTCTATAACCAGGTTAGCTTGGTAACTAGATTCATTCTCCATTGGATCAAGTCTAAAAGCGAATCCAAATCTACCAGAAGCTTCCTTCTCTCCGCCGGAATCTCACCGATTTCTCCGTAAAAGCCTCGCCGCCTCACTCACATCAAAACCCCAATTCACTTCACGAAAAAGCTCTCCACTTGTATATGTACCAACATCGAAAGGGAAATCTGAGCAAGTCCCATGAGCTCCAATCGAGCAACATCTTGGAGTCCCACTCCGATCACTACTCCGACCAGCCACCGATATCGAATTGCGACGCCGCCGCTTCCTTGCTACTAACCAGAAACTTTTTTTCTATTGCTGTAATTAGAAGCTGATAATGTCTTTACTCCATTGTCGTCGGTGAGTGAGATACGGCTCAAAGCTTTGATGGAGAAAGAGGTGGATCAATCGGAGAAACAAGGTTTTCGAGCGATGAAATGGTTGCAAATAAAGGAGCTGTGAAGTGCAAGATTGAATTGAGTTTCATGATGATTCTAAATGTTTATGTGACATTGTTAAAGCTTTGAACTTTACGGTTCACAGAAAGTGAATAAATCCAGAAAAACTCTTTGGGCAAATCTGAATTTGGGAATGGATCTGTGTAATTTTAAGTTGTAGTGTATTGTAATAATATATATAGCTGGTCCAACTGAAACATATAAGACATGGAGGGAGTGAGTGAGGCTTATGCAAAACATTAAGGGTGTAAATGGTGACACTAGTTTGAGGAATTATTGAGGAAAAGTTGTGGAATTTTACTTTGGTTACATCATTTACATTAATGAAAACCTGTGGAAAACTTGAGGAATAGTAGTCACATCACTTGGTTATATAATATTTTTAAGCTTATAATGTTTTTATTATTATGTTTCCAATAAATTCTGAATACTTTAATTTTATAAATCATAATTTTCATAATTATTTTTAGTTAGTTTGTGTGATGATTATAAGACCAATTAGTTATCTTTTCTTAAAAGTACAAGACATAAATATTGATGAAATTGGTTAGGTTCATATTAATGACTAAATAACAAAATAATTAATAAGTAATTTTAATAGTTTAAGGTTTTATATGATAATTATGTTTGATAAAACTAATAAATTTCTTAATTTAGAATTCCACCAAAATCTACCTTATTTTTATGAATTGGTTTGTTTGCTAAAATACGTTGTTATCTTAATAATATTATTAAGTATATACGAATTTAAATTAAATATTTATTTGTTATTTTATTAATATTGTTGAATTTTTTTTTAATTAAGTATATTTAAAAGTTTATATGTTTAATTAATTTTTCTAAAAAATTCAGCCAGATTCAGCGGTTACCATTTGAAATCTAAATTATTCAGCCAGATTCCGCAAAAAAACACAATTAAATTCAGTCAGATTCAGCAATTCAGCTCAATTCAGCCAGATTCTGCGGTTACCATTTAGACCCTAAAATAGAAAAACATATAAGGCATTTGTACCTAGTAGTTCTGGTTGGACCTCGTAAAAGAACTAATAAAAATATAAATGCGAATACAAAAACCAAGAAATATCAAAAAAAAATTCGCTCAAAACCCTAATTTATCTGGACTTTTCTCGTTTTGAAAAAGAGAAAAGTGAAAGAAAAGAGAGAAGGGATGGAAGAATAAAGAAGAAAGTGAGATATGAAAGAAACAAATTCCGTGGGCCCGGATTGAGTCAGTCAAAAAGTAGTGTGAACAGAATATTTAATATTTTGGTGGGGTTCTTGACAGCGAAATAATATTATTTAATAGGGTAAAATGTACATAGTTGTACGTAGATGTTTAGTTGTCGTGATTGCCTCATAGTTGAACTAAATGAGATTTTGTAAATTTGGAGTTGAACCTTAATAAGCAACATAATTTTCTAGTTGGTCACATTATTTATTACATTATATTAGTGTTTAAGAAGTTTTGATATGAAAAAATTAAGGAAATCATAGATTTTATATTTATATCATCAACATAGGTGATCATGAACTAAATGTTCCTTCTTAAGTAAGAAGTGAATTGTATGAAAACAAATTTATGAGCAAGTAAAATACTAATGTTAAATATTATATTGTATATAAGTTATTGTATTTTGTAGTTTTTAAATGTTCAAAATTAATTTAAATTGGGATAAAATTCGATTAATTTTTAATATAAGTTTTTCGTTGTCGGCTCAGTTGACCCAGTTGAACGTCTTATTTGTCCCGGTTTAACCAGAAACTTAAACTCATACAAATACAAATCATAATACAATATAGTCTTAGTTGTCTAGGTTGAACTAAGAACTTAAACTCATACAAATACAAATCTTAATACAATATAGTCTTAGTTGTCCCGGTTGAACCAAGAACTCATAGTTGTCCCAGTTGAACCAAGAACTTAAACTTATAGTTGTTCCGGTTGAACCATGAACTTAAACTCATAGAAATACAAATCATATTTGAAGCACAATTAACTCATAGTTGTCCTGGTTGTACAATGAATTTTTGACAATCCACTCATTTCCTTCTGAATAATACCCTCCATAGTCCAAATGTACGTTTGTGTGGATCTTCTTCTTCATCTCCTCCTAAAAATACAATAATTTAAAACACAATTATCTACACCATAACTCACAGCAATACTATTTGTACCAGTTGGCCTATAGTCTATCATTGTACCAGTTAATCTCACTTAGTTATATCATTTGTACTAATTCATACGTTTTCGTAGAATAGATCCGTCGGCCTCGATTCTAAATCGATTCAATAGAAGAACACGATTCAACCTACATTCGATTAATTACCAATGCAAATACCTATTCGGCAATCTACATTCGATTAATCTCCTTATTTTTTCCTATCAAAACTTCTTAAACACCAATATAATGTGATAAATAATGTGACCAAGTAGAAAATTATTTTGCTTATTAAGGTTCAACTCCAAATTTATAAAATCTCATTTAGTTCAACTACGAAGCAATCAGGACAACTAGACATCTACGTACAACTATGTACATTTTATCATATTAAATAATATTATTTCGTTGTCAAAAACCCCACCAAAATATTAAATATTGTGTTCACACTACTCTTTGACTATTGTTTGACTCAATTCGGGCCCACGGAATTTGTTTTTTTTTTAATAATTCTTTTCCTTTTGATTTTCTATTTTTGTTTTATTTTGGAATAGAGTTCATTAAGGGTAAAAAGGGAAGTTCACAATCTTAGTGGCATAGAGATTATGTGATGGCATGCCAGATTAATTTTTTCAAAATAGTGGCATAAGTGATAAAAATTCGTTTAGTTTCTCTGTTTTAGGAGAGAAATCTAAAGGACTGATTTTAAAAGGTTAAAAGAGTAAATATGATGTGTTTTGATGAATTTTGTTTCTGTTTAAACCATACCAACTACAGTAATTAAATTACCACAATTGGTAAATGTCGGTCCTATCGACTAGCGAACTACTTTTCATTGATCCAACAAGAAATGTTGGCTTTCAAAGTTTCAAACTTGCAATTATTTGACAAGAAAACAAGAAAAATTGGGGACCTTTATAGAGGTCAATGCTTAATGAATGACTAATTTAGTATAGTAGTAGCAAGGAGAACATATAGATATACTTAGGAGTTAGGTCTATCTATAGTAGTATTAGGGATTTTTCTGATTACACTTAGGTCTTTAACTATATACATATTTATTTATTATACACTTATTCAAGATGGAAGGATCTCGAGACCCCATTCTTGTGTGATAGTCAGCCAATTGTTTTTTGGTTGGAACATGCGAGATATGTAAGAAATGTGGTCTCGAACGAAATAATAGTCAAGGGTGATATGTTTTGTGTAAAGAGTGGAACATGAGATTGACGCTAAGGTAAGTTGTGCCGACTTTGTTCCAACAAATGACATGTATAGTTGGTAAAGAGTTGTCGAACTATGTGAGCAGTGAGCAGATCTACCACAATCTCGATGCGGCATTGACAATAAAATGATATTCGACTTTGGTGGACCAAGCAACTACATGTTGCTTCTTTTAGAACCATAATATAGCATGTCCATCGAAGTATATGATATATGAAATGGTGAAAGCGAAGTCGTATGTATTATCTGCATCCAAAACCGATATATTGTTATAGGGTTACCATGTTGAAGGAAGATGCAACCATGTATACTACCACTCGCTTCTTCCTTTGGAATGGTCTTTGGTTTAGTGGTGCATAAATTGTAAACGGCGGTCCACGACATAAACTGATGGTATTGTAGCTCCATTGTACTAAAATCTCATCTTTTGGGTTAGCCCACCATTGTCAAAAAGTAACCGCGGATCTCCGTTTTTAGTCGCATTTATTTTAAAGAGGTCTCGTTTGGCTTAATTTTTGTTTTTGTAAAAATTTTACTTTCACATAACCTAGATAATTTAATTTCGAGAGAATAATTAGAATTTTCTTACGCAATTAGGCTCAAATCTCAAAATTCACCTTAGTCATTTGTTAGAAGTAAATTAACGGTATGTCAACGTACATATACCAATACCATCACCACAAGTCTTCACATGTGCGATGCATGCACGGGATTTTAATTACCTACTCGTTCTCTTGTTATATTATCTCAAATTTCAAATCCCATTTTCATTGAGTTCATAAATCCATTTATATATTGGTTGCTTACGTCAATGAACAATAAATCAAGGAATTAAACAGATAGAATGCTTGAAAGTTAGACAAACCAAATAAAATCAGAAAATATCTCAAAGGTCACAAAATACAATTGGTCAATTAGCCCCATTGTCCACTGCATGCATGCCCTTTTTTTTTTTATCTAACTATCGAGTAAAACTAGTCGATTTAATAAGATTCATATTAATTGCTAACCAAACTTCACACATTTAATTACACAAATATGGACCGTATAATCAGAATTGGAGTTCCCCATATGGAATTTTTTTTTCCTTTGACGAAAACCTTTGCTTACGGAGCAATTAAAATCAACACGGATTCGTTATTAATAACATAACATAATGATAATCACTGGGATCATTCGTTTTATAAATGAATAAAACAAGTAGCTAGGGTCAACGTTCACGCAAGTGTAATACGGCTTAAATGCTGTGGAAGAGTCTTGATTTTTCAATTTTCACGATAGCTTTTTGAGCTTCTCCGGCGGCGTTGTCACCGGCCGTCAACTTCTTCATCATCATATACTATATATTAAGATTTGATTATTTAATTTGTGATATAGAGTTGACGATTACGTGTGTGTAATCTCTCTTAGGTCTATATAAACCAAGAACAAGAAGAGTGCTTGAAACAAAAGGCAAATCATTGTAATTATATCTAGCTTTGTACTCAAACAAACATTGATCATTATTAACCAAAAAATGAGTTCGTCTAACGGAGGTGTACCACCCGGTTTTCGGTTTCATCCAACGGACGAAGAACTTCTTCATTACTACTTGAAGAAGAAGATTTCTTATGAAAAGTTTGAGATGGAAGTCATCAAGGAGGTTGATTTGAACAAGATTGAGCCGTGGGATTTACAAGGTACGTTCTTTAATTGATTAAATTTTTTGATCCAATTCTCTAGTTAGTTACTATATATACATAAGCATTGCTTCTTCTTTTTCGTGCAGATAGATGCAAAATAGGATCAACGCCGCAAAACGAGTGGTATTTCTTCAGCCACAAGGATAGGAAATATCCGACAGGGTCAAGGACAAACCGTGCGACCCACTCGGGTTTCTGGAAGGCGACAGGACGTGACAAATGCATAAGAAATTGTTACAAGAAGATAGGCATGAGGAAGACTCTTGTCTTCTACAAAGGAAGAGCTCCTCATGGCCAAAAGACCGATTGGATCATGCACGAGTACCGTATTGAAGATACTGACGATGACCCTAGTGTATGTATATATCTCTCTTATTCATTAGAAGATTGTAAAAGCCGGTCCAATTTTTATTGAATAAGCCAATCTTTATATAATGCAGGAAGATGGATGGGTTGTTTGTAGAGTGTTCAAGAAGAAAAATCTATTCAAAGTAGGGAATGATGTTAGCTCAAGCATTAACAACAATAGGCTTGAAGCTCGAAGTTTCATACGTAGAGAAAGCTCTTACCAAGGAATCTCAATGTTTGAGCTTAACAAGCCTGAAGAGATAAGTGTTCATCAATACCCTCAACCACCACCAATGTTTCAGCCTCATCACAAGCCTCTTTCAATTGGCTATGACTATTCCTTGGCTCTTCTTCCAAGGGAAAGCGAGTACCAGCAAGCGTGTGAGCCATCAGGGGTTGAGGTTGGCACGTGCAAAACTGTTGGTGAATGGGGAATGGTGAATTGTCAAATGGGGATTCATGAGGACTCGTCTAAAGCCATGAGGTTTGAAGATGAAGGCAACAACAATCCGTCGGCGCTGCAGCCACCTTCGAATCTACTTTCTTTGCGCGGTGAAAATGGATTTCTCGGGTTATTTTAAATAGATGATGATAATGTTATATATATATATATATATATATGCATCTCTTCGTAAGTTTGTATGCTTGTTCTTTGATTACATGTATCCATTTATTTCTTTCTGTAATTGGAAGCAAATTGCTTCACTGATAAAAAGTTAATAAGAATCATACGTTTAAAGTAGTTGATTTGTTCTGTTATGTATAAGAATCCAAAAGGATGTGTGTGTAACTACCCAAAACAAAACACTATTTTTGATTTTAAATAGAGGTTTTTCTTTTTTAAAATTGGAATGTTTCTAAGTGTCAAATTTTGAACCGTTGGTCACTAATGAATGAGTTGTTGTAATATAGAACGTCAAAATCAACTTTAGTCTAAAAAGTTAGAACCGAACAACTAGATAGATCCATTGCAACCAAAGTTACATAGTAAGAGGCAGCAGCCGAACCCGTTGACATATCGTATTTCTTAACGCGTATGTATGAGCTTTAAATTTGTCCCGTGCAACAAATTGCAACGATGAAGTCCCATTCTAGCATAAACTGTGACTAAACCACAACAAGGAAACCTATCATAACATTTGGTTTGCCCGGAACGGTCCATCAAAAGTGCATAGACTTATCGAACCTCCTCCATATCGAAACCTTCGGATTTATCCACTCGATGCTTATATACTGAATCCTGCACGATAAAAATTTCTGCTTAGCCTTATCGTTTCCCTACCACAGATTCATCGTCTCCCTTCCTCTTCAAGGTATCCAAATTTCTTGGAAATGTAAATTATTTGTTAAGATAATTAATGTAGGCTTGATTTTGGTCAGTGAAAGTTCTCGATAGCTCAAAGCCCAAAAGCCCAAAATCCCAACAAGGCCCAAAGGCCCAAACATTTAATAATTTGGTGGTGGTTTTGGGCAATCTTCCTTATCCGCTCGGTGGAGCAGTGAAAGATGGCCGGAGTGTGCGTCCCATGGGGCGGCGGAGCTTGTCGTCTTTTTTCCCCGATTCGCCGGCGTTTTCCGGTTTCCTCCACCGTCGCTTCACTCTCTCTTCCAGATTCCTCCGCTATGATCGTCGACGACAATCTCGGCGCATTTCTCGAGGTTGTAAAATCACTCTCTGTTCGTCTTTGTTCTCTACACTTCAATTTAAATATTTGGCTAACTCTTTTGTGTGTTTTAGATTCTTCCAAAAGATCTTCGTCATCGTCTCCTGAACGATTCCCGAAGAAACCAACTTGTAGAGGTGATTATGGATTTGGGAAGACCACCTGAAGCACGTTATCTTGGAGAACCTGGAGGCCAGTATCTTAGGAACAACGAGGTAAAACTAATTATTATGTTTGTCTTTGATCTGTTGTGTTTTGTGTGCTTAAATCTGGATTCTTGTAATTATGAAAACACTAGCTTAGGTATCTATGGAAGAGTTAGAGGATGCTCAAGAGCTGGTTGGTGAATTTGGGGCTGATAATAGGGCTGGAATAGAGGGTACATTGCACAGGATATCAGCTATTCGTAATCGGAAAGGCTTTATTGTCGGTTTGACTTGTCGGGTTGGGAGAGCTGTGAGTGGTCACATTGACATGCTCTATGACCTTCTTCACTATGGCAAAAGCATCTTGTTCGTTGGACGGTACTTGTTACTTGTTTTACACACTACTCTTAAGCTTCATTTTGTTTCCGTGGTGATGATTTGATTGTGTTAATCGAATTAACTATAGGCCCGGTGTTGGTAAGACCACTGTTTTGCGAGAGATTGCTCGTGTCTTGTCTGATGAATTCCAGAAAAGAGTGGTGAGTCTTGCCTATCCTTAAAAGTTTTTTTAGCTTGTAGGTGTAGGTGCTGCCTTTCAAGTGATTAAGTATGCGCAATTTGCGTTTTTAGGTGATAATTGATACAAGCAACGAAATAGGAGGAGATGGCGATATTCCACACTCAGCTATTGGAGGTTCACGTAGAATGCAAGTACCTAAGCCATCGTTGCAGCATAAAGTGATGATTGAGGCAGTAGAGAATCATATGCCTCAAGTGATCATCGTTGATGAGATCGGTACAGAAGCTGAAGCGCTTGCCTGTCGTTCCATTGCTGAAAGGGGAGTGATGCTTATTGGCACTGCTCATGGAGAGCAGCTACAGAACATCATAAAGAATCCTACTCTTTCAGACTTGGTAATAACTTCTTCACTGCCTGTTTTAAGTGTTATGTTATCATATGCTTCTAGTTTTCACATGTTTTTCTCATGTTCTTTATCTTATCTTTGTTGGTTGTAGATTGGTGGTATTGAGACTGTCACTCTTGGAGATGAAGAAGCGAGGGCGAGAAGGAGTCAAAAGAGTATTCTCGAGAGAAAAGCTCCACCGACCTTTTATTTCTTGATCGAGATGAGAGAAAGAGATTATTGGATTGCTCATCAAGTAAGCCTCCTGTTTCACAATTCTTTTCTTGTCTCTGCTTGCAGTCATTCTATATCAAAGATCAAATGTATTAACAAAACTAGTCCTCTTTTACTCTCGTCCAGACTGAAAAAAGTGTTGATATGTTGCTTCGCGGAAGAAATCCCATGGTTGAGGTATATACAGTAGACTCAACAATATCATTTGAGAATATACATAATGATTGACCAATTGAGATCAAAAGATACTGATTCGACTTCTATAAATTATGGTTTTTAGGTGAGGAGAAGAGATGAGGAGTACAAGGTGGTGATAGAAAGATGGAAGGCGTACGACGGGCAAGGCATCTGATCTTTCGTCATCGTTGTCAAACTTGAGACACTTCCGTGAAATTTGTCTTTCTTAAATGACCAACCACTTGTATAAAATAATCAAAAGGAAACAAAAAGCATGCATCAGTCTCTCATAGTTTCATTTGTATTCATATACGCAATTGTATCGATGTGTAATTCACGAGCCAACGGTTCATGGCACGAAGCATATCACATGCACACCTATCACAATTCACACAAGCATGATCCAAAAGATTTGAAAAGATTGAAACTTCAAGTTTTCATGTCAGAAAGAAGACAAAGGATGATGCCAATTTCCTAGAAGACTTGGTGGATCACATCGATGAATTCATCCGTGGATGAAAAAATTGTTTCAACAAGACCATCAAGAAGGTTTGTCTTTCTTCATTATTTCCTAAAAAAGCATATCAGATCATGATCACTGAGCCACCACTACTTGTGATTTTGCTAATAGTAAGATATTTTCACTTTTTCAGATGTTTGGATTATCAAAGGCTGTTGCGGAGAAACAGCAAAGTGAGGATAAAGGAGTCGAGAGTTATTTGCCACTTCAGACAACAGTCTCGGATTAGAGCTACTGATAGAATCAAGCTAACAAGATCTTGGTTCGGTTTACTTTTGGTTGGTTTGTTTCGTTTACCATTGTTAAGGGAATATGCCCATTTCTTATTACAGTAAATAAATTAAAGATGACAATTAGTTATTGGTGGATAACTAATCAAAACTGTTATGAATCTAATAATTTTGCAGTTTCAGCATCCAAAAAAGACTTAAGTACATAAGTGCCAAGAGAATCAACTACGAAAACCCTCATGAAAACAGAAAGAAATTAAGTTAGAGAAAAACCCAAAGCTATAACATCTACTCAATGAAGCACGAGAAAGTGGAGCCTTGAAGCATAAGAATTCCAAAAGTGTCCAATCCTCCAGCCTTCTTTCGACAAAATCATTTCCCCAATTGTTATTCAATACATAGCTTCCAGCTGAATTCCATCTCTTGAAACACAACTCATGCGTAGTTCCTTTTTGGCTATGGAACACCGTGATTGTTAACCCATGATTATATATTGTCAACTAAACTGATCTCTTTTTCTGTGAAGTATAAGAAGCCGTGTTTGACCTCCAACGTCGCTATTAGTGAGTGTTTTCTTGATATCCTATATATCTGGATCTATGGGGACAGTTAGTTCTGTTGATACAGTCTCTATGCCTCTCTCTTCCCTTGACATGTTTCTCAAGTGTGCGAGACTAAGTATTTCAGAATCTATGGAGAGAGTTAATTATGTTGATACTTTATTTGCATCCTTTATGCCCCTTGAGATGTTTCTTAAGTGTCGGAGACTAACTTCTCTTTCGTTTCTTGGGGCAGAAGGAACCACACGGGCCAAATCTCCACTCTGACAAGAAAAGAGATCGAAAAGACATGGCGTTGACGATGGAGGAGTATCTTCAGTGTTCATTACCATTCCTTCGTTTCTTGTATCACAAGACACCATATATGCCAATCCTTCACTGGTACGGAAAGAGAGGCATTGTTGGAGACAGAAGAAAAAAGGTGTCATAGGGAATGTTACTTTCGAGAATGTGTTTATATAGACAGAGATACGAACTTCACAATCCTATTTGGTAAAGGTATTCACAATCCAAATGTGTGTCGAAGATGGATATATTCAACAATTATCCTAATTTGTGAAGGAAATTAGATTCTTGTCGAAATAATCCAAGTATCCAACAAAATATTTTTAATTTAAGAGATTATCTTAGATTCACATTCGAGAAACCTCCACAAATATGCACATCTACCAAAAAGTATCCTAATAAAACAAACCATTTCATACGTGTTAATCAAGTCATGTGTTCAATTCCTATAGGTTGCATGGCCATTAGGGAGAGTCACTAAGCTAATATGGACGCTCTGTCCAAGTTAGTGATGTACAAGTGAGAAAGAAGTGTGTTGTCTCATGGGTGGACATGTGTCTATTATGTCCCATGAACAAAACCAAGTCTCATCTCTCTGTCCTGTCGTTTTCACCCAGATTTCATCTCTCTAAGTCTCCAAGACTCTCTCAATTCCCATTAGAATCATTGGCACTACTCATTTGAATTGATTTGTGGTTTGAAAAAAAGATGGAGGACATGAACAATTTGAAACCCTCATTCTTGAGCTCTGATGGGAGTTTGGCTATTCATGCTGGCTATTCAATCGTCGTGTACTATATGCAAAAAATGATACTATGTACATAATGTAAAAATAGAATGAATTTTGGGATGCAATAAACTTTTATGATGATGATGTAAAACCAAAACCAACCACAAGCTTCAGAATTTGTTTGTGATGGGTGGTTGAATAAAATGTTGTAATAACATGATCTGACAAACTAATTAAAACTTGTTATTTTGAAACAGAGAGTTACAAATGTTGTTTTTACACGATCCTATTCTTTCTTTCTATGTAACAAACAATTCAACTTTCGAATCTGTAAGCTAACAATTTATTGTACAAAGTGGATAATTCCTCTTGCACTTTTATGAATGCTATTGTTCTTTACAAATAATCAAAAAAACTCTTCATGTTATGACCCTTCTTTTCTCATTCTCTTTACAATCTCATTGCTCTCGCCGAGCCTACTCTTTCGTCAACCTGCAAATTACACTCATCAGGTTTCATTGATCACTATAGCCAAGTGTAGACACACAAGTGTTGAATAAAGAAACAGGCAAGACTTTCAGAAGAGTAAAATATCTGACATCAACCGCCACATAACAGTGGCTTCAAGAATAAGACTAGTGTTCAATGAGTTTATATTTGACTATCAAGGAACAGACAACAAATGATCTTTGCAGTCATACCATTGGTTCTGTAGCATCTTTCGACTTGTTCTCGCTGAGGTAACGCTCAAAAGCCCCGTCTCCTTTCAGTATTTTTGCTGTGCATCCACGAGATGCTTCTAAGCTTGTTGATTCCTCATCTACTATAACCGCGTCGATTCTTTCATCTCCCTTTTTATCATCTGGAATCTGAAAAAAAGATATGATACAGAAAAGTGAAGGCAAGAGTTATTTAGTACCTTAACAATATTTGTGGTAGCTGAAGTTACCTCAAACATGGCTTCGGTGAGAATGCTTTCAAGTAAGGCTCTTAGTCCCCTCGCACCTGTATTCTTCACCATTGCTTGCTTGGAAATTATCTCCAGCGCTTTCTCAGTAAAATGCAGCTTTACCTGAAATTTTGCAACATATCATCCAGTCAGGGACCAAAAGGTCAAGTTTGAACTTAGACACTGAATATTTAACATGCAAGTCTTGGCAAGTGTATATTTTGAGGGAGCTTACATTGTTCATGCTAAATAGTTTCTTGTACTGTTTCCCAAGAGCATTTTTGGGTTCTACAAGCACCTACAGGGCAAAAACCAAAGGCAATATTAGCTACCCTTAAATATGAGAAGAGCAATAAAATCAAGGCCTCGATGATGGCAACCGCTATCTCACTTTGATTTTACTAGCTGCGACATGAGCAATCAAAGAAATGCACCATCCGCTACAAGATAAAATAAAAGCTATGAAGAATGTTAAATTACCCGAATGAGCTGGTCCTCTGTCAGAGCTGACAAACTAACTAATATGGGAAAGCGTCCTACAAACTCCGGTATAAGACCATATGCTGTCAGATCGGCACTCTCGACCTGAATTGTAGCCGGTATTCCAAAACTAAGATCTCTTTCCAGGAATGAGAAGTGATTACACTGGGAAACAGAGGCTTAACAAAAATTGTGTAGTGTTTACCGATTCTAGCAAAGATGAAGTTATTGCACCACTTGTCACTCCACTGGTAGCCATGTTGGCACGAACAGGAGCTCCAAAACCAATTGATGAGTCTTGCCGTCTGGCAGAACATTAGAGATCCTGATCAAAGTCAAAACAGAGAACTCCTAATTTATTGCAAAAAAAGGACGCATAATGAATTACCTATCCACAATGGTCTTCTCAAGGTCAACAAATGCTCCTCCACAGATAAAGAGGATATCTTTTGTGTCTATCTGTACATCATAGGGACATCCAGTAATGAATTCAAATGAGAAAACAACACCTTTAAATGTAATATAGGTCAATGATCAAAGTTCTAGCTCTAAACCTGTATATGGTCACCCCGCGGATGCTTCCTTGCACCTTTCCCTGGAACATTTACGATCTGGGAAAAACAAAAAAGAAGAAGATCCAACGATCAATGCAGAAGCAAAGCATGAATCCACAAACATTCAGAGAACGAGCCTCAGAAGTAACACAGATGTGTAAATGGATTAGTAATCATATGCGATGTCGCATACATCAATCATATCAATAACCTTTCCATTCTCTTGTGGTACATTGCAAAGACCTTTTTAATGAGGATCCCTTCTAGAGACTTCACTATAACAACTCGCTATGCAAGTGCCTCATGTCTAGTGAAAAATGACTTCAGTGAATGCATCAAAGGGTAATAAAGCAATCTACTTACAGTGCCTTCCAGTAATTTCAAAAGTGCCTGTTGAACACCTTCCCCAGAAACATCTCGGCTAATGTTTAAACTCTCAGCCTGCAGAAAGGAGAATCCAGGAAGCATAAATCCCAATTATCTTGTTCTTATCGAGTTCAGAAGTTATTATATCTCGCATACTGACCTTCTTTGTTATCTTATCAACTTCATCGATGTAGACTATTCCCTGTTGTGCTGCTTGCACGTTGAACTCAGCGACCTACAAGTCATAAGGGAGTCTTTTAAAATGCAACAAGATGGAAAGTGTGCTGGGAATGTTAATCCCGACTTAATAAGAAGTGGTACCGTTAGTAGCTTATGAAGGATTGATTCAACATCGTCACCAACATAACCAGCCTGTTAACACACCATAAAAAAAAGCTGAGTCAAAGAGCAACATACATACAAAATCATTCATAATCCAGGAGCTATGCCTAACCCTAATATATTTAATTTGGATCCCAAAAAGCCATTGAAAGGTCTGCAGCCCAATAATTGAAGTGGTAAGAATCATTATCTTACCTGAGTCAGTGTAGTTGCATCAGCAATGACAAAAGGAACATTTACAAGCCGAGCTAAAGTCTTTGCGAGTAATGTCTTCCCTATTGTTCAAGAATCAAATAAACAATCATATCAGAGTCAGCAGGGAGAGTGCAAATGGGAAGTAAAGAATAGAATATGATCAGAAAAACACAAAGCTCATACATACCAGAGCCAGTAGGCCCCATCAAGAGAACATTGCTCTTATCTAATTCTACATTATCGTCATCATCAATTGGTTGTTCTGCTGACCTAGGATTCAAGGTCCACAATGTCAGCTTCCAAGACAAACCCTTATATATCACAATAAACCATAGCGGAATGAAAACGGTGACCGAATCATGTAACTAAACAATGGATGACAGAGAGAACCAACCCTTTCTTCATAGAGGTATGATAAATTCTCTTGTAATGGTTATACACAGCGACAGAGAGCACCTATGATCAAAGTCAAGACCACCATGTTGTAACTTGTAAGTAACAAATCAATCACACGACCATGATCAGAATACTTAGATGTCAAGTGAAAAGTCAGAACCTTTTTAGCACGGCTTTGACCAATAACGAATTTGTCAAGCCATTTACAAATTTCCTTTGGAGTAGGAAAGTCTCTGCCAAGACTAGCTCCACCCCATCGACTAACGTCATTAGCTGCATCAGGTAAAGGAGAAGTATTCTCCACGGTAGGCATGACCAAAAGCTAACCGTAACCGTATTTCGGACCGTAACCGGACCGTTTCTCAACCGTAACCGGACCGTAACCGTATAAAACGGTTAAAAACCGTAACCGTTAACCGTAAAAATAGATTAGTTACGGTTAAAAAATATACTAACCGTAACCGTTAATTAACCGTAAACGTATCAAAACCGTTAGTTAACCGTACGGTTAACCGCACGGTTAACCGCATAATTAACCGTGCAGTTAAAACCTTAAATACATAATTATTCCACTACTAAATTTAATCCACTCCACTACTCCACTACTCATTTTTCATAAATCAAATCATAAATAGTTTACATAGTTATTATGTATACTCAGGTACTTGTTTCTTAATTCTCACAACTTATTTTCTATAGTATTGTTTGAAATCCTATACTATTATTTGGGGAGTACACTTTATAAGATACCCTTAACTAACCTTCCCTTTTGTAAAAATTTACTTAAGAATGCCATTAGAAATAAAATTTTATAGAGTAAATTAATTCAACTCATTAAGGATAAACAAGTCAAATACTATTTTATGCAATTTAATTAATTTAATTTAATTATAAAAACGAAAATCTATTATTAATTTTTTTTTAAAGAATGACCAATCAAAATGAACATATAAGATTTGATATCTAACTTATCACATTAATTTGTTATTAATCATTATACTTCACCTCTCATCTTTATATTATTCTATTTCTATAAAATAAATAAATTATTATATCATCTACATAATAAAAAAAAAAGTAATTTTTTTCCGCATATACAAAGATTTGAATTTTTAAAAACGAATAAAAATTGTTCAATGTATGAAAGAACAAATTTAACGGGTCAAAAATTCATATTTGAGTAATATATTTTTTTTTAATATCATCAATACTTAATAGATCAAAAAGTTAAGAAATACAAATACTCTAATTTGATTTTTTGAAACAAATATTTATAATAGGCGGCGGGCTAAATATTATGTTTTATATGATGAAATGAGTTATGATCCTTATAACTATTTGAATATTTATATTTAATTTCATATATATATTTTTAAATTCATAATTTTACATACTACAATAAATTTTTTAAAGATTATAATTTGGAACATTTAAAAAAATTTTAATTTAATATATTAAAGAATATCATAAATATTTAATAGATTAAAAAGATAAAAAAAAATTATAAATACTAATTTGATTTTCTAAAAAATATGTTTAATATATTTATAATAGGCGGCGGGTTAAAAGTAATGTATTATATGATAGAAAGTTATGATCCTTATAATAGACGACATTTTAAGATTTTATGATGAGATGAGTTAAATAAGGTTTGACACTTCTAAATATTTGAAAATTTAATTCTGCAAGCAATTTTGGAAATAATGAATAATAGATTGTGCCACAATATTTTCATAGGGATTGTAAAATGAAAATATAGACTCCACACACGGATCGAATTTGGTATTATTATATACCAAATATATGTTCATAACATATTCGATTATGTGAATAATTGGTAAATTCCGTAATTAGCTCAAACAAATCTCTATTTCAACAACCAATGTTATTTTAACTAATTCAAAATAATCTACGTTTTAGATACGATTCATTTATGATATTTTGATTTTTGATCTAACTAAATTATATGCACTCTCATTTTGTGGTTGTTAACATAAATTAACTCATTGTTCAAACAATATTTAAAAAATATATCCATAATTGAGGATTACAGAAAAATAAAAATATATTCATTCTAATATTATATATATGGACTGACATAAAAAAATTAATATTTTTTTACTTACTATTATAATATATCACGATTTTATTCTATAACTATATAATATATAAATTTTGTAATAAATGAAATTCAACCCGTACTGTAGTACGGGTGATGATCTAGTAGGACAATAAGACAATAACTCAATCATTATAATTATGACCATTTATTTAGTTATTCGTTGGTTTACTTAACTAAACAACATTGCTAATTAACTATAAATATTATAAGCATATAATCACATATATTACATACTATAAAATAAATATTATTTGATATATCATCATTAAATTTTTTCTAAAGGTTAAAAAGAATCCAAGCTTTTGTCTTTGATATTAACCGTATCGTAATAATTAAATAATCGTAACTGTATTTAACCGTAATCGTTGTAACCGTAACCGTATTTAACCGTAACCGTTTTAACCGTATATATAGTGGTTAAGGTTACGGTTAGAAAAAATTTATAACCGTAACCGGTGGTTAATAAACCGTAACCGCAATAACCGTAACCGTGGTCATGCCTACTCCACGGTACTAGGAGAAGCATTCACAGGAATGGTAGTAGGAGGAGAAGAGTTCAAAGAAGGATGAGACGGAGGAGGAGGAGGAGGAGGAGACCAATCCTCAGGTGGCTCAGCACCGTAAGATCTAAGTGTATCCCAAAAGGAAGATCTAAGCTTGTTTCTGTAATTGAATCCTTGATTTAGATCTTTTGAATGTTGTTGTTTCCTTGTAGATTTGGAAGTAGCAGCATTGGTTGGAGATTGAACACGACCGATCTCAATGAATGTTCCTTGAAGAGGAGAGACACCACGAGGGTTGAATCCATAAGCTGTTTTACAAGTCGGACAGAAATTCACAGACTGGAAATTGGTTTTATCTCCGGCGCCGGAGGAATCTGAATCATCAGGACGTTGAAGAAGATTAGAAGATGGGAATTGACGATTTGAGAAGAGAAGATCCATTTGTTTTGAGCAACGAGGACAATTCGGCTCTGCTCTTAACTTCCGACGAGTTACAGGTACCGGAAAATCATCTCCTCCGGCTCCTCCTCCTCCGCCGCCTTGTTCCGATTTGAATCGTTCTTGAATACGACGGCGAGACGATGAACCCAATTGCGGAGAATAGAGATTGGGAACAGGTGAAATGGAACGAGCATGTAAAGCTAGAGACTTTAGATTCCTCCATCTCCAAATTCCAGACATTTGATTGATTTGAAAACAAAAACGAAGATTTGTATGTATCGATGTATGTGTGTGTATATGAAATCAAACAGACATAGAAAAGAGAGAAACTTGAGATCGGAATCAGTGACTCTGCATCAGGTCCGATGATGTTTTCGTGTCTTTTAAATATATACACGTTATTGGGATTTGTCTGAAGAAAATTAATGAAGGAGCGTTAGGTTAGATTAGATCGAGTAAGGAAACCTTAGAAAGCCATCAATTTGGAGAAGAAGAGAAACGATAAAACCGGAGAAAGTGAAGAAAGAAAACGATAGACTCGGAGAGAAAAAAGACGAAGCACACACTTTTATCCATCTCTCTCTCTCTCTCTCTACACGTTTGGTGGAAGAAGAGCACATGGGGACACGTGTAACGCAATTCTCTTACCTCCACGCGCCGTCGTCACACATGGCGGAGGAGTTAGTGAATCAATTTGTCTCCGCCGCGATCTCAAAGTCGAGACATTTGAATCATTTGAAGCAAGTTCAGTCCTTTTTGATAGTTTCTGGACTAAGTCATTCACATTTCCTCTGTTTTAAGCTTCTTCGTTTTTGTACTCTTCGTCTCTGTAATCTCTCTTACGCTCGCTTTATCTTTGATCGTTTCTCTTTCCCTAATACTCATTTATACGCTGCCGTTTTGACTGGGTACTCTTCTTCCCTTCCTCTTCATGCTTCTTCAGCTTTCTCCTTCTTTCGTCTCATGGTTAATCGTTCTTTTCCTCGGCCTAATCATTTCATATACCCACTTGTTCTTAAGTCTACACCATATCTTTCCTCTGCTTTTTCTACTCCTTTGGTGCATACCCATTTGTTCAAATCTGGATTTCATCTCTATGTTGTTGTTCAAACTGCTCTGCTTCACTCTTACGCTTCCTCTGTTTTTCATATAACTCTTGCAAGACAACTGTTCGACGAAATGTCTGAGAGAAATGTTGTTTCTTGGACTGCTATGCTTTCTGGGTATGCTAGGTCTGGTGATATCTTTAATGCTGTTGCTCTCTTTGAAGATATGCCTGAGCGTGATGTTCCTTCTTGGAATGCAATTCTTGCTGCTTGTACTCAGAATGGTCTTTTTGTTGAAGCGGTTTCTCTGTTTAGAAGGATGATTAATGAGCCTTGTATTCGTCCTAATGAGGTAACTTTAGTTTGTGTTCTCTCTGCTTGTGCTCAAACTGGTACTCTTCAGCTGGCTAAAGGGATTCATGCGTTTGCGTATCGTCGTGATCTTTCTTCTGATGTGTTTGTTTCGAATTCTTTGGTTGATTTGTATGGAAAATGTGGTAACTTGGAGGAAGCAAGCTCTGTTTTTAAGATGAGTTCAAAGAAAAGTTTAACAGCTTGGAATTCTATGATCAATTGCTTTGCACTCCATGGTAGAAGCGAAGAAGCCATAGCGGTGTTTGAAGAAATGATGAAGTTGAACAGTAACGATATCAAACCAGATCACATTACTTTTATCGGTCTTCTCAATGCGTGTACTCATGGGGGTTTGGTATCAAAAGGCCGAGGTTATTTCGATCTGATGACAGAAAGATTCGGTATTGAGCCAAGGATTGAGCACTATGGCTGTCTAATAGATCTTATAGGTAGGGCAGGTCGGTTCGATGAAGCTTTGGAAACTATGTCCACGATGAAGATGGAAGCGGATGAAGCGATTTGGGGCTCATTGCTCAATGCTTGTAAGAAATATGGCTATTTGGATTTGGCTGAAGTTGCTGTAAAAAATCTGGTTGCTTTAAATCCCAACAATGGAGGTTATGTCGCTATGATGGCAAATTTATATGGAGAGATGGGTAATTGGGAAGAGGCACGCAAAGCTAGAAAGATGATCAAGCACCAAAATGCTTTTAAACCACCAGGCTGGAGTCAGATTGAGATTGATAACAAGGTTCATCAGTTCTACTCTCTTGACAAATCACATCCGAAGACGGAGGAGATATATATGATACTGGACAGTCTGATTTCTTTCTGACACATTTGGAAGGTCTTAGATTCTCTGACAAAGCTGCACTCTGGTTTCTAACAGCGAGCTTCCTGCATTGATTTACACCGGATATATGGCTTCAGAGAAACTGTGGAAGCTGGAATTTTTATAATTGATCTCTCCACAGGTTACTGATAACCAAAAGCTGGTACGGTAATGTTATGTACTCTTTTGTTGTACTGTAAGAAGAGGAACTATTACGTGATATTGCAGAAACACTATGTTGCTTGTTAAGAAAGTAAGTCTTGCAATTCCTCTCTGACTTGTGATCATGTGATTTCTTTCTGTAATTCCAGCAAAAAACTTTTGGTTTACTCTCTGTTTTTGCATGTTCTTTGAATTTTACAGGTCCATGGACAATTAAACATTCGAGAAGAGGAAGTCTCTTACGCCAAGCAGTGGTACTCGTTAGTGAAGCACTGAAGCTTTCTTACACTTCATCATGTATCAAAATTGGGAATGATCAATAAACAAGGCACGCAATATAAAGACGTGTTACAGAATTTATTCGCGTTTAGAAAACTAGATTACATAGATTTTACAGGCATCAAACACGGTCCTGGATTCAACCAGAGTTCTTTTTGTGACTAAGCAGAACTGACTTTGCCAGTTTGATCCTCTTCGAATGCTATGTCAACAACCCTTGGACCCTTGACTTTGTCTTGGGAAAGCTTGTTGATGGTAATAGTGAGCACACCGTTATCAAGCTTGGCCTTGACAGAGTCCAAATCCACATTGTCAGGCATCCTAAACTGTCTCCAGAACTTGCCATGTGACCTCTCCACTCTATGCCAATGGTCTCCTTCTTTCTCTTCCTCTCTTTTCCTTTCGCCGCTTACTCTCACAACTCGATTCTCCTCCACTTCTATCTTTACCTCATCCTTCTTCATCCCTGGAACATCAAGCCTGATCACATGCTCTTCTGGTGTTTCTTTCCAGTCCACTCGCACAGGAGACAGAGCCAAGCTCTGATCCCTCTCGAGACCTAATGGGATTTGCTCCAAGACTCTGAAAGGATCAGGAAACCGATCTCGCCAGAGTTCAGATAGTAGACTGCCCGGAGTATCGAATGCAGATGGCAAGGACCCTTCAGTTGTTTGGATATTTCCAAGGAACAGAGTTATAAAGAAAAGACCTAACAAAGCAAGAGGGATTTGCTTCATCTTTAATTTAGAGCTTGGTTTTCTTGCAGAAGGGGTAAATAGGGAGTGATATTGGTTATTACTTCTTGTGATGACCTTTGTTGTTTGTTCTCTTCTCTATGAGGGTTAAGGTGCAAGTCTATGGTGAATATATAGATGCGTCTTATGAAGAGAATAATGCTACAGATTCTCGAACATTCTTGCGGTTTATTTGTCTTGCTTCTATTTTCTGAATTCCTGACAGAGAATTTGAGAATGTTCTACACATAAGCTTTGTTTGAGACTTCAAGGGTCTTCTCTAATGTTCCAGATACTTCATGTCAATCTAGTGAAGTCCTAAATGCATGGTAGTTGTTGGTATTTTGTAGGAAGACCCAATACAGAATGGGCCGATGATTCTAGATTCTAAGCAGGCCCTATTATCGTAATGGGAAAGTGTGCTTCATTGCCTATTTTTTGGTCTGTTGTCTTATTCTGCAGTGTGGTCCAAAACAATACTCCGACAAAACAAATCTGTTTTTTTGTTGATCTATCTATAGAGCAGCGATTTTACATTTTAGAATCGGAAGGTATACCAATGGGTTCAAGTACTTATGATCATTTGCTTTAGAATTCAGATGCTCTTAACACTTGTGAGTTGTGTGACACTGAAAACATGCAAAAACCACTGCATATAATCAGAGCGGATTCTTAAATATGCACTACATTATCGGTAAAACCCGTGTATTCATTGGTATTATGTAAATTGACAACAATAGTATTATATAACCGTTCGCTAATTGAAACCTGAATCAGAGACGTAATCACCCTGAGCAATGACCTCTACCTGCCTTCTGCAACTTTCTTAAACTTCCTATTGAGAAGAATGATCAACATTCGTATGCTTTCTCTGTTGCGTTGTCTGATTCTTCACCATCTTCATTGTCAAAAACAACCCAGACCATGCTGATTTTGGTCTCCACTGGTAATGAGAAAGGACTGGTAGATGAAAAACCGGTGTGATGCTGTTTTTTGTTGCAGGTGATTGGATCTCTTAGGTTGATGGAGACAGATAAATCTCTTTTGCCTCCATAGCTTGAGCATTCCTCTAGTGCTACTATATGATCCATGGTAATGGCTTGCACAGATGGGTAATCCAAGTTCTTCATCCCAGCGAATCCTCTACACTTTTCATACAGGATGCGGAGATCTTGAATCTGTTGAGAAGCTTTTCTCAACATTCCGCAAGCTAAATCTCTCGCGGGTCTTGAAAGATCAAAGAGCATGCTAACCAGCGCGGCTATCCCATCGGAATACGTCATGTAGACTTGGAAACTTTCTTTCAAGATGTTTCCAGTAGCTGCTTGAACCAGATTATCGATAGGCCAGGCATCAACCGGTGAACACTTCAACACCTGTGCAATGAACTCTTGGCACTTTGGTAAGATGTGGAACACCAGATCCATGGATTTCTCTTTGTAACGGCTAAACTTTGTACCTCCAGACATTACGGGTTCGAGCTTACCAGCTTGATTGATGATCCATCCAACTCTTTCTTGGAGATAAGCTACATAGTTCTGCAGAAAAACAAAGGACGGAGGATCCGGGCTCTGTGTTTTAAAAAGCGCAAGGCGAGGCAAGGCGCTGGGGTGCTCAGTTTGAGCCTTGAGCCTAGGCGCTGGAGCCTCTGAGCCTTGGCCGTTTGAGGCGCAACTACAAAATAAAACAGTAGGTTAGATATATTCATTGATTCATAAGCATATTTAGAACAATTTGTGAGTCTGAAAAGAGATTAAAAAAGAAAATCTAACAAAAGCTTAAAGCATGAGTCTGAAAAAGTCTGAAACTCAGAAACATAAAAATGAAAACAAACAGAATCCAATCCAACAAAAGCTAAACCATGAGTCTGAAACTCTGAAACATAAAAATGACAACAAACAGAATCCAATCCAACTAAAAATCATGAGTGTGGAACTCTAAAAATCTGCCTCATCATCATCGTCTCCTACAAAATCTTCATCAATTTCATTATCCTCATCTCCTCCTTTGAACTCCTCTTCAATTTCATCATCCTCGTCAATCAAAGCCATTGGAGTTGGAGCCGTCCTCTGAGATGCTCTTGGAGTTGGAGTGGAGCATGTGGCTGTATTTTTCCCTTTCCCTTTCGCAGTTCTACTTGAAGACGATGTTGATCCTCTTTTAGCTCTAGTAAGGTAGTTAGGCTCATTAGCTCCAGATACTTTGCTTACCATTTCCCATGTCAAATCACTGTCATCAAAAACCAGTTCGCTCAACTCAGCAGAAGACTCCTCATCCATTCTTCCAACCAACCACTCATTACAGTCATCAATATCTTTTAAGCTGATAGGATCAATTGAGTCTTTCAACTTGTACCGACGTGTTAAAGCGCGATTGTACTTAACAAACACCATGTCATTAAGCCGCTCTTGAGCCAATCGGTTCCTTTTCTTGGTATGGAGATGTGAAAACACACTCCAATTTCTCTCACAACCCGTCGCACTACACGTGAGACTAAGAATTTTTATTGCAAAGTCTCGAAGTGTTGGTGTTGAGTTTCCATACGAAGACCACCACTCAGCTGGTGATATCGTAGTCCTTTGCCTTATTGCCATTGGAATCCCAAAGAGTCCAGAAGCACGTTTAAACTGCTGCAATTCGGCGGATATCTTATCTTGAGTTGCAGCATCAGGAACCAACCTCTCAATGGTGCTGTATAGACCTATCGATACCTCTTCACAATCCACTCCAGCCCCTGCTTTATACTGAAATTCCGGATTCAAGTAGTAGCCAGCAGCATGCAAAGGATGATGAAGTTGACAATTCCAGCGCCTATCGATGATTTCAAATGCTTCCTTGTATCTTTCTTGTCTACCTTTGAAGGTGCTAGCAATGGACTCTTTAGCCCTATCCATTGCTTCATAGATGTATCCCATAGCTGGTTTTTTCTCTCCATCAACCAACCTAAGCACCTTAACTAGAGGACCTGTCAACTGGAGTGTATAGAGCACGTTGTGCCAGAAACTATCTTGCAAAATGATCCTCTTCACAGTCCTTGCTCCGGCTTCCTTTGGCCACTTGGAATCTAACCAATCTTGAGAATTCACAAAACTCCTCAAGTTTTTTCTCTGCTTATAATACTGCGCTAGTGTGATGAAAGACGTAGCAAACCGAGTTACAGCCGGTCTATGCAGATTTGCTTCGTTTGTGAATTTCCTCATCATATTCAGAAGAGAACTGTGACCATAGATATCCATTCATGAAAATGCAGTTCTTGATTGCAGTCTTTACTTGAGGAATCTTTCCTATATCCTCAAGGATGAGGTCTATGCAATGAGCAGCACAAGGCGTCCAATACAAATGAGGACGTTTCGCCATTAGCAGTTCACCTACAACATAAACGAAACACAAAACAGAGTTAGAGGCAGCCTTACGATTAAAAAAACAGAACTCATAAAGCTGAAACTAAAAGATTAAAAACTCACCAGCTTTCACGTAGTTGGATGCGTTGTCGGTTACCACTTGGACAACATTAGCTTCCCCAACTTCTTCCACCATACGATCCAGGTGATCAAACAACATGTTAGCATCTTTCACAACCGTGGAAACATCAACTGATCTGATGAAAACTGATCCTTTTGGCGAGTTAACAAGAAAGTTGACAATGTCCTTTTGTACAACAGAATCTCGCCATCCGTCTGACATGATTGAACAGCCTCTAGTAGCCCATTCTTCCCTGTGCTCCACCAACTTTTTCTCTGTTGCATTGACTTCTTTCTTCAACAAAGGTACTCTTAGTTCATACATGGTTGGTGGCTTAAAGCCGGTACCATATTGACCAACTAACTCTAATGCCTCTTTAAAACTATCATAGTTAACTGCATTAAAGGGAAGCCCTGCATCATAAAACCACCTCGCAATAGCACCACATGCTCTATCCCTAAGTTCCTTATCACATACTCCGAATATCTCTTTTCTGCTGTCTTTTCTTCCTTTCAATACATCAGGAGGAGTTGGACAAACAAACCTGTCCATTGGACCTTTGCGTTTTTTCACAGGCGGCTGTCCTCTTTTACTAGCAAGAGCTTCAACTTCTTCCTCTTCTCCATAATCATAATCGTCATATGAAGTGCCTGGTGGTGGCATCATTTGAGTGGTGGCTTTGATTTCAGCTTTTTTAAGCATGAAATCTTTTATTTCTTCCCTCACATTAGGAGGAACCATAGAACATTGAGTAACATTCCTAAAGCCTCCAACAATATGTTGCTTTGCACGTTGAACTCCACCATTTGTGACTTTCTTACAATAGATACACGTCCAGCTACCGTATTTTCCAGTAACAGGAACTGCATGTTTCCTGACTGGATCAAGGTTATTGGGAGGATCTGATCCAGACATGATGAGATGATGAAGAAAAGAGAATTGGGAGAATAGAAAGTATAGAGAAGAGACAAGAGCGTGGAGAAGATGAAAGACAGAGGCTGGGAGAATATGAAAAGGCAAAGGCTGGAGACGTGAGTTTATCAAAAGTTTTTAGGTTTTTTCTCATTTAATTTACATGCCATATTTTTGGAAACATAAAAAGCAAGAGAATATCAATGATTTTGCATTATTACCTTTTTATGTCTGAGGCGCAAAGCGAGTTGAGGCGCGCCTTGAGCCCAGGCGTCCCGGAGCGAGAGCCTAGAGGAGATCGCCTAGCCTCACCAGTTTGAGGCGCTGACCCCTTAGCCTCACTGCGCCTTGAGCCTAGGCGAGGCCTAGGCGCGCCTTTTAAAACACAGTCCGGGCTCATCATGAACCAGCAGCAACCTATTTGGAGATGACCAGAGGTGTGTGCAATATGCAATTGCTGCTCGATACTGCGACTGCTACCACGTAAGAGTCGATGAAAGAGTAACAGAGTTTTACCCGCTACTAAGTAATCTCTTGTCTTGGCTAGACGGCGTGAGATCTGTTCAGCAAGAAAAGGAATTGTTCCCGGAGTGTTAGAGACAAGAAAGAGTATCTCGTGCATGGTTTTGTCATCAACAGGACAATCATCATGGCTAGTGGCTCTTACCACTGCCACTTCAATGTCAAAAAACGCTTTTTCATTGTAATTTTGTACAATAGCTCTGCCAATAGACACATGATCCTTGGCGAGGCCAAGAACTTGCCGAAGCTTGGCAGATAAATCAAGCCTCATTGATATTTACAGACTAAATGACACTATTTGGCTGTTGGAAATCTTATAAGAACTGTTTCTGTAATGATATCTATATATACATGAGTATACAATTAGACATGAAGGCCAAGAGGAGAAAGTTGCCAATAAAAGAAATAAAAAGCTCAAGAAATGGTGGTGAGGAATCATATCTTTTCTTTAAACTTAAAGTGAGGAATTATCCTTGCAAATAGTATATTAAACAGGGCCTAGTCCTAACGAAAGTCAAAGTCACTTTAGAGAGATGCTGCTAGAGCTTTATGACTAAAATAGAACATCCACAAAAACATCAAACATTTCTTTTTTGAGAGCAGAGTGACTATAGCATCAACATGAAATCTTTACCAAAGCTGATTATTTACTATAAGAATTGAAGAAATCTGCATGTACTAATCCGATGTTAGAATCTTAAGATTCATACCAGAAGCAGAGATTTGGGAAGGCGAATAGTCGTTGTTCACTTCGCCAGAAATCTCGCTCTCTCGAGCATACCTTCAGAATTCAGATCCATGTTTAAAATATATAAGGAGTGAGTCAGAATGCACCCATGAGGCTCTAAATCCTGTTGGTTTCTAGATAAAAATGAATAAACAACATTTCTCAAGAGTCAACTCCATAAAAGTTATTTCTTTTCCTGTGTGGGGAAGAAGAGAACCTCATTCTACAAGAATCTGATTCTCATGCATCAAACTCTTTTGCTATTTTCAATGTCCAATATACCTGAGGACATTCCTGCAGGCAGTGACCTTTTTTTTCTTCATTTTATTGACCGAAATGTTAAGCGTGTTGTATACGTGTAAGTAAACTCACTGTAGCTTATATCAGAAAAGAAAAGAAACAGATGCATACTTGTTTCTTAAACAAGAGCCAACTCTACATCGCTGTATCACAAAGTAACTTTCATATCTTCAAAAGGGAGATAACATCACTGCAAGTAACTATTCATAGAAAACGAAACTTGCATGTGCTTCATTGTGTAAGGTACAAGACCTTATAGACAACCATGAAGCTCTGAAATGCAAGTACACACCAGATTGCCACTTCCACTTATACTACCAGCGAATTTTACTTCCTTGAATGAAGAGAAAAAACAAGAAAAAAGCAGAAAAAGAGTAAATCTAATCCAACATGGCTCCAACACAATCACAAAAAAAAAGGGGACGACAAATTACCATAAACATTTGAACAGACTATAGTATATCATCTCAAACACGTGACTATTTTTATGATGTTAGAAGAACAAATGTTAGACTGAACTCAACATTTCACCTTTGTTTTGTATACAATATGTGGTGCATCAAATGGTAGTCACTGTGCTGCAGAAGCCACCTAAATACAACTCGTCAAAGACCCGCACGTCATATTTCAAATGCCGATACATCCCAACTATTTGAGAGGCTTAATTCCCTGAAAGATCAGAGAAAAATGTTCTTCACTTTAGAAACTAGTAAGCAAGTTGAAAGTTCTAACAGTGATGATATACCAAACTAAGCAACAGCTACTGAAAATTATAAAACAATACTGCAACCACCGACTAGTAATAGCTAAGTAACTGTATAAACATAGTTTCAGACTGCTTCATCCCAAGATATAAGTCTAAAGAATTTAAAAAGCAGGACCTTTCAATGAAGAAAGAGAAACACTTTGCGCTACTACGAGTACCCTATTGGCATAATCCTGATAACAAAGTATTTGGATTGGTAAATAACAAACAGTACCTTGGCTGCCCTCATGCTATTGACGGCCATACGAAGACCATCATGGGAGAGTATCAAACGAGATAAGCCACCAGTGCTCAAACTGCAAAAATCAAATAGTAAGATGACTCAAAGTTAGACAAAGACAGTACACTGGACTTCAATGAATTTTACAGGTTCAAGAAGGATTTGTTACCCAAGCAATTTGGCAGAATCGGCGATAGAACCGTCAGAAGCAGAAATAACATCAAGCAAAGCTTGCATTCCCTGTAGGCAACTAGTGAGTAAATGGACAGATAAGAGAAAGAGCTAAAGCGAGAAAGAGAGTCATCATACAGGTACAAATTTAGGATTGTTGGGACCAATCTGTGAACCAGAAGAAGTTCTTATAGTAGACTTGGGAGGTAGAATCTGAAGAAGCTCTGGAGGAGGAGCATAAGCATCAAGGTCCACTTTGTTCCTCACTGGAAAAAGACAAAATTAGAATCAATTTGAGAAGTTACAGTTTCAAAGAACGAAATTGAGAGAGAAGGGATTGAGACCTTTAATGGCGAGGAGTGTGCGAAGCCGGTTTAGAGCAGAAGCACGGTTCTTGTGCTGTGAACGATCCTCGACGGCCTGAGCTACGATTCCGGTGGGGAGATGTTTGAGACGCACGGCGGAGTCACGCTTGTTCCGGTGTTGTCCTCCAGGTCCTGAAACTCTAAATGTCTCTAATCTACATTGCTTCATCAATTCATCATCGGTGAATTTCAAGTAATTAGGACTCTGAACATCCACAACAACGCTAACGGAATCGTTAGCGCTACCGAAATCGCCACTGCTACTTCCACCGCCGTCGACGGACGATGAATAACGGAGAATCGAGCATAATCGGGTACTGAGTCCATTGGATGGAACAGTCCTGCGATAGTATATGACAGAAGACAGAGAAAACGTGGACGGGACACTGGGACGGAGGAGAAGAGGGAAGCGGGCGTGAAAGAGAGCGGCAACGGCCATGATCGCCATGGCAGAAGAACCACCGCGACGGGATTGGTTTCGATGATGACATCTCTCGTAGTCCCAACCGGCCCATTAGAAACTATCCATCTATTGGGCTTGGCCCATTTAAGTAACTTCAATTTTTGAGTTTATTTTATCTGTTGGTCACCAATGCTACTACTTATTAATGGGATTGTTAATACTTAATACAACATCAATATTCGTTTCTTAGATTAATAACGAAAATGCAATTTTTTTGCGACAACAAAATTTTTTATTGCATCCAAAATTCATTATCTATTTACATTATGTACGAAGTATCATCATTATACTACAAATGCATCCCAAAAACAATTAGTTAAGCTCGATCATGCATGTATCCATTAGTTAGGACCCCAACAGCTCAAGTACATGACCGTTCTAAGTGATTCTTCAGCCTGCTTCGCCTTGTTATCATCCTTAACGGACGCAACTGCGGTTGACGAAGAGAATCTGTTGGCCTGAGAAGCGGATCTCACGTTGTTACGGATACGTTGATTCACTGATCGGATCAAGTAGTTCCATCGACACATGCCTAATTGGTCCTTGGAGGCTTCCACGGCTCCGATGCTTGCAGCCACTAACCATGCTTTGCTTGTTGAACTCATATTTTTAATTAGAAAAATATTCGGAGAAACTCTTTGTTGTTTTTTTTGTTTTGTTGATTGTGAATTTGTTTGTTGATGAAGAAGATAAGAATCTGATGGGTCTTGTTATATAATAAGAGAAAGTAGCCGCTAGTTAAAGTCAAAACCAGATGCTCTCTCCCACTGGTTTTCCCCAAGTGTTTGTTGTCTTGGTTGCGAAATTACCATTGTGTCAAGTTGAGAACAAACTGGATTAGGGGTATTATTGACTTTTTGATTATCCTGAATTACGGCAACTGTGTGTTCATGCGCACCTTGTTTCGGGGACTATTTTTGAATTTGACGAGTTTTATGGAATTTGGATATTTCACATGAAATAATGAAAAAAAAAAATTAAAAAATTAAAAAGAGAGCTCAGGAGTGTGGCGATTGCATCTGAGAAATCAGAAGAATGCGAAGGACCCAACCAACGCTGAAGCCAATTTCATCACAGCTCAATTGCACCAGTCGAGTATCGAACCCGGGTCACTGACAGGTTACTATACCACTGGACCACTAGTGCTTGTTGTTCGTATGTTTAAATATATATTAATATTGTTTATGTTAATATTGTTTCATTGTTTGAGCTAAATAAAATCAACTGTGGTTCATCAGTCATCACACATGTATGTCTCTTGATGTAATCTGTTATCATAAGTTTGGAAGTAGCAATGGTTTTATAAAACTGTAGCAAATTCAGCCATTCTCAAGTAAACTGGATTTTCTTTCAAAACTCACTACAATAAATCATCTAAAAGTAATTAGAGGTGAACAAATCATATAAACAAAGCTTAAAGCCTTATAGACTTGTTGGTAGTTGTTCTTTAAACTTTGCTGCCGTTCAAGCTTCCACCACCATGTTGGTAATGCTTGGAGCAATGAAGATACAAAACCTGAAGCTAATCCCACAAAACTCCGACCAGAGAATCTCAGAGACGACAATCAAACAAGCAGCTTTGGAAACAATTCATGTGGATCGTGCTCCGGAAGTGTAAATTCTCAAGTTTAACAATGACAACTATGAACGAAAAACTCAAATGCCTTAATAGTTAATAGTTAAGTAGCTTTAGTTCTCAATCGATCCACTAAAATTTCTTTGTTACACTTTTTAAGTTTCTAACAAAATTTCCGAATAAGACAAGTTCCATTCAAAACAGAATATAAATAATTTACACTTATCTCCTCCTCTGACTTCTTTGAACGTGAGCCTCCTTAAGCATTGTCTGCCAAAGGTCTTTGACACGATGACGAAACTTTTTCTGAAACCAAACTTCAATCTCAGAGTAAAGCACATTCGGATTCTGTTCCCAACTCTTTCTCAAACTCTCTAAACTATCAATCTTCTTCTCTGTCAAAACCATCACCAAACCCCCAACTCTTTCTAAGCCCCAAGCTTCTCTTTCCAACAACGTTTCAGGTTTCCCAGCCAACAACGCCCTAACGCTTTTCAAACAAGGTAATACCTCTCCTTGAAGCAAAGCACATCCGAAAGCTGCTGCTCGGTCTCTATCATCTGTTATTGCCACACTGTGAGCTGGAAGCTCCCAATTATGAGGACCGAAACTTGGAATGACCCAGCACAAAACTCTATCCTCCTCACTCGAGTAATATGGTTTCGGGTCCTTGAGTGGCGAGGAGAACACGGAGAGAGACTTTGCGTGCTTCACCAGCCATTCTGGCTTCACTCGAGTCGCTCCGTGCATGTATGGTCTGTTGGTGAGTAGGAGCTCGCTGTAGACCAATAACTCCGGAGCTGTGTTTATGAGAGACGACCAACGGTGCAAGAAAACAGGTTCTTGCACAGCACAGGCTTGGTATTCTGTCGCTCTGGTCTTTCTGGCTACACGGTCTGCCCATCCCGCACATATGGCTTCTCCTAACAGTTCTTCTTCGTTCTGTAGAAGAGGATATTTTGCAGAAGACGATGTGGTGATTCTCCATGACTTCTCTACGTCTTGTATATTCCCATGAGTCCATGAGAAACCATCATTGGTTTCGGAGGGCTTACAACAGCTGAAAACAAGTCTCAGAAGCTGATCTTTGAGCTTAGACATCTCGTCCATGGTCTTTAAATGCAAACCGTTCGCCTCGCAGAAGCCCATGCCATTCTCTGAGACCTCAAAGGAATGCAATGCATAAGCTACAGTCAAAGCATCGCTGCTCGGGTTGGAAAATCTGTCCCGAGCAGCTTTGATTTTCTCTTTCCGATCCTTTCTCCGTTGTTTATCTTCTTGCTTGACGGTTTTGTCAGCATCTTTGGACTCGTTTTTCTTCTCTCCTTCAAACTCCATTATCAAAGGGTTTGGTAAGCTCAACGCGGCTACTGCTGCAACCGCATATCCAAGGACGAGATTCGCGCGTGAGTAATTCCGGGTCTCTTTTAGCATTTGGATGACTGTGAGAAGCATTCTTGAGTGACGTGGACTCATGGGATAGTGAGACATAGCCTTTCCTAATGGTGTTAACCTTCCGTTGCTGTCGAGAGCCTCTAAAGCTTTTAAGCATCGTTCTGCTTCTCTAATAGCTGATAGCTCAGGGGGAGTTGGAAACGGGAAATTCTCAACCTGTTAGCAATAGAAAAACGCAAAGATTCATCAAGAGTCAGACAGACAGAAGAAAGAGATCTAGTCCATTGACAATGGTGGCTACAAACGTCGTACCTTTGGAATGTTCATAGATTTCATGAGAAGAACAACTCCATCAACAGGAACTTTCGTGATTTCAGGAGGCGAAGATTCCTCAAATATATTGCTAAAAACCGCAGATGAATAGAGACGATAACAGTGACCAGGTCCAGTTCGTCCAGCTCTTCCAGCTCGTTGACTAGCCGAAGCTTGGCTAATCCAATCTACCTCATAACTTTCCATACCAGTCTTAGAATCATAATTCTTCAATTTAACCCGACCTGTATCAACCACATACTTTATACCGGGAATAGTCAGAGAAGTTTCCGCTACATTAGTCGCCACAACCACAAGTCTTTCTTCTTTCTCAAATTCCTCAAACACTCGTAGCTGTGCAGCTGGAGATAGCATCGCATAAAGTGGAAGAACACGTAATTTTCCTGGAGAAAATGTATTTTTTACCTGCTCAGCCTCTTGATTCTCTGCTGCAATGGTCTTTGCTGGCTCAGCAGATACGGATCCATTTTTGTCTGCCAAACCATTAAACGCTGCTCGGAGAGCATCAAACTTCCCTTCCTCTACAAATGAACTTGCAAAGCCGTCATCAACGGTTTCCCAGTCCCTGTCTTCATCAGACTCATACATGTCTTCTTCTTCAAAATCATCATCATAGTTACCATCACCAATTTCAGAAGGATCTTCTCCATGCGAGCTAAACCTGTAATTTTGATTGTCGGAGCCATCATCAAATGCTTCAGCAATCTCCTTCATGTCAACACCACCAAATGAACCATCATCGCATTTCTTTTTCAAATAAGCATCTCTTTTAGCAGCTTGAACAACAAGTTCCTTTGAAGACTTACGTAACTTCTCACATAAGTGGTCAACTTCTCTCTGCCCAGTCACAAAAACAAGTATTCCTCCTTGTGGTAACTTTTTGTGAATTGACATCACTTTCTTATAAGCTTGACCGATATAATCAACAATCTCAGTCTTCCTGGAGAAATGTATAGTTACTGGATACTGTCGAGTGGGAACCTCTATAAGCGGAGGTATATTAGGGAATAACCTTTTCCCCGATACAAAGTCTTCCACTCGCAAAGTGGCACTCATCAATATAAGTTTAAGTGGCGTAATTTGGCATTCTGAGGTTACTGTGCCTCCAGATTGAAGACTCTTTTGTTGTTCCTCGTAATATTCCTGTCGAATTTTGATGACTCGAGTGAGCATCCCAATTAGAATGTCTGTGTTCAAACTTCTTTCATGGGCTTCATCGAGGATTATCACAGAGTAACGCCTCAATAAGAAGTCATTCTGCAGCAGAAGAACATATACAATCAAGTACCATGATTAAAATGGAAAAGAATGAACAAAACAAACCAGGCGAAAAACCGTCAATTACCTGTATCTCACGAAGTAAAATCCCATCAGTCATAAACTTGATAGAGGAGTTTTCGCCAATCTTTTTGTCGTACCTAACTTGAAACCCGACCTCTTTACCAAGACGAACACCAAGCTCAAATGCCACTCTCTTGGCAGTGGCAAGGACGGCGACACGGCGTGGTTGGGTAATCCCGATAATCCCACTTCGAGAACTGAATTGCTTTGAACCAAAACCAGCTTCATAAAGGAACTGAAAGATTCAGAAACAAAAACAGGGTTAAATAAAGAAAGGACTTTCTAACTGAGACCAAAACTCAGCTATCAGAAAACCTTTACAAATGAAGCAAACTGACCTGAGGAACTTGAGTGGTTTTACCACACCCGGTTTGTCCTGAAATAATAACTGCGGGGTGACGATTAATAGCTTCCATTATCTCCTGCTCCATCATTACTATCGGAAGATCCTTCCTCGTCTCTTCAACTTCGGCTGGTCTTGAAACATGAACTACAAACGCGGGCACACGAGGTCCTTGTACAGTTACATCTTCATTCTCAATGGTCCCATCCTGTTTCATATCAAACCCATTAGAACCAATCAAATCAAATCAAATATCTTAGGCAGTAATAATAGCTGAACTGGAAATTGTCAATCAACAAAAATGAAAAAAAAAACATCAAACTGTCGGAGTTGACAAACCATTCCTAGTGAGCCTTCTTCATCATCACGACAAGTAGTCTGTGGGATCATATCCACAGTGTCGTCTACCACAAGCTTGCTACTAGTTTCTTCAGCAGAAATCATTAGATCAGAACCGAGTTCATGGTCATGAACCAGTTGTTGCTCAGAATCAGTTACAAAAGTTGGGATTTCGATTTCAACATGTTCCGGTGTTGTAGGTTTGTCCATACAAGAATCATCATCGTCATTTTGCTCGACAGATTCATCAGAATGCTCAGTCTCAACACCAGCTTTAGAAAGTTGCATTGCTCTCCTTCGTTTTTCCAGCTTAGTGGCTGACTGAATTAAAGATTAATTACCAAAAGACAATCAGAACATCTTTAAGAAATCGTACTATAAGAGAAAATAAGAGAGAGAATATTTCTTACTCTTCCTATAACTTTTGACGATTGTAATAGCGAGGATACATCCTCAGATATTTTGTACTTGCTGCAAAATTCAATACCAAAGTCAAATAAAGAAAACAAAAAAAAAATCAAATATTCGAATCAAAGCGTTGAACATACTCTAACAACTCGGCAGTTTTTGCAAAGATGATTTCTTTCTCCTTATCTTCCTCCAATTTCTTCAGCTTCCGTTTCTGAGATTTGCTCACTACGGTGTCCTTATTTAAATTCAGTTTCCGTTTCCGAGATCTGCTTGAAACCGTCTTCTTATTTGAATTCAGCTTATCCTGCATCCACCATGAAAACATTTTCCAAACCTCATCAGCATTAAAATCTCCAAAATCTCATTGAAGAATGGTTTGATTAGAGCTTTTACCTTATTGGATCCCTTATTCTTCTTCTTCCTTGGAGGCATTATATCTAAATTGCAATCATCTCCCATCAGACTCGCCATAATCGTACAAATCGGATCAACTCGAAAACAAAATCTGTTTGTCTACTCAGGGATCTTCAGACAAACCTGACACACACAGAGAGATAACCTTAAAGGAGGTTCTGATTTAGAAAAAAAACAGCTAATTGAGAAGAAATTGATTTAACAACTGGATACATATTAATTATTCACTTTCTAATCACTCAAAGACATATTATAGCTAGTAGATTCTGTTATATACAATGTACGTGTATAGCTCCCAAATTCATACTAATCAAAAGGAAGGCACGTATCTATAGCAACGAGTCACAGTCAAAAGCCATATATAATTCTCGCCGGAATTCACAAGAAGGGAAATCAAATTAACATCTCCTGTTTCCGCAGATTACACTAAACTCGAACCCTAAATATGTAATTAGGACGAAACAAGCATGCCCTTACTCAAATTTAAAGTAATCGCTAAACCCAAGTTATGTCTTAAGAAACACTCATGTGGTTACGAAGAATGGAAACAATCCAAAGAAGATCGAGAAAGAGACTGGGCAACACCTTGAGAATTCGATTCTAGTTGTCGAGTAGCTCTAGTGATTTCTTAGGTAGATCGTAGACACGGACGCGAGCTGATCCTCTTCGACGCTTGTTGTGGTGTCTGCGTCGTTGAGGTCGGGGAAAGAAGAAATTCGTGTGTTTGTTGTTTTGGACCTTTTTTTTTGGTCGGAGATAGAAATATTTGCCCAAATCGTCGTCGTTTTGCAAAAGTAAAATCTTAAGTCCAAAAAATTTGTTAAAACCCTAAGTCAAACAAAAACGACATCGTTTCTGACAAGGAAAAAGAAAAACTAAACCGGCCTAATAACTTTTTTTTTTTTTTGGCACACAACCGGCCTAATATCTATATTAGTATTTTTGCAGTCACTTTGGTGACGGATGGATAAAAATGCTTCTGGGTTATTTGGATATCCGACCCGTTTCAAAAAATCCTTCACAAAAAAATTTGTTGGGTCGGATTATATTTAACCCAACTCATACACCGGATATTCAATATTTAATAATTTAGATATTTAGAAGATTTGATTAAGATTTATAATTATGATTCTCCTATCATCTTTGTTTGATTTGTTTTTAACTGTTTTGAATCATCATATAATACATAAAGTAAAAAAAAAAATCAATTTTTTTTCTGCATATACTGTGATTCGAAATTTTAAAAACGGACATATATTATCCAATTGACGAAAATGTGTGTTCAATGTTCTACATCGATTAAAATATTTAGACAATGATTCAGAATCATACCATAAATAAGAACATTAATAAAATAAATGAGTTTTTTGGCCGGACGGGTTTGGCGGGACGGGTTTTTGAATCAACAATAATAAAAAGATTAAAATATCATTAATTCGCCGCTTCAATACAGATTAAATCTTTTTTTTTAATACCACAAATATTAGACATATTAAATCAGTCTCATTTAGAAAAGATTGTATAAAACCAAAAATTGTCTCGTGGTATAATGTTACTTAATAACAATATTTATAAAATTTTAAAATATCATTAACATGCCGCTTTAATACATATTAAATCTTTATTTTATTAAAATATAAATGTCTTAGAGAATGATATGATTTGTAAACTTTTATATATAATAAATAATCATTAAATTTTAAAATAAAAACAAATCACGGGACGGGTTAAGAAATTACGGAACGGGTTATATTTCGGAAAAGATTTATATGGCGGACGAATTTGAATCAATATTTATATACCGCTTTAATACAGGTTAAATTTTCAGTTTATTAATAATTGTCTCGTGGAGTCGTGGTATACCGTTACTTAATAACAATTGTAAACTATAATATAAATAAATATGTTATAAGGAGATACAATTTACAAAATATTTTCATACTAACTTTAAAATTAAATCATCCCGCGGTGTACCGCGGGTTAAAATATAGTTTTTGTATTAACAAAGCTAATACAAGTTTACAACACAAACTTTTTGGGTTAAGAAGTTGACAAATTTACCGGTTTGGCAGCTTCTTGCTTAAGACATGGGAGATAAGAGAAGAGAGTCTCAGCATGTGACCCGTAATACTTTGAGAATATCTGAGACAGACTCTTTGTTGTGTGCAATGCTCCACTGGAATCACCTGATGCAAGCTGGATCGACGCAAGCTTCACCATTTCATTTCCAATCACTACATGTTCATCCTCATACAGCCTCTTCAGAATCTGCCACCATACCCAAAATATATCTCAGATCTCCCAGTTGGGATAATGTAAAACGAACAAAATTTAAAAGGTTGTTTGAGAAATTTGGTCTTCCAGATATCGGTTTACTCAAGGAATTTCCGTACAGTATACACAATCACTGTTCTCATCATTGTCAATCAATGAATCATTTTGTGGTCTAAATCCAAGCAGTATCAGTATATTTAGGGCTTTTACCTTAATGGACGCTTCACAATGCTTTCTTGCATCCACCAGTTCTCCAGCTAAATAGCACGCCTGAGCAACCTTATCCTCTGCCTGAAGAAACAAAATCTTGGAACGTGAGTAATGTCTGTTTTCTCTCAAGGAGGGTGGAGAGGATATGACTTCATCACCATATGCGATACAGAGTAACAAGGCTTTAAGATTTTTAGCATTAATAGAAGAACTTGACTCACATCAGCAATGTCTTTGTTATACATGTGCAGGAAAGTTCTAAGCACGGCGATGGACCTTAAACAATCTGATAAAACAGAATAATTAGCCCGTCCTGAATTCATCAACTCTTCCACCCTGACAGTTTCCAGTGATCCAAGTGTTAAAGAGAAACTTCACATTAACTATAAACTTGAAGCTTCAAGGAAACACTAGGTACCTTCTCATGTGATTCCAAGCTTTGTTCACCTCTGCATGAGAATTTTCGATGTCACAGTGGGAACCACATTTCAAACATATCTCAGGTTCTATATGAAGGGAACCTCTCGGTTTACTTAGCAAACTCGAAGCCACTTCCCCAACATCAGCATCCACCTTCTCCCTCACCTATGAAACAACACAGTTAAACCCAAACTAAACTATATAGATGACATTGTCGTTAAGAAACACTGCCTAAATCCTTAAATAGATAACAGCTTAAAGTTAAAATGGACATAATACCATGGAAACATTTCAGCACCCGATCCCCAAAGGAATTGAGCAGCGGAAATAAAAATTCCTGCCTTTTGTAAGAAATTAGAACTGCCTAAATTTGTTTAAGAATGACTACTGAGCATCTTCATTATCACCAGGTAATTTTTTTATAATGAACTGCACAGAAGCTAAACCCTGATGAATCAGTTTAAAAATATATCAGATTACCTGAACTTGCTGATCCAGGTTTCTTGGAGCAGTAAAAAAATGATTTAGCTTCTCGGACTCACATGTGGCCACATTACTATCCAAAACTACACCAGTACAGTTTGTATTGACACAGCGATACCCATTGATGACAAGGTCAGATATGTTAATTTGAGCACAGCCACGGCACCGACAATGGAAAAAGTACTCCTCTTCAAGAAATCTAATGCGATTTTTGCAGTCCCATTTTCCGACCTGTTAATTGTAATGCATATTGACATTTAAAAGGTATGAACTTCAAAGCACTCGGAAGATACATCATACAGAACAAAAGTAACAAATAGAGAAGAGGATCACAAGAATACCTCAGGACCATATGACAGCTCAAGGGGACAACCCATGGGAACAAACTCTGTTGTTCGCATAACAAGTCCACGTGAAAGGAAATACAAATGGATGTTTGGCTTGCATGAATGATTGAACAAACTTCCAGTTTTATAAAGAGCCTGACCAACTCTTATCTGTGGATAAAACAACAATAATAGACGTAAGAAAAAAGGAAATATTGAGAAAGGACCAATGTACGTCATAATCTCCAATGGTGGACGCTCACAAAATTTTATAGAAGCGCAGCTCAAAATATAACAGAAACATAAAAAATCAGATTACAGATATCATTTCTTTGACTCTAGATTGCATCTTTGTAAGTGGTGATACATAGCTCTAAATGAGTTCTTTAAGTGAGAAGAGGTATAAATAACACTCTAATAAGCAGTACCTCTGCCTATACAAACCTGCTCTAAACTCTGAATCGGCTCTTTTGCTGAGACGTTTCCAGATGGGATGCACTTGAAAGAATCGCCGCTGGATTTCATACGGACAACTGCTATAGAGTTCACCTTGATTTGTGACAGCAGTATGATAGTCTGCACAGAGAAGAAAAATCTAGACAGTGGTCAACACCTCAATAAGAAAATTTAGAAAAAGGAATAACAATGCCAAAACATAGTGTTGCATATGAATCATGCAGACAGCTATACTTCCCTAAATTTATGATAACGGGAACTCATCAAATGAACCATATGCATATTGTTGCAGTGGTAAACGTTTTTGGCAATGAGGATAGATTTACTCAAAAAAATCAAAAATTAATTTGAAATTAACTTTATATCTCGACGATAGGTGATAAACTAGATTTCCAATGACAAAAGATGGTAAGCAAGATATTCTTGATCTTTTATAAGATAAAGTATAACTTGTTAGCCAAAGTCGTCAGCATCTACTGAAGTTTATATGTCAGAGCATGCACAATTTCTAAAGAGCAAAGTTGACTTCAATGAGCTATTGGCTGGGACAGGGAGGGAGATGTAGAGGACAACCTGTGACACAGAAGCTTCACAGACCGAAAGATTAGGACAGCTAGATTTACTAAGGCACCAAATCAATACTATGGAAAGTAGATGCAGCTCCAACTTGCTCTCTGAATTCATCTTAGAGTAGCTATGGGAAAGTTCCTGTTGAGAAGACATAGGGTAGTCACTCCTTATTAGATTTCATGTGACTGTTGCAAATGATGGAAATTTTTTACTGTAAAAGGACATACTAATATCTCCTGAAGGTTAGAAAGATCTGTATCTGCTTTCCCTTGATTTATTAACTTCATTATAACTCGACCAGCTAAAACAGCATTAGATGGCAGTACAGCAGGCCAATTGGCTCCCCGACACTCATGCTGGTGTTCTTGAATGTACTCAGTTTCAGAATAATACATATCGGCTGATGTAACACCTTTAATATGCTCAACAATATCATCAGGTAGATTCTGAAAATTGCGACGCTTGTCCATCTCATTTGTGGACAGCATTCCAACTGATTGAATTTGGCAGGATTCTGAGCAATACACAGGTATTGCGCATGATGGACATGGGAGAGTATCAGCAGGCAACTCATTCAGGCAAAAATGGCAATGTGTTTCCCGACAATTTTTTGATATGACCTGTAAGAAGTGGCATCAGCATTAAAACATGTTCAGTAACAAAAGAAAATATGTGTTTAAGCATGGAACAATTTATATCTTCATTTGTTGCAGAAATCTTTTTAAACGCTAGAACCATCTATAGTTGACTAGGTTCCACTTCATTGTTTAAAAACCCATTGTATCACAACTCATACCACACTAAAAGGTTTTTCGACATGTATCACAGAAGCTTCTTCAATATCACATTCTGATACCATACCCCTTCCTTTCTCTTTTGTCGACACACAACACAGCTTTACTTCCATTTGCACACTCGGCAATTGATCTACAGACCATTCATAGAGACATGTCAACAATCCTCTCTAAAACTCAGCATAGAAGACTTCAAAGCCTAGATATAATCCTTAAGACAATAATGTTGGGTGAAAAATCTCACCCGCGCCAGCATAATTGCTTGGATAATATTCATTGTGTTCCGATGTTTGCTTATTCTGGTAATCTGGAATAGCCTTCAATTCATTTTGTAGCTGCTTCTTCCCCACCGGTGATGACTCAAGCGACATAGAAACTGTAATGTCACGAAATGCATCTTTATAATTTCCAAGAAGAGTATTAAGTTTGCCTCTCCTATACCATGCCTGACACAATGATCAATGAATTAAGAGCTGAAAAACTGTTAAGGATCCCAATTGAGTAAGTATAAAACCTTTGCATAACAAGGATCAATCCGAAGAGCACGATGACAGTCCCGCAAGCTCTCTTTGAGAAGTCCCAGATTCTAAACAAGATACAGAACATACATGAGAAAGCTACAAAGAGAAAAAGCTTAGAAATTGATTCAATGATGAAATTGGGTAAAAGGAAAGGTTATATACATGAAGGACATTAGCTCTATTCAGAAACAGAGAAGCAAGTAAGCTCTTATCTCCATCAATAGCATCTGGAGGAGCAACACGTAAAGCCTTAGAGTAGAAACGCAAAGCATCGTCAAAATCTCTGCTGCGAAAGCAGTGATTTCCTCTACGTTTCAAGTCCAGAGATGTCTCCTCGTTCTTCCCACAGCAACCCAATTCAGGATCCGCTAACTCACTCACCGCCTGAAACAGTTAGACCAAGATAAAGGAGAGCTATGAGAACAACTCCAATTGAAAGATAGAACACAGAGACGAAGAGTAGGTTTTGGGTAAATTGTACGAACTTGGTGAAATTGAGGAAGGCCCAGGAACAAACGGAGAAGAGAAGAAGTAGAGGTGAGAAGATCATCGACGCTGCTGCTTTTCACCGTTTGAAGAAGATCCTCAGGAATCAGCGATTTTAATTTCTCCATTGTTGCTGCTGCTCTTACCACACTAACAAAATGCGTCACTTGCCATTTTGATTTTCGTTTTGAATTCAGTTTATTTGCCACTAAGCGAATTTTGCGCTTGATTTTGGTTTGGTATCTACGAGTATATTTGGTTTGGTCTAATCCAATTTTTTAAAAATCAAATAATCAGTTGGATTTGGTTAAGAGAATTTGGCTTTCAATTTTTTTCGAGTTTATCAACAATAACAAGGATTTGTTTTGACACAAGACTGACTAACAAAAGCAAAAAGCCTGATACGATTTTCATACAGATATAATAATATTCACACTGATCAAACAAGGCTTTCTTTAACCGGTTGCAGAGGACACAGCATCATTAGAGTCCACCTTTAGCTGAAACAAAAACAAACAAATCAAATATGAATAATCACTTTTTACACTGATTCAAACACAATTTGCATTTCTACTGATTATTATTATCATTGCCAAATGTATGTACCATACCAGTTTTAAGTGGTTGAGTAATGCATGATGGAGTTGTTCCTTCAGCTTATGACATTGCTCCACCATCCGTCCTGAGTTCATCGTTTTCTCTAGCTCCCACCATAGTCTTTCTACTGTTGTGTATGGAAACCAAACTCCTGATACCTTTTTCCTCTTCAATACCTCTGCTGGTTTCTGTATTTAACAAGAGAAACCAAGGTTATTCAGTCCTAACATATGAATCATGCTCATCACAGTCTATTAACAAGAACATGTCGATACAAACGCAAACTCATGCTTAATCCAATGTTTCTTAAGGGTATAATCTGCAACCTATTTGTTTTACTGTTTTGTGTGAGAATCTTGCAACTTAAACGTTCTCTATGTTTTGTTATATTATATTCAATTCGACCATGAGAAGCTGTAAAACCCTAGCGAACCTACAAATCCTAATATGGAGAAAACGTATCCTGTAGTGAGATGCTTATAATCCAACAATCAGTCTCTACAGATTGATTATAACTCACAGATGATGCAAATGATTCCATGTACTCCAGTAGCAAATTAGTGGCCTCTGTAAGACGCCCATAATCAACATATAACTGAAACAAGGAAGCAGGACTTGCTTCTTTCCCAGCCATCCCCAAAGCTTTTTCCTTCTGACCGTCCTGCCAAGCCACAAGAAACTGATCAAGAGAAGACTTGAATGAAACCTTACAAGTCATTGCTTCTTTCCATCGTGTAAATGAATAGGAACAAGTGAACAACAATAATTCCATTGAGATATTATATACAATCTCTTCAACACTAAGAAGACATGATGTGCCAACCATATCTGACACTGTAATGATCTAGCATTATATAGAACAACAACACATAAATCTACTCTAGAATCTGCATCTCAGATATATTAATAGTGAATCGAAGGGCTTACTAATGCAACATTGTTCACGCATGTTAATTATTTAGATCAAGGATGTAGCAAAACAAAATTCAAAGTTTCATGCCAAGAGTTCAAAGATACCTAAATGAATTGAACTATATATTGCATACTAAAAAGTGATCCAGTAAGAGTATCATAACATCTATCCAAAATATTACCTTGAACATTTGAACCAGCCAGAGAGGCAATTCGATACAAGAATCGGCTTGAAGAAGGGTTGAAGCAACAGAAACCGGTAGTCTAGCGTGTATGTCTATGTACCTCTTCTGCATTTATACATATCCAATACACAAATTATTTCAAGGAACAAATAATGAAAAAACTGGGTCAAGCCCTCAAGCAACATAGCACATATCCTCAACTTAGGTTACAATTACACTCCCAGTAAAGGAAGATCTCTGCCCTAGACCCTAAGCATCAAATACAAATTATCAGGCACACTTGAGCTAACCAATTACACTCCTAGTAAAGGATAGCGACAATGCATGCAGTTCTCGTTTACAAGAATAGTGAAAAATGAGGGGATGCTGCTCTGGTTTCAGTGAGTAAAATACTATTTAATAAAAAGAGATGACTATAATTCAGGATGCATTCTTCCCATTCTTGGTACATCATAATTTATAACCATTTAAAATCAGAGCAAGTAAGGACATATTTCTGGATCAACACTGCTCACGAAGACATCCCAACACTTTCCAATGCTCCCAGAATCCAGAGTAGTAAAATATTAGTTACCAATTGAAAACAAAAACTAAATTTTTAATCAATGATTCGGAAGTTTACAAACCAGATAAACCTCAAGAATTTCCCAGTCACCAGCCAACTTAGAGCCCTGAACAGCAGGGCTTCTATCAGGCGAATGAGTAACTTCTTCATCGTTAGATATTAACATAAGATTAGGCCTGAGATCATTTCTGTAAGATAAATAAAGCTATGTCAGGCAAGTCAACAAGTAATCAATGAAATACCAAGTAACTAAGGAACAGTTACTCACGATGTCCACAGCGCTCCTTTAGCAGGGCAACATTTAATTGCCATATTCTCAAATATCTTTTCCAGCTCCCTGAGAAAAAAGCAGTAATTCTTAAACCTACGTAGTTCTCGATGAATATGACTTCAGAAAATACCTAAAAGAAATTTACCTTTTCAAAGCGGAGCCACTCCAAAATTTTAAAACAACAGTGAATGCCATGTCATACAAGTTTGCCTGGACAAGAAGGTCAACCAAATCCGATGGTGGCTTTTCGAGTCCTGTAGTGAAGAAAGCAATTCATATATATAGAAATGATTGTATGAGTCATGAGATGCTTTAAAACAATCAGCAGGGTATCTGATACCCTTCTGAAATTTAATTATGCCTTAGGTAAATTGCATAGAACACAGTCATGCCAACTAAGTAGTCTGTCAAGGAGGACAGGTCCATCCATTAGCTAAATCAATGATACACAAAAGCTATCTCGTAAAAAAGGGAGACTGTCAATATTTAATCCTTCAAACAGTGACAATAGATCAAGCTCTTTAATTTCCTCACATCACATTTGGAGTGAACATACTCGGCAATTTTCTGTAAACTACAATTGCAGAAGCCTTTTAACTAGTTCTAAGGCACCGATTATTCATAGTTCCAACTGCCCCTATACTGTAAAATCAAAACAGACCATGGAGGAAATAGGAGACAATGTACCTGAATATGTCCACCCGAAATTTTTCAGAGAAAGCATATATTCAGCAGTAGTAAAAACAAACTCGTTTTGGAGTTTCTCGATATCAATGCAACTCTGCTCCCCTTTGGGCTGGTCATTACTCCTTACTGCAGGAAAGGTATTTCAAAATGTCGTTATTCATGTGATAGTTCAACAATAAAACAGAATGATGCTTCAGGGTGTAGAGATTGTAGTTAGTACACACTAACATAAAATTTAAATATCGGTAAGAAAAAACAAGTACAATATGTGGTCGTGAGGACTAACATTGTTCTTCTTCTGCTCTTCTAGCCTTTTTAACTGGATAACGTGTGGATTCTTCTGGTACTGGATCAATCCAAGCATACCCAGGATGAACAAGGGCTAATGCATTAATAGCAGCAGAAAGTCCATTAAGCCTCTCTTGCAAAACTAGGGACATGTGTTTGTAATCCTTGCATGCAGCCTCGCTTCTCAAACGGGCAGAAAACTGATACATGTAACTTGCCGCCATTCGCCAATTGTGTCGTCTCATCTCATACGCATAAAGCAGCTTGTATGGATTTGGCTTCATCATTATTTCAGAACGTCCGGCCTACAAATCGTAGAGAATGTAAGAAACAATAGTAGAAATATACCAAGGGCAGAAACAAACCGACTCAGCTTTCCACAAAATACCTTCCAGAAAAGCTCTTGGGTGATCTTCTCTGTTAGGCCAATAAAAGGTAGATGTCCATCACTGAGGATCTGAAATCAAAAGAGAAATATTCATGGTAATTTGCATTTTAAAGTCATGGTAGTACAGAATCTTTTTCCTCAGCATTTAAGACAGCAACCACAATAGCTAAATCATTTTTAGCTCCAGACAAACATACACCTAAAAACAAAGAGAAATTGCACTCGAATATACGGTTTATGGTGATAATGATCTTTGAAATGTTCTTGTGGCACCAGACAATATAGAGTAAAAGGCTTTTTGGGGTATTGGTCCCCATTCGCCAAAAGCATATAAGGAAAAACTAAGATATGAGAAGAAAAGCATTCTTGACCTCTACCTTTGTTTTGCCACATTCAAACAGAACTATTATGAAGCGCCTCAAACAGATGCGCTTAATCTCCTCATCAGGGTTTGAAATTATAGCACAGTAAGCGTCGTTCAAGAGATTCAGATCTAAGGTGAACTTGAAAACATTTGCCCACAGTCGTCCTCTAGTGTCCGTGGCTGCTTTAGTTAGATCGAATTCCTCAGTCCTCTCAATGAAATCATAGGCCTCATCTACTTGCTCAAGGGCTGCATAGGCAAACTGACAAGCTCCTTCACTTATATTGTACCGTTCAAAAATTTGCATAGCCCACTCGTAGTACTGAAGTTTCCATGTCGCACAAGACATAGAACCATCTGAAATACTGGGACCTGCTACAACCAAACAGAGGGTCAAAGGGGAAAAAATAAATTTGCAAGACATAAAGCCTGGTTTTCGAAATAATATGTGAACTGGCGAATAACCAGGGAAGAACAAATTTCTTTGAGGAGCTCACCCGTTGTGGCAGGTGAAAATCCTGCTTCTTTAGACAGGCTGTGTAAAGCCTTCCAAGATCCTTCACCTGATGAAGCTCTACATTGGGAACCATGACAGGGTAGATACATGAGATGTATGTTAGGAAAAACGAAGACAAATATTCTTGAAGGGATAATATTAGAAAATAAATTAATCAGAGACATTGAACAACAAAGGCAGAAAATAGCGAGCTTCTTCTATGTGTTTAGAGAAAAACCCACATGTCTTGGCACAATATAAAATTTCTACATGACATACAACGGGGATTTAAAATTATCAGTGAAAAACTACAAATAATAAGCACCTGAAGAAACAGCGGATGGCATCAATAATCTTCCTCTCTCTTAATATGCCGCATGCCCCACGTTGTACTTGATCAAGAAGGCAACAACCACGGAGATGTTGAAGAAGACACCAATCCCCACTAGCATCTTGAGAACATCCAAATGTTTTCTCCCCACGTAAACTTGCCTCCACAACCACAAGGATTCGCTTGAGAAGGTTATTAAGAAAAAAATCAAAACGGAGAAATCAGCAATTAAGTTCAACTAGCAGTTAGCAGAATATAACTTTTTGTTGGAAAAGCTCCGTAAAAGAAACCGAGACAATTTTTACCTCAACAGCATCAGATTGTCCATTCCTAATCAACCTAAGACTAAGCTCAGTGGAGCGTCTTAGCAGTGAAGAAGACTCCTCTCCTGTTTTACTATAACGAATCCAGCTGATAAAGTTTTGCACCAAACTTGTAATGATTTGTGAACTCGGAAGATATCTCAAGTTAAAGCGGCTGTCCACAATGCAACTTCGGTCACTAAAGAGAAGAATAAACGCCAATGAGAAACCACATTTCCCAAGCATTGTGTTCCATGATCTTTTGTCAATGCTGCTATCTGCAATGAAGAAATGATTGTTTCCAGTCAGAAATATTTGCAATGAGGTATGAGCGTTGGGGAATATTTTCCAAGGACAACAACCTACCAATCTGTAGAGATGAAAGTTTCAAGCTGAAATCTTCCATAGAAGTTGACTCAGCTGGAGTGGTAACAAAGAAAAGGATAATGAGCCACTCTGAGACAATATCTTGGATCATCGGAAGCAACTCAAGCCGTAGCTTGCACATGTCTTGCTGTGACATATTAACCTGCGGAAAGATAAAGCCAAAGAAAAAAAAATGAATGACTGAGTTTAGAATATACAAATAATCACAAAAATATAATTTGTTACATTAGTATCAAAATATAAACTACACTGATTCCAATTAAGGGATACAAAGGGATACATCTAGACAATATTATGAGACCCAGTGGGAACTGACCTGTCCAGCAATGTTAAGCAGATAGCTGACCAGTAGGAAGATGTCAAATGCTGACTCAAACATCACCTTTACAAACTGAGAAGTTGCTTGGACGAGGATAGAACTACAGATATCAGATAATGCCTCACCATCATTTTTTTGCATAGATTTCTTAGGGACCAAATACTGCAAATAGTGCTCCATGATAGTAAAAACTTTTTCCCAAGATCCAGCCCTTTGACATAGAGCAGAGAGAGACAATAGCATGTCAATGGAGAATGTTCTAAGATTTTTATGAGCTTCTAGCTCTTTTTCCCATGCTCTATCAGCACCAAGATCTGACCAAGTACGCTGACCTATGGTCGTAGAATATCCCGACTCAAGGATGTTAACTAAGAGAGGAACAATTTCATCAGATGAGATAACTGGCTTTCCAGTAATTGATTCATAATACATGGCATAAGGAGCACCACCCCACTGTTTACTGATCTTCGAAGTACATCTTAGTACCTCTGCCAGAATTTCATGTTCATTGTGAGACACGCCCAAGCCTAAGCTTGTCAGGTTGCTGTGTTCGGAGGAAGAACCTATCAAACGGCAAACACAGTATTAAGTCTTAAGCGATAGGAAATAAACAAGGAAATTTTGGTTCTAGATAATAATCAAGAATCTTTATATACCTCCAAGGCTGTGCTCAGCGTTCTCCAATCTAAAAAACAATGATACAGAATTGTTTCTAACTAAACCAATAACATCTGACTGAACCAGCAACGTGCGAGGTTCATTATTCTTGCACCAATGATGGAGATAGCATGTACAAAAGTTTTTCCACCAATGAAAAACTGAAATAGAAGTTTCAGCCGTAACCTGACATAAGAAAAGACATATTTCAGCTTTTATGACCCAGAGTTCATGCTAACTAACAGTAGAATGCATCATATACACTGTATCTACAAGGGACTCTAGAATTTGACAAGTTAACAAAAATCAAACCTCATGCTCAACCAGTAAAAGAATCTCGCTTGTAAGCTCATCAAGACTTAAAGATTGAAACTCAGAATCAGTCCAGTGTTTGTTGTGGTCCATTAAAGTTAGACGCAAGGCAACATTGTGAAAAATTCCAGGACAAAGAAGCCTGCGTAAGAAGATCGACGAAATGAATCCCATAATTTGATCCTGCAAAGTACAACATATGTTAGAATGGACGCAAAAAATAAAATTTTATATAGAAAGTTTTCTTCAACAAAATGAAAGCTATTTTTAGCATAAAGACCTTTGCGGATGAAAACAGTGAATGAGTTGTCAAAAGAAGATCCTGTGAAGAAGTCCTAGAACTCAGAAATAGCTGTTCAGAAATGTAGTCTTCCTGCAAAGTGTAAGACTGTGCTTCCCTAGGTCATGAAAAAGATTACAAAATAGAGCATTATCCACCATTAAGAAACAACAACCAAATTAGTGAACAATAGAATATCTGTAGTAGTCAATAGCACAACAACTACGATAAAGATACACTAGAGCAGCACATTCCCTCCGCAGTTTAAAAACCACCAACTTTTTAGCTTAACCTACTAATTTTTTTACAAACCCATCTCAATAAAGCAACATCTAGGAAGGGCTTCACCTAGAGTTTTGCATTTTTCAACAAGACTCCATCACAAGGAAATTATAACGCAGAAATTCACCTACTATATTTTAGGTTAATGTTTCCAAATAGTAAAGATTCAAAGCTACAGCGGACCAGAGAAAACAAGACACACACACACATATAATCAGAACCTTTTAAATCTTCATAAATCGCGTATAATGCAAATTTTACATGGAGTACAAAGTATCTCAACCAATTCAGAAGAAAAAAAGTATTCTCGAGCTTACATGGTGTTAGATTTCTGGAACAACATGTGAGATGTCAATTCATCGGCCTTTAGAGTCCAGATCTTGTCGGACGTAAATCTGACATCCCGCAATTCCCCCTACCAAATTCAGGATATGCAAATTCAACAAAGTTGCAAGCAAAGGAAAAACAAGTGAGTTGCAAATTTAACATAGTTATGAGCAAAAGAAAAACAGAATAGTATGTGTCACAATTTTGAGCGCATAAATTGTACCTCCTTCAGTGGAATATTCTGTAATCCAGAATCTAGAGACAAAGCTATCCCCTCCCCAGAACTAAAGTGCAGGCCATATACAGTGATCACGTCCATGCTGTCATCCTTCAAATATTGGGAAAAGGTTATCAGAGATAGAATGCAATAGAAAATAACTATCTATGTCCCGCTCAAGTCAACCCATCAGTTGTAAAACGCTTACCATACTCTTTCTATACAAGACAGCTAATGGAATGATTCCAGAATCGTAATCAGCTTTGCCCAACCATAACCTCACACACATAACCCCTAGTGTAAAAAGCATGATAAAAGTCAAACAAAGGTAAAAGATAATAAAACAACGTCAACTAATGGTCACCGGTAGAACGAGCAGATATTACCCTCAAGGTTCTTAGCAGCTATACTCTGACATAAAACCCTGCTATAAGTCAAAATATCCCAAACACGTAATGCCCCATCAGCATGAAGCACACATATATAATTTCTTCCATGAACTTCTGATATAAATAAATCTTGTATGGCTGCAACTACTGTGCCCCTGCATTGCAAGTCATAAGAGGTTATTTAGATGAGCCTCACGACAGGGAAAAAAATATGACATATAGCCAAAGATAGCATTACATTGGTATAGTTTCTTTCTTCTAATTATCTAAAGTCAAGCAGCATGATAACATTATTTTCTAATAAATGTACTACAAGACGTGCCTTACGAATCCCCATAGACGACCAAATCCTGTATCATCACGCAGCTCCTGGTGGAAACCTGATCAGAAACAAAGCAATGATAATAAGAGAATGGAAGAAACATCAAATTAAGATACTAAGCTAGTACAGAGTAATCTACCTGATGATTTCTGAAAATACACAACAGGTTGGAAGCAAGAGACACAACCATCGGACCTCCCGAGAAAAATGAAACCAGGCAATGCAGCAACACTAGTAACACGAGTCTCGTTCAAGTAAGGTCGAACATCCAAGTGAATCAGATGATCAACCGGGAAGACTGAGCCTGACTTATAAGCTGACGTATTCGAAAGTTGAAGAACGTAGACAACACCAGACGGCGTGAGAGCATAAAGAAAGTAGACAAGACGACCACTATCACTACCCTGCCACATTCAATTCCATAGCTTTCAAGTTCAACACACAAAACAAAACAAAGCAATAAAACTAAATAAATCAAAAATGGAGAAGATAGTGAAATAACCTTATCGGCGTATACAAAAGCAAAAGGAGAAAGAGTCTGAGCAAAAACGAAACGCATCCCAGTTATTGGGAATCCCGATTTAGCAGAGAGCTGAAGAAGCTCAAGAGCATTTGGACTCGTCTTGTTGATTCTCCAAACGAAAGAGATCGGAGGTTCTCCAATTACAGAGCTAGAAGCGTAGTCTTCATACGAAGGAAGCTGAACACACTCATAGTCCTCACTTGAATTAGCACCGATACTAGAAGAAGAAACAGATGGTGAAGGTACAGAGATCTCAATCCATTTGACAACATTTCCGCCGCCGGCAACTGGAACTTCCATACCGGCAAACGAATTCCGACGATTCTCCTCCATTTTTCCTTTGAACCCTAAACCCTTTTTCTTCTTCACTCAGAAACGAATTAATGATTTTTTTTTGAAGTAATCAGATCTAATTCGTATTGGGCCTAGATACGGCCCATTAAGTCTTTCGTACTTGTGAAACTGCAAACCTAACAATTAACTGTGCATTTAACTTCGTTAAACTCTTTCCCTGAACAAATGTCTTCTTGTTGCAGCGACGATGCTATTGCTTCTTCTTCATCTTCTTCACGTTTTTTTTTCCTTCTTCTTCTTCTTCTTTATCGCTTTCACATGGCTGCTTCTAGTGTCAAAACCATTGGAGAAAGATACTAGAGCTCCTAATGAAGATTCTTTGAATTGTTCTTTTTTTTCATCAATTCAATCTTGCCGTCGAGAGAATTATTGTCTTCGAGGGTTAGGGTTTTCAATTCTTATGAAGATGCGCCGAAATAAATCTGTTCAATTCGATGATTTTCTCGGAAGAATGAAGTTTTGCTGCTTCGGTCGATCTTTGTTCGATTCATCTTGAGGTATGAAACCGATCACTTAGTCGAATTTGATTCGGATTGTTAAATTCTTTAAAGCGAAGGTTTTGGTATGATTCGGATTTGTATTTGTGTTTCGTTCTGGTGAAGTTTACAAGTTCTTGTATGGCTTTGTGTTTTGGGGTAATTGTGCTGATAAAACCAATTGAATTGATGAATCGCAGATTCTTAGCATCGTTTTCGTTCTGAACAATGGATCTTGATACTCGCAGCAATAAGCTTCAGAAATTCTTTGTCACCATGGAAACAGCCTTGGAGGTTAGTTTGATTATCCTTTGTTGCCATCACATATATATCCTCTTTTTTGGTCATCATCAGCAACTTTCTGTTATGGTGATGTGGTATGTGATATCTAGTTTCTGCTCATTGTAGGGTTTGAAGAAGTAAGTCAGGAAAGAACTATTATTCAGGGATTTCAATCCCACCTTCTACTGATGATGTGGAGACATCAACAGATCGTCAACAAGATGCAACTGCTTAGAACCTGCCTTGACGCCTGAGGCATTTGGATATACCTTTGGTGTTTAATGATGATGGTTAATTGTTGGTATGTGCTAGCTAATAGCCTAATACTTTGTGTTGTTTTCGGTTTTGTTGGTGTTGAACAAAGAGCGTGGGAAGTTGATTCAAGTGCAAGATATATATGGTGCTCCTTTCTTAAGTGGTCGCCTAACATCGCTTTTCTTGTAGCTTGCAGAATGAACTACCGAAAATCAACTCTTTCAAATCCCCTCGCGACAAGCTGCTTTGCATATCAAGCTGTTGCACACTCATTAGCAATCTGATGCTTGATACATCAAAGTCAAATGCCATATTCTGGCAGGAGCAGATTAGTGCTTGCCTCTCTTCATATATGCTACCATCAAGGTAAAGTCTGCTCAATTTCAACTTTCTCAACTATATGTCATTTTGTGCCCTCTTCAATCTAAAAAAGTTCTACATACAATATTTCAATTCTTTCGTGGTGTAAATTGTTTCCAGTCAAGTTTCCATTTGATGTCTGAAGCTTGCTTTTATTAATAGAACCTTTTTTATCCTTGGAAAAGCAGTGTATTTATAAACACCATATGCTATTTCTCTGTAGTAATTACCGAAATACTTACTATGTAGTAATAACTTTACTTGATCTGCAATTGCAGGCAAATCCTGTGCACCTTGCTTTCTCATCTCAAGTTCCTCCAAGGAAGGCCAAAATTGTCTATGAGGATAAACCTTGTCTCGGACAAGTCATTTAAGAAGGTGTGCAGCGCTGAGTAAGAAGGTAGAATCCAGTTCATCAACCAATGAGATTATTCATATAATTTGCTTAATAGTTATGATATTTTGGTTTGTGAAAAGTTAATAATCTTATAGTTGGTTTCTCTTGTATGATTTATGTTTTTTAAGCTCGGGGAGTCTTTTCTTGATTGCTCATAGCAGATCTGGATTACCCATATATGTAGGCAGACGCCAGTGACCTGATTCTGAATGTGGAAGATGCTAAGAGATTGCCGACTATGTACAAGGAAGATGCTAAACAAAGATTTTGGACACAGTTCTACTTTGGTGAGGCTTATGAATGAGGAGCAAATATGCAGCAAGTAAAAAAAGTAAAGGTAATGCAAAGCATCTCAAAACATTTGGCTTTCATAAATGCTTTAATCCCATGTTAACATAACACTTTAAGCTTAGGATTGAAATCTTGAAGTGGTCATGTGTTACAATCACGGGTAGGAATCTTAAGCCACTTGCAGTTTTGTGCCTAGATAAGAACCTATATACAGAAAGATCATAAATACAGTCAGCCTACACTAAGTGTTACGGATAAATTAGATCCACTGCCCATTGCAGCTGACTCACCTCTACAAACAAAGCCAGCTTTGGGCACTTGACTAGATCCACGCTCGTTATCAGATTGCTTTGGTCTCTTGCTGTACAATTCAATGCATCTGAAACAATGGAACTTGGAAGGTAGGGCATCGGAGTTATTGATCCCAGCACATCTAGTGTGGTGCCACACACCACACCCATCACAGGCCAACATCCTCTCACCATCATCATCCTTTGTGCCACACTTGCAATCAACTTTCCAATTATCCACCCCTCTCTCCATGCGGTATCGAAGGAGCCCGTGTTTTGAGCATCTCCCTTTAATCCGTATGACCCCATTTGTGCCAACTAGAAATTTCAGGGTAATAAAGTCATCTATAGAACCGTAACCTAGGAGCTCCTCAACTTCAAACCTCTTGAACATTGCATACACTTCCTGAAAAGCCTTAGCAGCTTCGATTTTCAGGTCAGAAACAGTAGCGTTCAATGGCAAAACCAACAGTTCAGGTGGAGGGGCTGGGCATTCTTTCGACTCATCCGAAAGCTCTACATGGCACCAGAGGCTGATTGCGAAGGGGTTCGCTGTGCTAGACAGGTAATCTTTTATAAAATGCTTACAGTCCAGTATTTTTGTGGCTGCATCAATCATTTTATCTCTTGTAGCCTGATACCTAAACTCGGCCATGGTTTGTGGGTGCAATAAAGTTTCATACAAATATATTAAGTCCCGTTTGACATGCTCCACTGATGCATTATTTACGTCTTGATTAGATAAGCGGTGCACATTGTCAACAGATTCAAGCCTGAAGTACATATGCAAAGGTTAAGATTATTATGCACACTGGAAACCAACGAACCCAAATCCGAATAAGAAGAAACTTCTCTGGAAAGTTTACCTGTACTCAAAGTCGTTTGAACCAGGATTGCAACGGGAGCAGACTACTAGAGATCCATCATCCACCAAAACCCCTCCAAAATGCTTGAGACAGTAATCAATCAGTTGTGGAGAGGCTGTTTTGCAAATAGACCTCTTGAGAGCCCACCTTGTAACCCAGTTGGCTCGTGGACGTCCTGCAGCTTTCAGTATCTTAACCATGGCTTGCTGTACACGTTCCACATCACTCTTAGACCAAGCACACAGTACAGACGACTTAGATGTAGGTTTTGATCGGTTCTCACGAATCAGCTGTAGCAGAAATGAGAAAAGGTCTTTCACAGTCACAAGCTCTGAACACGAGAGTGATTGGTAGAAGCCAATAATGGAGTGGAGCTGAGTTCTTGGTTTCCTCCCTTGGAACAAAAACTCAGAGAGAGGTATCCCAGATAAGGTATCCACTGCACTCTGGTAAGCTTCTCTTGTTAGTGCATAGCTCCCAGATTTGAATTCATAACCCCACTCACTGTACCACGAACACCCTCTAGTGATCCCATGAAGCAACCGGTAATCCATCCCATACTTCCTTGACACATCCATCACGCTAGCCTTCCGAACAGCAAGGGAGGAACAGAGCCTGTCCCAGAAGTCCATAATGGCACGACCAGTCAAAAAACCAGAGCCACCTTCTCTTCCATTAAGAGACAAGAGATGAGCATAGCCATTTGAGTGGATAACACCATGAAGGAGGTGAGTGTTGTCTTCAAGCTGAGAGTAAACCCAGTCTTCAATGTCTAAAGCCAAGCTGCACCACTTGCAATTGCTACCTTCAGATAAATTCTGAGTATTACCACACCTCGTGCAAGCCTTAGTGTCCCCTCCTGACCTTATGATGAAGTGGTACCTCTTTCTACACACTGGATGACTACTCCAACCTTCAAAAACAACAGATTAAACTCAGTCTATGCATGCACCATGTTAACAGGTAAAAAAAATTCAAACTTTATTTTCGAAAAGAGATAAAGTTTCAAACTTTTAGAAATTTAAAGAGGAATCTAGAAGGACAAAGACTCACCAACGACTCGGCAATGGTCACAGTAAACAGATCTAGAGGATCTAGTCACATCCTCCTCCACAACGTCTAGAGAGACGAGTTTAGAAGAGAGATCTGAACCGTCCGTCGAATCTCCAGGTCTGAGCATGATCTGCCACGTCATGAGACTCGAGAAGAGCGTCGAAGGAGGGAAAGTGACACGCGCGTGGGTCGCGAGAAAGGTTCTCACTCCGTCGCGGAACGGCGGCAAGGTTGTCGAGTCGCCGTTGATCTCTTCCGCCGGAAAAGTAGAGAAATCGTAGAGATCGGCTGAGATTCTGTTGCTACGCCTCGCTCGCTTCGTTGCACGACCACCGTTCATCACCGCCATGACTGTAACAAGGGTTTTTTTCCGACACTTAAATTAAAAAGTAGAAGAAGAGTTAGAGAAGCAGAGAGATTGGAGATAGATACAGAGGAGAGGAGAGGAGAGGAGAGGAGAGAGAGAAGGTGAAGAGGTTTTAGAGAGAGTGTTTTTGGCGGAGAGATTTTCCCTCTCAAAAGTTTTGGAGGATTTTAGGGTTTTGGGGTATTGACTAAAAGCTTGACTTGACCGCTTCTGATGGGGAAGGAAGGGAGATGCTTTTTATTTTAATTGATTTTCTTTTTTTTACTCACCAATTTCGGGAGAGAGTGGGTCCTACAGATTCCAAGTTCGAGGCGGTTTCGATTTCTTTTTCTCCACGCCTTTTTTGTTTTTATTTGTTTCCTTATTTTGTTCGATTCTTTTATTTCATTAAGTTAATAAAGTTAGCTAATTAAGTCCTATCCAATTCCGATTGTGACACCTTCTGTTGTCGAAATTCTACCCCAATAAAATCTCTCCAATCCAGTTATTATATTTTTGTTTTAATTAAATTATAAGCCAATGATTTATTAGCAAAACTCCAAAACAAATAAAAACACATCACTGTCCCAGTTAAAATACAAGATTTCTTTATATTTTTTGAGTTAAGAAATTACAACATAAATTATTTATTTTACCTATTAGATTAATGTGAATAAAATATTCGATTAGTTCAGCTTGGAATTAGGGGTGAGACCAATTATCCGGGATCCGGGATCCGCTCCGATCCGCTCCGAAAAACAGGATATCCGGGTGGGGCGGATCCGGATCCGGATAATGAAAAAGCGGATCCGGCCGGATCCGGATCCGGATCCGGATAATAGAAAAATTAAAGCCGGATATCCGGATCCGGGATATTTTATATTATAATAATATTTTTTTAATATTTTATTACTATTATTTAAATTTTATTAATAATTTTTATTATCTTTTATATAATAATAATACTTTTAATAATATTTTTAATTATTTATGTTAAATTATTTGTTTTTAAATATTTTTCTTTAATTTTATATTAATAAAAAAGAATTTATATAAAAAAAAACCGGATCCGGATATCCGCCGGGTATCCGGTTATTTTTACGGATATCCTAAATCCGGATATCCGGGTGGAGCGGATCCGGATCCGGATAATGAAAAGACGGATCCGGCCGGATCCGGATCCGGATCCGGATACCCTAAAAAAGCCGGATATCCGGATCCGGCCCACCCCTACTTGGAATTGGATTAAGCATAATCAATAGAATTATTATTTTACTTTATAGCTTTAGTTTTCCTAAATCGTCACAATTATCCCATAATTCCAGGATTTACCATTTAAAATTATCTCCTTTCTTGCTAAAATAAACATAAATCCATGACTCTTAATTGCAAATTTGACCAAAAACAAAACCCATAATAACTTAACAACCAAGGTTCCAAAAGACACTCTCATAACCAAATTTTCCACACAAAAAAAAAAGTCATATCAAAAACTTTATTACTATAGCCTTCCTTATTCATTCCACGACATACTATCAAACTAAGCAAAGTAGTAGTACTAAAACAAGCTCAGACGAAGAAGCGAAAATTAGCTAGAGGAGTGTCTCCTTCAGCACAAGCTCGATGTACACGACTCATCCGATCAACGGACTTACAAATCCCGCTGCAAGACCAATCGAACGACGCTGCACACACGTTCCCGGCTTGTGCCTTCCATTGACAATCCGGTGGAGTTCCACAACACATTGACCTTTCATCCACATGCTCCACTTCTAACCCTAACATCCACGCTCCTAACGACACATCCTCGTTCGCGTACCGGTGTAGTATTCCCCTGCGGACATGTCCAAAACCTCAAAATGAGAAAACTTTAAACGTATGTATGTATAACATAATGAATTTGAAAACACTTACTGGTTAGTGGAGATATATGCAGCTAAGTCCTTAGAGATTGCGTAAATCTGTCCAGTGGCATGCCTAAAGTACTTGTTACCCTCTTCTCCAAATTTCCAAAACTCTGGCTCATGATACTTAACTCCCCTATACATTTCCAAAAATCCTTACTTTAATTCAGATTTGTATCTAAAGGTTTAAACTTTGTTATGAAGATGCTTACTTTTGAGAAAGAACAGGACCAGACTTCATGCAACCGATGTAAATCCTTGGTCTTGATTGATATCTCGCAAGTGTTGTAACAAGCATACCTAAATTGACATGAACATCATCATCCACTTTCACGTAGAACTCTGCGTCATACATTGCAGTTGCTGTTGAGAAGTAGAGTCTTGTCTTTGTTGAGAGTTGGTGATATCCTTCAATGTGTTTTAGTCTTAAGAAATCTTTATGCTCTGAATCTTCTTCATCTATGGCTTTGTCTAATACTCCTCCTGGTGTTGCACTGTGTCCTATCACAAACCTGTCAAATAAAAATCCAAACTTTCTCTGTTTTATATGACTGAGTTTTTTGGTTATTGTGATTTTTAATGTAGTGAAATTGAGGATACTTGTGGCTTACTTCACAACCTTACAACAATCCCTTTCTCTTTCTCGATTTTTTTCAGCTTTTCGCCTGTTGGCATCCATGTTTGCCTCACCGAGTCTCGTCTTTTCTTGCTGCTGAATGCTGTGTTTATGCCTATCACTGCAAACACTTTCTGCAGACGACTCTGGTTTTTCGCTGTTCGTTCGCTCCAGAACTCACTGCTTCTATCGCTGGTACGCGCTGCTGCTAACTCCATCTCCAATGTTGACATTGTTCTCTCCAATGATCTAATAATATAAACACTGATATTGTTACCTCCTCTGTCTCAATTATGTAAATAAACACAAGTATATGATCTTATTACTTTACTGCTTGGTGTGTTTTGGATACTTCTCCTAATATGTCTCTGGATTTGCTTTCTATCAATTTCTGAACAGAGAGTAACACTTGTAGTTAGTGAGTATATATATGAGCATGAGCAGGTGTTAACTAAGACTAGAAAAGGGTAATTACGCGTTTATGTTCATCGCAGTCCTTTTGAATCTCTAAATGTTTGGACAAATGCTTTGTGAGATGGTGATCCTCTTCTTCAGGTATGTAAGAGCGACTCAAAGTTCGACTCATGAACAGTGAGCCTGCAAGAAAGCTGGCTAGACACAGCACTATTATGGCTTTCCCTGAAGCAGCTTTTGCCCTCATCTCTTATGCGCCTCGTTATTGCGAAATCTACATAACATCAAATAATTGATCATGAGGATGATGCATAATCAATATACTTGTCTCAGAATTTACATGACATACCATTACCATACTATATGATATTCAGGATGCTATAAACTTCATTGTTACATATATACATACAAATATGCAGGAGAGTTTTCCGAATCAAGAATGTTATGGAGTAAGGCTATACATCAAGAACTCAAAAGGGTAAGTTCAATTTACTCACAGTTTCTTACAGTAATCAGGCTCCATATTCATAAGAATTGATATTTTAACAAACTTGACTCTTAAGAAAAATGCTTGAGAATCATGAACATACCTTATAAGCGCATGTGAGACAACAAAAGGACTGAATTCTGGGGCTGTCAGATTAAGAAACAAGTCTTGAATGTTGAAGAGATGTTATTTATATAAAATGTAAACAAGAATGTAGTTGCAGAACGGCAATGGCGTTTATGTTTTGCTTCTCTCTCTCAATCTGACTGTCTTGTCATGCAATGTGCATGTCTCAACTGCATATAGTAGATATTACAGAAGAAAAAGAAATTCCCACAAAACTGGTTTTGGTTTAGTTTTCGCTTTCCTTTATTTCGCAACATTTTAGGCTCTTCACCTATGTGAATGCGCTTAGCGCGCTGCTTCCACATGACAAGTTTTTGATCAGATACCTAAAACTTGGCGTGAATGTGGTATAGATATAACATGACGTTGATACTATTGTAGAGTTACATGAAATTGTAACAAGTTTCACTCAAATGCTTCAGAAACTAATTCAAACATACCTAAAAATCTCTAATGATCTCTTACAAACTTAATACAGCTTGTAAAAGCTCTGTTTTGCATTGTCATTTGTGTTTCTCTTATATTTAATTTCCTAGAGAAACCGATACATATGTCTATCAAATCGAGTCGGTCTATCTTGTCGAGGTTGAATTAAAAGCTACAAGAATCTTAGTATATTCGTGGACTGAGCTGCAAGAAAATCTTACAACCTTTAGATATGTATCTATTAAGAGTTAAGCAGAATAATGAACATAAGGATTATAGTATATTTTCTTTCCAAAGTCAATGATGATGTATAAATCACAAAAAAACTCAAATGGTTTTTTAAGATTTAGTGGTGAAGAGACACTACTTTTCATTGAGATTGCCGCAGCAATGGAGCAGTGTGTTGTGTGGACCTTCTCTGTCGGACCAAAGGTTACAACCAATGATGATCTTCTCTGTCGGACCTTCTCTGTCGGACCTCACTATATCTTTTAACTGATGATCAATATCTATGGAAATTGACCATATCTCTTTCCAACTTCAAAGATGTATTAAGTCTATGGACTCATCATATGGCTCAAAAGTCAAAACATAGAAGTGTTTGCGGTTGCTGTTAAATGCAGCAATCGCCAAGCAAAAACGTTGTTTTAGGCAGTTATAGCGGTTTGGCGCGACAAAAAACAATATCAGGCACATCACAAAACCAGCTAGCTTGATACATTATTCATTCAAAAGACAAGTTCTCTAAACCTTTTAAACTAACTCTTCATCATTACAAACCCCAAAATCAAATTTTAAAAAAAAAAAACAAAAAAAACTCTACCCCGCCACTTCCAAAACGTATGATTACAACAGGATTATAATAAGCATATATGATCTTCAAAAGATACCTTCTATTATCCTTCCTAAAGGGTTACAACAAGATGATCTACCATACTTAGTCAAATTCTAGGCTTCTCCGTCGTGGAATCCTTGTTTTCGCCATTTTCTAAATCCTCCAAGCTATTGACTTCCGCGCTATGATGTGTCGCGGATGGATCACACGAATACCATCTTGACCAGAAAAGATAGTTAAAGAAGTTGATGAAACTCAATGAAGCTAAGAGCCAGTAAAAGTGATCTAATCTATCTTTGTTTAAGTCGTTATCGCCTAACCAACCTTCTTTCGTCCGGGAACCATTACTAGAAGTAACTCTGTTCACGGCCGAGACAAGAATAGAGCTAAGATAGAACCCGAAAGAGTAAGAACAGTAAGTCATTGCTGTGAGAAAAGACTGCATACTCTGTGAAGACTGTTTGTAAAAAAACTCCACTAATCCAACGGCTGTAAACATCTCTGATAAACCGAATATCAGAAACTGCGGCGCGATCCAAAAGATCGAGAGCGTTACATTCTGTTCCAAGAACGATTCTCGTCTCTTCTTTTCCACTAAAGCGGCTGCAACCATTGAGAAAGTTGCTAAGAACAGACCAGTGCCAATTCTCTGAAGAGGAGAGATTCCGGAATCGTTCCCCGTGAGTTTTCTCGCAAGTGGCACGAAGAAGGTTTCGTAGAGAGGCACGAAGAATATGAGAATGATGTAAGGAATGGCTTGAAGAGAAGCCGGTGGGATTTGGAAAGTTTTTGTGATGTGTGTGTTCATAGAACTTCCTTGCTGAACAGAGAAAGTTTGAAGCTGAGCTAAGATGGTGTTGAAGATGATAGTACACGCGAATATCGGTATTACTGATAACAGAATCTTGACTTGATGGACTTGTTCGATTGTGCAGAGTCTCCATGGACTCTCCATTGCTTTGCCTTGCGTCTTGATGCAAGCTTTGTCAAGAAACCTGCACGTCAAGAAACGAGCGGTTCGTTAGTTAGTTAATTTGGCGGTTATGGTAAAAAGATTATAGATAAATCACCTGAATTTATTAGAATGGAGGAGTGGTTTGACACGAACTAGATCCGTTGAAGGTTGCTGAAGCATGTTCGGGTTTGACGGGCAAATTTGTTTTCGTTTAGTGATTGCGGCTACGAAGACCTGATTGATCGACAAATACAAGAACATGAAGTCAAGATCAAACTCTTATAAATGCCTCAAAATGTACCAAAGACGAATGTTTGAGTTTATATGTGAAAAGAAAACATTTTAAAAAAATAATTTAAATGTTTATATTTTTCTAAAGTGTAAACACAAACGAAAATTCGATTCTTGATTTACCTGAGCAATTGGTGTGAAGATGCTACCACGAGGTGGTTTATTCCTATAAAAGTTAGTTCCAGCAACGAGACTAATCATCCCCGCGGCCATAACAGCCGCAGAGACACCAAAACCAACGTCCATGCCGGAATGAGTTTGCACCCACACTAAGAGTGTAAGTGCAATAAGCTGACCCATTGAGAAGGCGAAGTAAGCGGCATTGAAGAAACTAGATAGCTTCCTCAAATCCTTCCTTTGAAACTGGTTTGCACCGTGAGAGATAATGTTCGGTTTAAGGCAGCCGCTCCCTAAGGCCAGCAAACAGAGTGTGGCGTAGAGAGTGACCGCCTTGTAACCATTTGCCTCTAAGCAATGTATTGTGCTCTTCATGTTGCATTCTGGTGGTCTTAGCTCTGGGAGATGAGCTTGGACTGACAATAATATGAAACCCTGTTTTATCAATTTACAAACAAAATTGTCAGCCAAAACTTCTCCTAATTTTGCTAACCAACATTATTTTTGTCTTTTGTCACTAAAGTCTTATATATTTTATGTATACTGGAATCAGTAGCTAATATTTTTACCTATAAGTCAGGTGTATGTATTATGAAGCCGTAAATTTCGTTACTATACTAATGCGTGGCATTAACTAGCTCAAAAAAGAACATTATACTAACATATTATATAACTCATTTGCTTTTCCAAAGAACCGAAAGATTTAATTCATAATTCACTTTAATTACAACTTTATGTTAAAGTTTTGGACTATTGTCTAAATATACTTTTAATATCCCGTTTTAATCACAAGTTACTAGTTAGCTAGAGAAGAAAAGTGATGTAGAATATTCAAGAGCATCTAAAATAGAAATGAGAAAGGCGAAAAGAGAGCTAGGGAGGGAGAGGTACATACAGAGATTTCGATGACGCCGAAAACGAGCATGGTACGAAAGCTTCCAAGGTATGAATCAGAGAGGAAGCCACCAAGAAGCGAGAGAAGAAACACCGTTCCTATGAAGTTAGTCACGAGGTTTGCGGATTTCGACAAAGGGAAATGCATCTCATTGAACACATATGTGATCAAGTTGTTTCCAACGGCTGCGATCGCCATCATCTCGAAAGCTTGGAAGCCTGAACATAGATATATGTATACACAACCAATCAATTTAACCTAACATGTATCCAAAATGCTTAACATGGACCAGCCCGGCCATATGCAAGACGCTGGTCTAGTCGATACTCGATATACATAGTTAATGTTAACGAGAGTAGGAGAGGGATACCTAGAACAAAGAGGGCAGCTCTTGTACCACCATGCTTGCTTGGCCTGCATGGTCGACCGCCAAAATCAACACAAATATCGTCCGATGATTCCTCCGACATGTGTAGTCCTCTTTTAGCTTCTTCAGATAGATCATGAACATCCATAGCTCTTTCTATTTTTCTTGTATTATTATGTCAAACAAAGGAAGATATAAGTTTGGCTTTAGGAGTTGGCACAAAGTTAAATTAACAAGGTGGGGAGCGAGGAGGTACTTATAATGTCTCGGTCATTCTTAAAATATTCATGAGAGAGAAACTAGAAAAATATTATGCAATCAAATATTTCTAATTTATTTCTAATTTTCTAGATTGATTTTTATTAGAAACTAGACTACAATATAAAATAAGTATAAAATCTTTCTAATAAAAGTAAAAAAAATTCTTATATCATATAATTAAGTTTACTAAACTTCTTAGTGTATTAGAGTAGTGGGGAGAAATGGACCCACTTTCCAATAGGTTTAAAATGCATCATCATCATCATCATCATCATTACAAGAAAATTTCAACTTTGGCCTGTGGCTCCGGGGCATAAACTATTGTTTACTAGAATGTTTTCTTGACATTTACGGCTGAATATATATATATATATATATATATATATATATATATATATAGTTGCGATTTGATTATCATGACTATCTTTGACGAATCTTCCGGCCTTCCCATCAATGTGAGTTCAACCCTTGTCGTCAGTACTATAGCAGAAACTTTACATCAAAAAGAACTAATCAAGTTTAAAATATCATCATCATTTAATTTTAAGACAATTTTATGGATTTCACAAAATTAAGGGGAAAAAAACCCGAAAAAACCCTCGTTTATTTTTTATTTGAACGTTTAGTACCCAAATTTTTTTTGTTGGAAGAAAAAACACATAATAATTAAAATTTACGATTTAATACCTATAAAAATAAAATGTTGTTTTTCATACTTACGGTTTCATAACAAAAATAAAATTCCAATTTTATCCTTCCAATTAGAATATATCATTAATTTTAAATGATGTGATAATAATTTTAATTTTATTTGAATAAAAAGTTATTTATATTTATATTTTGTTTTATTAAAATTATTTTACTATTTTATTTATAAATTAAAAAAATATATAC